TCCCACGAACCTGGAAGAAGGAGAGGAAATAGTCAAGTTTCTTGCCGGCAGCGCCCTTAGCGAAGTACATGCCGCAAGTTTCGAGAACTGTCGCAATCAAACGGATGCGGAAGAAGTCGTCAGGAAGATCGAAGGGATTCAAGCGGCCCGGTATAGGAGGACCACCGTGGCCGAACGTCATAATCTTATACATGGTATCAAAGATGACTGGGTGCTCGACCATCCTGTAATTGTAGAGCTCGCCGATGTACTTGACTTCAGAAATTCGCCGTTGATAGAACTTGAAGTCGTTCTGCTCCAGGCCGAAGGAAATGGATTCCATAACATTATCGATAACCCTCACCACAAACGCGGGATGGTATCGGTATAGTGCGCTGAGCAGAATGGCGAGGAGGTGAATGTTACCGTACTTGACTTTGCCGGGTTTAGAGAAAACCTTTTCCAGGATGCTGACGACCTTGAGAGTGGAAATTAGTATCCCTGCTCTGGATTGGTTCCTGAATATATTCTGCTTACTTCTGCCTCTTCCCAATGAAGTCTGCGGATTTGCTTCAAGATCTTACTGTAATTACGCTTAGTCATGTCCATGTAGACCAGCTTGCGAATGAACAGCTCCATAGGGTTACGCTCTTTTTGCTGAATGGCAGGCCGGTCGGGAGGGTCGACGTAATAGACAGCGTTCTCAATAAGCATGCGTTCGGCTTGGCCAATGTGCTGGACAGACTTCTTGCGTTGCAGCGTCTCGAGGAAAGTTGCCATACGAGGCGAGGTCTCCGGGTTGCGTAGAAGATAGCGGCCGCAGTTCTCCAAGAGGTTGCAAATGATTTCAATGTTCATCCTCGAGAAGTCGTCCAGGCTGACCTTGAGACAGTGGAAAACAACGTGCTCAGGGACGATGCCGAACTTGGTCAGCTCAGCAAGGTACCGGATGTTGCTCAACCGGACCTGGCCGAGGAAGTCCTTGTCCTTGCGTCTCTGAAGACTGCGAAACTCGGCATCGAGATAGTCAACCAGACCTTTGGGGATATCAGGCATATATCGTCCCAAGGTCGCAGCCAATCTCGCCCACGACGGGAGAAGATCGCCTCGGCCTTTGGGAACCTCGGTCAGGGCCTTGATCAACCTATTCCTTGAAGCTTTGGAGTTCAGGTAACAGAAATCAATGGCAGCCTGGTCAATGATGTCTTTGTTTGTGAGATCAGGCAGTCGGGCGAGTACAGCATCAACTTGAGCACCAATCGTCTTGTTGGCAATCGCAGTAGACTGGTCATCGGACGGGTCCGGAACTTTCGGAGCTTCGGAGGCCTCAGCTGGATCAATCTTCTTGCCCACTTGCTCCTCACTATCCGGCTTCTTCTTCTTTCCATCATCCAGAAGAATTCCCGGAACCTTGCCTTTCAAGTCGACCAGATTTTCGTAGAAGCGACGCTCGTCTTCGTCCTCCCAGATACCGGCACCATCTCCGAGACCACGCAGGTACTCTCCTGCCTTGACCAGGCCGATTGACCCATTCGATGCCCCCAAAGAATCGTCGTTGTCCTTGAGATCGGGCATGTCGGCACCAATAGCATCCGCGATGGCCTGAGCGTTTGCCACGAGTCTCTCCTGAGCCTTGACCTGCTTTTCGAAATTTGCCTGACGGTCCTCGAAGACCTCGCCAGATTTGACGTAAGCCTCAGCATTGCGTCGGGCCTGTGAATGAATGGACTTTTGATCGCGAACCACGTGATTTTTCACATCTTCGAAGTACTTCTTGAGAATGGTTTTGAACTTCTCCTGAAGGTCGGGGGGTGTGATCGGTTGTTCATCGGTCTCGGTTGTGGAGTCTTCGGTGTCGCCGTCGCTTTGCGCAGGGCCGTTGGAAACCTTCGTGGCGCCGTCCTCCTCAACAGTTTTTCGGCCCTCGCCCATCGCAGATTTGACGCCAAGAATGTCCCAGCTAAAGGCCTTGACGAAAATGACGAGCAGAGGCAAATTGACATGCTCTCTGTCATGTCCAAGCAAGTCTTTGAGCACATCAAGAGGAAATGGCTCGGCAGCACCAGTCTTGTTCGATTGGGCCTTGATCTTCAACTCGGGAACCTTGCCTGTTGCGCCCTTGGTGGCATCGTCCGGTCGGGTAACATCGTCGAGGGTCCGGAGGACATCAACTAGCCAAAGTTCAGTGACGACGCGCAAGAGCACTCGTTGGCGCGTTAAGCGCTCTTTCTCCTCCTTTTCGCGGACTTCCGGGGCCAGTGACTTGAGTAAGCTCTTGTCGGGCGTGGCCATTCCCTTGCCAAGCAGCCATCCCAAGTATTCGGTAAACTCGCTGGGGCCGAAGCGCTGGTGCAGAGCGCTGACGATTTCGACACCGGCCTCGATCTCGCCGGGGGACTTGAGTTTGCATAAGCCCTCATAGCAGGCAGAAACAATCTCGGAGAGGTATTTGTGCAGGCTGAGGGTGCGTATCTCCTGGAGGAAGGTATTCAGAGTGGCAGCGGAGATTGCGGTTCGGAGGCGCTTGATGAAGGCAGTGTTCTTTTTCAGAGAGGAGTCGAGGGATTTGCTGGCGGCGAACAGATCTGTGGAGGACAGGCAGTCAGAGAGGGGCGTTTTTGAGCATCGCGGGGTGTGGGCATGATGGTACGGACCTGTCTCGCCTTCCCAAGCGCGGGTGTTCAGGGAGCGCAATTTGCCTGTTAAACGACGTCAGTCAGCAGGGGGGCGCGCAAAGGACGAGGGAGGAAAAGTTGAGGCAACGGTCACTGACGCTTCCTTGCACGATCCATGGCAGACCGCGTTTGTTAGTCTCGAGGCCTTGCCGAAAGTCAGCACTTTTGCAGGAGCGAGAAGACGATTCGTTTGACGTACGTCGACAATGCGGGCGATGCTCCAGTGGAGGTCGATGTGAGTGAGGTGCGCGCTACCTTGTTTGCTTGTATGGACAAGGTTGCTGTGGTAGGTAGGCGGAGGCAAGGTTGGCAGGCCCTAGGCGCCCAGCAGGTATCCGGACCGTAGGTACCTACCTACCTGCCTACAACGGTCCTAGGTGAGTCTGAAGGTGGCCTTGCGGGTGAAAGCCGGGCTGTAGTGGATGTGGGGAGATCACGGTCGCTTTCGCGGTCCGGGCGGTAAGCGTCATTCCCGTCAACCTCAAGGTCGTACTCAAGATTAAGCCCGCAGTGTCCATAAATTCCATCTCCCGTCTTACCTGGGACATGGAGATGTGTACGATACTTATGATGGGTAGGATAGCAGGCAATGGTTCCAAAGATTGTTTGCTACACCATGGCCCCCTTTCATGTCTCTTGAGGTACACGAACTTCCCGTGCCGTCAAGAGCAAGAAAACCATGAGCCAGCCATGCCTGGATAACGACGGCGTGTCAGGCGTTCAGGGCCTTTCCACAATTCAAGGAGGAGTCCAACGAGGCGTCATCCATCCAGGTCGAACTTACCGGCCGAGACCTCCGCGTCTTTGGGATCCGAGTACAAAGTGTGAGCCAAGGTGAGCGCGGCCACGTTGTCGCGCTGCCCATGACTAAATACCGGATGATGCAAGGCACGATTGTGGCATTTTCTCGGCGACTAGGACATGGTCGCGAATGATCAAACGTTGCTTCTCCGAACATCTCCATGGCCCGTCCCTTTGGGTTTCTGAGCTTCGCGCCGGCTTCCGACTGGACCCAAGCAGAATGATGCCCACACCACGCAATGGACGAGACACCTGCATGCCGATGGGGCACATCGTTACCCGCACTCTTGCTTGTTGCTCCTGGCTTACATTGAGCGAATGGTTTTGGGTGCCACGACAGTAGGGCGTGAGCAGCACGAGGGTGGAAATTCTCCGACAGTCGTCGACAGTCGTCGTCCTTCTTAAACATGGCCATCTTCACAGTGCCAGTAGCGTGGTTTAGGTCCTTGAGAACCAGAGACGTGGGGCCGGCTCGCACGCTTCGTCCAATCCCATACCCTTACACCCCGGCCTGCCGATGAGGATAAAGGGAGAGAGCCCAGGAAAAAGAGTTGGTTGAAGCATCTCCGCGCTGGTAAGATAATTATATGTCTACATACCCCAGGTACATCCGTACTTCTAACGCCGTGTCGTGCTTTGTGCCCTTATCGCCCCAATGGCATCAGTCGAATTGCAGGCGCCAATTCATCATCCAAACAATACCTAGGCAAGGGCTATGGCGCGCGCTGATAAGGAGTCCCGTTTGTTCTTGTCGACCTCCGCGGAAGTTGAAGCATGCTCAGGCCCCCCCGCCTCGAAAACGGGTCAAATCTTGCATCTCCTCGCTCGCTGCCGTGTGTTCGTCAGTCTCATCGGGACGCTTGGTGGGTGCGATTGTGTGTTGCGCAGTAGTGGCCCTTTCTCCGGGACTTTGTTCAAGTTTATGGGGCTGGAAATAACTTGAATCAGGTAGGGTATGTTATGGATCCAGAGCATTCGTTGTCAAGCCTAGGCACCTTGCTGAACGGCGTGCTATCATCCTTCACCTCACTGGGCATGACGCCTCCGTCAAGTCGATCCAACTCTCCGTCAACTGCGCGGGCTGACTGGTTCTACTTAGTGCCATCCCGTCTGGTGATGTGCCGTTGCACCATCCCATTCCATCCCATGCTTCGCCATGCCATGACGGACCAGCCCAGTCTACGCCGTACGTCTGCCCTCCTTGCCTCCCGTTGTGCAGGCGGCCCGCCCACACCACAACCACACGGCTCCCGCGCCAGGAGATCCAAATCTCTTCCACCAACCCACTCTTGAGGGTATTTACTCACCAGAATCCCGACTCTCACCAGTCTGATTTCCCACTCCTGTCCCCCCGATATGCAATCTTCGCCTTAACTCCTACTTCATCGAAAACCATCTCATCTTTGATCTGATTCATGTGTACAAAGCCATAGTTATCTGGCTTGTGATTACCGCTCAGACATTTCAGCTTACAACACTCATCTTACGTTAGAAAAGACAGTCCACCTCAGATTCCAACTCACACACAACAAGCCAGTCGTCAGTATGAATGTGCTCGCGCCCTCACCTCCTGTTTCGTTGCGGGAATCTTTGTCAAAACATGACATAACATTCCCACCGAGTCCGGCAACCACGGTGAGGGAAGGCCAATCTCATAGCGTCGACGGATCAGAGGCAGGCCTACTTGATGAATTCGCCCCCGAAGAACCCCGCGGGTATCCTTTGCCTCCAAAATCAAGAGTCAACAAGGTCTTGACAGAAGACCTCAAGACACCAGACAGCCACGTCGTTCGAGATCCTCGACTGATACGTCTCACTGGAGTTCACCCTTTCAATGTTGAGGCACCCTTGAGCGCCTTATACAACGAAGGGTTTATCACGACCAAGGACCTGCATTATGTTCGAAACCACGGAGCTGTGCCCAAATGCGCGGACGAGGACATGTTTGACTGGGAGTTCACTGTTGAGGGCGAAGTCGAGAACCCAATCAAAATGTCTGTCAGGGACCTCATCGCGGACTACGACCAAATCACGTACCCGGTAACCCTCGTGTGCGCAGGGAACCGCCGCAAAGAGCAGAACGTGGTTCGCAAGACCAAGGGTTTCTCCTGGGGCCCTGCCGGCTTGTCGACCGCCATCTGGACGGGTGTCGGCATCGGCGACCTCCTTGCTCGAGCAAAACCCAGGAGAGGGGCACGGTATGTTTGCTTCGAGGGCGCGGACAAGCTACCAAACGGGTATTACGGAACGAGCATCAAACTGAACTGGTGTATGGACCCAAACCGTGGGGTGACTGTCTGCTACCGCATGAATGGCGAACTGCTCCCTCCCGACCATGGGAAGCCCGTCCGCATCATCATTCCTGGACAGATTGGCGGCAGAAGCGTCAAGTGGCTGAAGAAAATCATAGTCACGAAAGAGCCCAGCAGCAACTGGTATCACATCTACGACAACCGCGTGCTGCCAACCATGATCTCTCCCGAGGCCAGTGCAGACCTGCCCGACACATGGAAGGACGAGCGGTATGCCATTTACGATCTCAACACCAACAGCGCTATCGCCTTCCCTGCACACGACGAGGTCTTGTCACTGACCAGTGGTCCCGAATCATACAAAGTTCGTGGCTACGCCTATGGAGGTGGCGGAAGGCGCATCACAAGAGTCGAGATTACCCTTGATCGCGGCAAGACGTGGATGCTTGCCAACCTCAACTATCCTGAAGACTTGTATCGACTGGCCCCGGAGGGCGAGACTCTGTACAGCGGCAGAGTGGATATGGACTGGAGAGAAACGTGCTTCTGCTGGTGCTTCTGGGATTTGGACATCCCCATCAGCCAGCTCGCCGACGCAGCAGACGTCATGGTACGAGCAATGGACGAGAGCATGATGACGCAGCCGAGGGACATGTATTGGAGCGTCCTAGGTATGATGAACAATCCTTGGTTCAGGGTCATCATCCACAAGGAGGGGCACAGCTTGCGCTTCGAGCACCCCACGCAGCCAGTCTTGGGAGGTGGCGGGTGGATGGAGCGAGTAAAGAAGGCCGGTGGCAATCTGTCCAACGGCTTCTGGGGCGAGAAGATCGAAGGTGAAGCGGAGGAGGTGATTGAGCAAGAACCACCCAAGGAGATCTGCATGACCAAGGAAAGCGTCAAGCGAAGCATCACCATCGAAGAATTGCGGCAGCACGGAGGCGAGACGGAGCCATGGTTCGTTGTCAATGGCGAGGTTTACGACGGAACTCCTTTCCTAGAGTGCCACCCAGGTGGTGCAACGTCGATCACGAGTGCCGCGGGTCAGGATGTATCGGAAGAGTTCTTGACCATTCGTAAGTTTTGCCCTTCCCACACACACGCCAAAAAGTGACCATTGGAGGCTAAGACGTAATCCTTACAGACAGTGAAAACGCAAAGGCAATGATGCCCGACTACCACATTGGTACTCTGGACGAGGTTGGGAGGAAAGCACTTGCTCTGGGCGAGGTTGAGGAGCTACACGACGATGGTCCACGGGCCATCTTCTTGCAACCCAAGATGTGGACGAAGGGTATTTTGTCGGAAAAGACAAGGATATCTCCCGACAGCAAGATATTCAGCTTCAAGCTCGAGCATCCGGACCAGGCCATCGGTCTGCCAACTGGTCAGCACTTGATGATGAGGCTGCGCGACCCGGTAACCCGAGAGACCATTATTCGCGCTTACACGCCCCTTTCAGAGTGTTCACAAAAAGGAAAGCTGGATGTGCTCATCAAGATCTATAACGATCTTCCGGGTCGTCCCGGCGGTAAGATGACGCAGGCGCTCGACGCGATCCCCGTCGGCCACTGGGTCGACTTCAAAGGCCCTGTCGGCAAATTCGAGTACCTCGGCAAGGGCATCTGCAGCATTTCGGGCAAGGCGCGGAGCATCAAGCGCTTCATCATGGTCTGCGGAGGCTCCGGCATAACGCCCATTTTCCAGGTACTTCGTGCCGTCATGAATGACGCTGAAGATTCAACAAGGTGCCTCGTCCTTGACGGCAACCGCGCCGAACACGATATTCTTTGCCGCGAGGATCTCGACACCATAGCTACCGCTAACCCAGACAAGTGCCGGCTAGTCCACACGCTCACCCGACCACCTAGTGGATGGAAGGGTCTGACGGGTTACCTAGACAAAACTGTCTTCGAGGGGGAGGTGGGCCCGTGTCGCAACGACAACGGCGAGGAGATGATACTTATGTGCGGCCCGCCAGCGCTAGAAAAGAGCGCGCGCGACATCCTGTCTGAAATGGGCTGGAGAGACGAAGATTTCCTCATCTTCTAGACGAGTTGCCGTTTTTGGCTCTGAATTGAATGATGGTCTTGGATTGTCAAACGCGGCGTCGCGAACGGTCTTGAAGATCTCGGGTTTCGGCAGAGGGAACAAGGTCATGGGCGTGGAGCAGAGCCGCTTCCGCCACGGGCCGTCAGGGCGCACAGGTGTTGCAGGCCGCCACCATCAGAATGCGATAGCTCCGCAGGTGGGGATAGCCAATGCGTGTAGAGGTATTTGGAAGAGGAGACAGAATAGAACATCTCCGGAATAAGCTTGATAAGTGGTTCGAACCTTGACCTGGGCACGTGGGGGTTTGGGGGCTTATCAGCGGGTTTGTTTGGTGCTTTCTTGGAGATGGTTTTTGACATCTCCGCGGAGCGTGGAGGTTTTACGGGATCATTGCATTTGCGGGTAGGCATTTGAGCATAGCGACGGCCTTAGTGAGTGGTACACAATCTTGGGAGGTCATAGTGTCGATGTGCAAATCCAACATAAAACTGCATAAGACTGCCTAATTCTATATGTGCGCAACTATGTTTTCTTTTTGCCTAATCCCTCTGATTGACGACAGTTGAAGCAACAACAACAACAACAACAACAACATGACGATGATGACATTAATTCTAGTCATGTGAGGTATATCAGCCATAAGGTAACTCGCTCTAGCATAGAAGACTTAGGCAGTCTCTTCTTAAAGCATACTCATTTTCGTCATTTTCTCATCTGGTATGGAATTCGATTACGCTTGCCATGAAAGAAGGAAATTCTGACGTCCACATCCGCGTTACAGCGTCGTAACCGTCGACTAGAGGCTTGCAGCTAGTTGGAAGTTGGAGGATTCCCGACCTTATGGCTCTGCAGAATGATTAGGGCAACACGACATCTGGGACACTCGTATCTCCCTAAGTCTCAGTGAGTTGCCGTGACTTGGAGGCCGCAGGCTACTTTGTAGCATTGCCAAAGAGCGCTTCAGCAGCCAGTCCGCTATTCGGTCTAGTGACAGCTTCGGTTGGGGCCAGGTGTGGGGCCGTTCTCGATGCCGTCATCGCTTCCGGCTCCGGCCGAGAACCCGAAACCTCAAAACTCCAAACCACTACAAGATCTCGTGATACCTTAAATATTTCAATGAGCTGCCCTTATCCGATCAACGAACGAAGCCTTCTGTTACGTAATGGACGAGACCCTCGGACGCTCCTCTTGCGGCGCCGGTCCCATGGCCAGGAGGGTTGGGCTGGGCTGGAATCAGTACAAGATCAACAGGAGAGCTCTTTGAAGGCATTCTTACGTAGAACCACGCAGCAGTCCCCAAAGCGGTATAGACGGCTAACAGCAGAAAGCCTTCTAGATAATTGCTTTTGCCATCTCTTAAGAAGTTTCCAACTGTAATGATAGCTAAGATGAGCATGGTTATGTCGAAAGCTTCGAAGACCAAGTCGAAATGCTTGTGTCTGCCCCAGGCAACAATGGTAACCAGAGGGGCGTTTAGTAGAGCCGTCTGGAGCGTAGCACCGAGTACATGAGAGAGGGCAAAGTTCATCTGGTTGTCCCAGGCCTCGTCGACAGCCGTCAAGTGCTCAGCCGCCTTCTCAACAAGGGGAACAAGAATCAGGCCCATGAACGGATCAGAAATACTGTGCTCCTCGACTATAGGCGCGATCTGTTCCACGAGAAATATGGCCATGAACGTAACCAACGTGAGTGCGACAACAAGTGCAATGATGCACTCCGTCAGAGTCAGTTTGGCCTTCCTGATATCTCTGTGCTTGTCGTTATCTCGTTGCTCGTCATTTTTGAAGATTGCGTCGTAAATTCCGTGATGGGTTCGGGCTTGAAAGTAAACATAGACCAGGTAGGAGACAATCAGGATCAAAGACACGATCCGGGAAATATGGAGGGTTTTCTTGTCGATCTCCTCCACAGTGAGGACACCCTGGAGCGAGCGGTCGAAGATTGTAGGGATCGCCAGGGCAACGCCACTATTTAGAACATATCAGCGTTGAATTCTGTGTTAGGGGAACTGTGGCTTCTCACGCTGTCAATAGGAGACCGCTTCCCGCCTCGGTGATGGTATCGCTAAACTCTGTTTCTTCCCGCCGCACGCCGCCGGCGACAAAGCACAAACCTAAGCATAGCAACATCGTCGCTAAGATAGAACCCAAAATTGCCGCTTGAATAACTGCGAACTGGCTGCTTTTCAGGAGAACCATGAAAAGAATGAGCTCGACCACAGATCCCAAGCTGTGTTCATGTAAGTTGAGAAACTTCAGCTAAATCGTCGATGTTAACTCACGTGGTTTCCATCAACACACCAAACACATGATTGACCTTGCGAGCAAGTTCCTGGCCCGCAAAACCAACCATGTTGGCGCAAGGAATCATCGAAATGTAAACCAGTACGAAAATCAACACATGCTCATTGGGTAGAGTATCTACAGATCATGTTAGCTGTGCTCGCCTCTACGTACACAAGCTTGAACATACATCTGACAGCAAAAGCAGCCGGGACAACAGGCCAGAAAAAGTTGCAAACCAGAGAAGCGCGACTTGACGATTTCCATGTGATTTTCAAAAACTTCATAGGATGGAATCCTTTGCGTCCGCTCTCGCCGGAGGGCTTAACGCGGACTTTGCTGCGCGGCGGCGGCCGTCGATGAGGAGTGGCATTGTTGTAGACTGGTAGTGAATCCTGGTCGTTGCCTGAGATTCCAGAAGTGCGTGCCTTTTCGGGTATGACGAGGTTGTTTGACTCTCGGCGTCTCGAGACCGACTCGCGGTAGGTTTGGCGGTATGGTGACCTCGGTGACCTCGGCGTGGACATGATGACTGATGGGGGTGTTTAGACAACTGGTGACAAAACGTCGTCGACCCAGACACCAGCAGAAATATACAGATTCGATGACCGATTCTAGAGAGTATATACGGTGGTCGGTATGGATATCGCCAAGCCGATGCAGAGTGGTGTTACTGGGGTCAGGGACATATATGAAGTGGAACAGCCCCAATACCAAGACTTTGTGGATTGTGGCTCAGTGGACAAAAGAAGGGAGGGGCATGGAAGGATAATAAGAAAATGGGGAGCTGAGGGGATCTCAGGATCAACGTGGTCCAGTCCCTTGGATTTCGGGCCCCTGGTCGTGGTGCTTGGGTGGCTGGTCTGGGCCTGTGGTTGGGGATTTCGGACGAGGGTGTTTCAACATCAGATTCCCAAGGGCAGTCGGTGAGGAGAGGATGACAGTTCTCACGCGGGAGATCTGGAACGGTTGAGCCCGCAAAGTAAACAGAAAATCTTCCGTCGATCCGAGGTTTGTTCTGGTAAGTCGGAGAAGAGAGAGTTCGTGACAAGTTCGGCCTCGCAGCAGGTTGGCAAGGGCAGACGACGGAGGGGTTCCCCCGGATACTTTTAACACGGAAAGGCACATCCTATGTATGATGCAGGCATCGCGGTCGACACACATCAACAGAGGAGAGAGCAACGAAAACGAGAGGTCGCCCTGGGGTCTGAATCAAGGCACAGCCAAGCTTGCTGTCATGCCAAGACTCTCTAACAGAACCCTTGTGCATTGCTCGGGAGAGTTGGGCGTGTATGGGTACACCCAGGACGTCGACCGCCTCGCTGCAATTACCGTGAAACCGCGGGTACAAGATACCTTTCTGAGGCGAGTGTGAAGCGCCGCAGGAAAAGGCTTTCTTGGTTTGTGCACCGAGAGAGCGGGCGGGAAAGAAAACCACGCTAGCCACGCCTGTTCTGCACTGTTGTGTGTGTCTCCTCCATTCATCGTTGCAATCTGGACGGAAAGCCTTGGGTCTGGACCATGTAAACAACACAGCAGCAAGCGAGAAGATCCATTCAATAGGGCGGTAAAGGGTCTCAAGGCCCTTGCGGTAAGGTGGTGCAGATAAGCCGCCAAGCCTAAACGACGTCACTGGGCGCTGTGCTGTACCCCTGCAGGACGGGACATTTCCTCCCAAATGCGACCTTTTGAGCTGGCCGATGATGAGGTCGTCCTCTTCACCTCGCCGACCCCAATCTCAACGTCCTCCCATATCCAGCCACATCAAGCCAAAACAACTGTCTTGGCGGCCGATGATGACCCATTCTGACAAGTCGTGCTTTTTGCCATTGCAATCTGACAGCAGCCACACAACGCGTGCTGCTCGCACACACATAGCACGCCCCGCGGGTGCCGAGGCTTCTGGCATCTGGGCAAAGTCATGCGATGGACGCGGCGGGCGCGGCGGGCGCCGGCGGGATGAATCAATGCGGCCTGATTGCGACGAGGTGCTACAGACATCATCCCAGATCCACGCCTCAGTCCGCGAGTGCAAAACGAGCAGCAAAACATGAACGTTCTGAGGGAGGCAGCCAGGCACGGGCACCAGCACGGAGAACGGGATGAGAAACCGCTACAGCCAGGGACCCAGCCTATAACGTTGGACGTTCCGAGAATTAACACCAGAGCTAGCACTGTCCCGGAAGAAACCAAGCTTCGCCCAAGAAGCCACCAAGAACCGGCCATGTGGATATGCCATGAGCGCCCAGTGCCCAGAGGCTGCGACACTGCACCGGGCATCAGCTAAAAAAAAATCCCCACTCCGATTCCCCAGAGGGAACCGGACCATCCCATCCAGGCACCCTTGGCAAAAGCTTTTTTCGTCCACTCTTCACCATACAATCCATATGTTTGCTGCTTGTTTATCCGGAAAGGACTGGCAAGCAGATGTATGTGAGATTGGAAACTATGGAATCATCCCCATTCTTCGACTAACTCACTCGTCGCCTGTCCACACCTCTGCGTCCTCCCAAAGCACCGTGTCCTGGTCCTCGAACTCTTCCTCCTTGATGTCAATAAGCCTCAGGTTATTCCGGTCTTTGGGTGGCACAGGCTGGGCCACAATCACTGTCTCTAACCCCGCCGGACACTGCTCCTCGGGGCCCATTGGCAGAGCCTCTACATCAATCTCCATGTTCAAGATGGCTTTCAGAATGACCTGGCTGCCCGCCTTGCTCATGACATCGTTCTCCTTGCAGAGCTCCGAGGCCACGCACTCAATGCAGCCACTCTCGCAGTAACATTCCTCGACTCGTTTAAGTGCTTGCTGCAGAAGGTGGTCAATGTGTTCGAAAGCCTTGGTGCTAATCCCCGAGCCGCTGGCACCGCCCTTTGCGTCGTAAAACGTCAGTCGACCTGGCCGCTTCCTCTGCGACTCCTTCTTGGCGAACTCCTTGAGCGCCACCTTGCACTCGGTTCGCACGTCGCCGGGCAGACTAATCACAAAGTTGGGCATGAGACTCAAAATGGCATGCTCTGCCGCGTGAATGGACGCGGCAATGTGTAGTCGTCTGTCGGCCAGGATCTGCAGCGCCTTTTTCGGTATGTCCAACCACATCCCCTTCCCATATCGAATGACGGGAGGGTTGTCCACATGAACAGCGTCCAGAACACGTTTCTTCTTGTCGACTTTGAAGAATCCGTATACATTCTGCTGGATCTTGATCGTGCCGTAAAAAGCCTTCGACAAAGATCCGGATATTCGCCGGATCGCTTCTGTCTCGATGGGGTCTATGTCGGTGAAGTCTCGTTGCGTCGTGGTCCACTCAACCTTGACCCGTTCCACTCGTGCCATCATCCTGTCTGGCTGAAAATCCCGGACGAGGTACTTGCTTCCCTGATGCAGGAAGATGGCGCCGTCGTAGATCGTGAACGTGGCCCTTGAAGCCTCCAGTTCCTCCAAGACTTCGTTCTTGCCATGAGTAATGTCGATGATTGCGAAATGATCGTCTTCCGTGTCGCGGATGGCAACAAACCTCGACGGAATGGGCCGGAATCGATCGTGGCAATGATAAAAGCCCATGGCGTCCCTGAGCAAACGTTCTTCGCAGATTTGGGGAAGATCTTGACCAAAGTATTCGGCATCCTCCACAGGCCTTACAGGCATCTCGTAAGCAGCACATTGGATGTGGCCCTCTCGTACCAGCATGTTTTCAAGGTCAACCTGCAGCTCGCAATTGGGCTTGGTAAAGAGTTCGTCGGGATTCTGCATGTAATGCTGGTCAGTGGGGAAGCAATCTCCCACTAGGACGGAGAGCGAGTCTTTGTTTCTTCGTCCGGCTCGTCCGCTCTGCTGTCGTAGGTTGGCGATTGTGTACGGGAAGCCCCATGTCAACACGCAGTCTAGTGTGCCAATATCGATACCGAGCTCCAGAGCTGTAGTGGCAACGATTCCAAGCAGCTTTCCCTCAAACATCTCCGACTCGATCCTGCGTCTATCCTGGGCCGTATAGCCTCCCCTGTAGCCCATGACCCTATTGACACACTCCGGCCGCCCAATAGATTCTAATTCTTGCTGCACAGCGGTTACTAGCTTCTCGCACTGCTCTCTTACCCTGGTGAAGGCGATGATTCGTACGCCTCTCAGCATCAGCTGACAAAAGAGGCGCGCACATTCGAACATGGCATCGCCTCGTCCACTAGCTGGATCGCCTGGGTCTCGGTATGGAGTGTTCCAGCACAAAAACTCCTTTCGACCTAGTAACGTTAGTCACATTTGATTATTCAAAGGTTCAGGCGATGGGGACTTGCCCGATGGAGAACCGTCGAAGTCGACCAGCCTCACATTCTCAATACCGAATATTGTTTTGAAGTGCTGCTTGGGGTTGGCGACGGTCGCCGAACATGAAATGAACTTGACGTGGCGGTTTCCCACCGCGGCACAAATTCGTCGCAGCCTTCTCATGATGAAAGACACATGAGATCCCATCTGTCCGTTATAGTAGTGCAACTCATCGACGACGACGTATTTCAGGTTCTTCAAGAACGTTCTCCATCTCTCTTCCTGTGGCAAAATCGTTATGTGCAGCATGTCTGGGTTGGTGAAGATGATCCTTGCTTCGTCTCGGATCGCATTTCGTTCTTTCATGGGCGTATCTCCATCAAAAGTTTCCACGAGCACATCTTCCATCCCTGGCATATAGCTCAGCATCTCCCTCAGGCTCCTCTTTTGATCCTGGGCTAACGCTTTCGTTGGGAAGATGTACATTGCTCGTGTGTGGTAGTCCTTTTCTAGAGCGTGTATAACCGGAAGCTGGTAGATGAGAGACTTTCCTGAGCTCGTGGAAGTGGCAACAACTACATGCTGGCCCTCCAACAGACCGTTAATCGCTTCCGCTTGGTGGGCGAAGAATTGTGTGATCCCTTTAGCATTGTACAAGGCATTGACCAAATCCTGACTGAGGAGAAAGTTAAGATCTCCATAGACGGCCTCCTGAGGCTCAAACACGCGGTGACCATCAGGTACAATCTGTCCTGTGTACCACGGGCTGTCTTTCAGCTCCTGCACGATTTCAGGAATGCTCTTCCGTTCCGTAGGTATCGATTCGGGCAACGCTCCAAGACTCTTTTCGGGCGGATCCTCCGGGGCGGTCGGCACTGGTATAAAGGCCTCTGCTGCCTTGGACAGAGCCTGCTCGGGGTCGAGATTGTCCGAGATACATTGGTTGATGAATACGTTCATTGCGTCAATGAACTTCTGATTCCTTCTCTCGATGAGATTCGTCATCTGCTTCTGGCTGTAAACGGGTATTTTCAGGGTCTCTTCCCTCAATTTCCTGTTTGGCTTGGTGATTTCGCCCGTCTTCTTGTCCTTGACTTGTCGCTTCAGGTCACCATCCACAAATTCGAAGTACAGCACTTCTTTTCCCCCTTCGACGCGCTCATCGGGGTGTTGGTCTAGCTTCTCAAGGCCAGATATTCCGCCAACGGAAGCATCGGGAGCAGGTGCTTGAGAGCGAAAGTCCCGTCCCGCCTTGAATGTCACGTCGCGCTCCGCCCCTCTGACCTCGGTTTGCAACATGATCTCGTCAACGTAGGCAAAGTTGACGCCTTCTGGCCGCACAGCTGCGATAGATGCGACATCCTCGATTGTTAATACTTTTTTGGTGTGCGATTCAACTGCAGATCTGATCGTCTCAAAGGTCGTGGCAAGGTGCTTGCGCGTACAGCAGAAAGTAAACACTAAGTTGAGAGCGCGATGTGTCTTCTCCAGTGCTTTGAAGGAGTCTGGCCAGTCAACGTTGCATGTAACCGAAGATGCGGCGCTCTCCGTCCGATTTAGAGCGGAGGCAGTCTTCTTCGGCGCGGTTCGTTTCCGGGCATTGGTACTTTTCTGGCTGTCCGAGGTATCGTCATTGCCGAGCTGGCCGCCTGCCGAAGAATCTTCTCCTTTTCTGCTGTCGGCAATCCCTCCTTGATTGTCCTTTCTCTTCCGCTTCCCTCGGGCCTTTTGCACGACTGCCTCTGTCCCGCTTTGCATGGCTACTGACTTGGAGGAGCCCAAAGCGGCCTCTGCGCGGCTAGCCATCAGCTAACATGAGGAAGTGGATGTAGATGCTGGCGGTAAACTATGTGTCCGATTTGCATCAGACTCAAAGTACAGAAATCACATGTTTCTGCACCATGTTCTGCAAAAGAGGCAGCACGACCTGAGGGAACGCGAGACGCCACTGGCGTGGAAGATGAAAGAGTCGTCTGCGTCACGTAATCCACACCTAGTCACGTGGACCGAGCTCCCACCGCGTCGGCTCATGCTTTTCAGCAAAGAATTCTTCCTTCTGCTTCGTAAGAATAGAGTAATTATTAAGGGCAATCCCCGAATAGTTGTGTTACTGCGGTTGATTGATATCTAAAGTGTACCAAAGGACACTGGTTTCCTGGTATCATGACAGGACAGCGTCCCGAATCCGGATGGTCAGAGGACTCCTACAAAAATGATTGCCGTGCCGCCGACTGTATGTCTCTGCCTTCCCCGCCTGGCCCCCAATAACCAGGAATACTTCCGCCACCAGTCGACCATTTGAAGGTCTTGTGCGCTCGATGGGAATCATCGAGCAAGTCCACATAGTCACCAGCTCGGTCTATGGCCATTAACTTATCCACAGCTGAGAAATATGATGCTCAATTGCTCGACAGTTCTCTTTGAACCATGCCAACCTCACTGAGGAACGATTTGGCGCTGGCTGCACTCATCTGCGATTGGTATGTCAGTACTTGATTCGGTATCGAGTGTCGGAGATATCCTTACCCTCATGTGAACGCTGACGGGCTTCGCTTCTTCACCCTCGAATGCGGTGAACATGACTCCAACGGACTTGAGAGACGTCTTCTCCTGGAACTTCATAGCAGGCAAGATGACTGTGTTGAGAAGTATCCTGTGTGTCTGATCTTGTCTCATGATCAGACGGGCAACCTTATGGGCCGTGCCGTTGCCAGCCTCTGGATCCTCGTCGTTCTCCAGGCCCGATGCATCAAAAGAACCGGGAATGGGAAGGCCTGAGTCATCAAACGAAACGCAAGCTTCAGGGACGTTGATCTTCAGCATACCGGAGCCACGCTCCTTCCAACCAACCTCCTTCTCCAGATAGAACATCTTGGCTCTGACCTGAATTATCGTAGCCTCGCCGGCCTCGCCATCATCGACAGTGACTGTGGACGGTTAGCAAAGTTAAAAGCCAAGCAAGATACGTGCCGCTAACTCTTCTGCAGCTTGGTGCGCTTCTTATCATCACCAGCCTTGGATTCTTCCTTGTCAGACTCCTCCTTTTCCTCCTTGTCACCGGACTCTGAAGCAGATCCATCATCGCCGTCAGCGTCATCGCCGCTTCCGTCTTCCACGTCGCTTTCCGGTGCGCCAAAGGGTTTGGCAGGCTTCTCGCTTTTGAAGGAAGACTCTCCTGCCTTGGCAAAGCTCGTCAAGGGTTTGCCCGACAGTGCGCTGCCGAAGCCACTGCCGAATGCCGAACCAAAACCGTTTGCGCCGGCGGTCTTAACGCTGGCGAACGGCGATGAGGCGGCGCCAGCGCCTCCAAAACTCAATGTCGGTGCGGCAATAGGAGCCGCAGCGGGCTTGGACGGCGACAGGGAGCCAAATGGCGATGCTGAGGACGTTGATCCGCCAAAAACGCTGCCTTTTGTAGAGTCTCCCAAAGAGCCAAACGGGGACGCACTTGATGCGGCCAGCTTGGCGAAGCCAGAACTGGCAAAAGCGGCAGCCGATGTCCCCTGCTTCTCCTCCTTGGCAGAATTTTCTGCTGCTGCGGACGTGGCCTCGGTCGTGGTGGAAATGCTGTTCGGCGTTTTCGTTTCGGCGGTGACGGGCGATGTTACCTGTTTGGCGGCAAAGGCAGGTCAGCACGATAGAGCAAAGGCAAACATACCGGCACGTAGGAAATTTGGAGGAGGAAACGTACAGAAGAGTCGGCGGCGGCGTCAACAGTCACTCCATCTCTGTGCCTCTTCTTCTCGGGTTCCAGTCGCGAAGCCCTGTCCTTGGCAGAATCGCTTGACGCTACGCTCTTGCTGTCCGCCTCCTCAGCGTCTCTGTCCTCGTCGTCTAGCTGGTCGTGGGCCCTCTTCTGTTTCTTCTTGGGTGACGAGACTTGCTCCTTTTGCTCATCGCCTGCACTCAGTTGGGGCGTCGTCGCGCCGGTGGCCCCCTCAGACTTCTCTGAAATGGCCGTATGCTTCAACTCTTTGCGAGCAGCAGCGGTCTCAGCATCCTCCTTGGCGTCGATGGGATCCGACTTTGGGCTACCGCTCTGAGGGTTGTCGGCCATGTTGAAGAAATGCTTGATACAACCTCGTAGTCAATCGGTGTGCTGGTCGTTGTCGTTCGTGGTTGTCCCGCTGTCGTGGGTGGTTTAGAGGAGGTTTTGGGGTCGGTCTCGGTTTCTGCCGACTTTGCAGATGCTAAAGCCAAAAGCGACAGTGGTTAACAAGCGATGGAGTGGCAGGTGACGGTGCCAGCGAATACGTAGGTGCAAGCAAAACAATGAGTCTCGGCCACCGCAAGGGTTATCTACAACAAGGGTTCGAGACGAGTGGTTGCAGGTCAAGAAGTCGAAGTTGCACGTTTTGTCGGCGATTGCGCAGGTATGGCCTTGGGCGGTGGATGAGTTTACGGTGCGGTTGTTGCAGGTGTGCGGGTGTGCGGGTGTGGATGTGGTTGTGGATGCGGATGCGGTGACAACAGTACGGTGCAGTGCCAGTAAGGTACCGTAAGGTAGGTTCCGTAAGGCATAGGTGAGCTGTGAGCTGAGGTGCAGTGTCCGCTGTTTCTGGAGGTTCAGCTTGGCTGGGAATAATTGGATGGGGCTGACCTGGAGCAGACGGCAATCGGCCCAATCATTCGGTGCACCTGGTTCGGATAAGTCGACGACAGAGCCCAGGTTCAATTGGATCGATGGCGGCCCGCATTAGCGTCTCCGGCCTGGTCAAGTCCAGCTCGGTCAAGTCCAGTGTGTTCATGTCAACCTTGAGGGTGACTTGAGGTGATGGGACTGACTGAGAGGGGTAAATTCGTACAGTGCTGAGTTGGACAGCGAGGCACACCAAAACACCCTAGCACCCCCCGCCTCAGCCGCCACCCTCACATTGCTCGCTAATTTTGCACTGACCAGACCTCGATGCTTCACTGCAAGATCCGGGATATAGCACTCCCAAACGGGCAACACGATGCCCAGCCTGTCGGCGGAAAATGCCGTGGCCGCATGCGGCGACGGCGCTCCCAGCGCCTCTGGCACGGAAGGCTCTGATACAAAGCTACCAGCAGAGAGTATCTCTATGTCGAATATCTCATCAGAACGGCGACATGACGCCATAGACAACCTGAATTTGAGGTTTCGCACTCAAAGGGAAATTCTCTCTCATAGTTTGTCCGCAAGACAGGCTTAGGTTTGGGAGTAACAACAAGGACACTTCCTGAATTCTCACTCATTGGCCTACGGCCACAACTCGAAGCTAACTCATACAACACCGTGGATATCTAAGAAAACAACCTACCCCCCGGTCCTTTTCGTCGTCGATGCGAGGGGCCTCCTGAGCGATGACCGTGGTTTGCTGGGACTCCTGCACTCTAACTGATGAAGCAAAGGCAGCCTAGGCCGAGATAGAAGACAAAGAGCGGGTACACCGCGATACCGACGCGGTTCTTGACGACGCCGCTGCCACCTAGAATACTCACTCCTGCAGCCAACGACCACGCCACCAAGAAGAGATAGACGGGAACACGGGCGACTGTCGGAATACCGAACGCCGAGAGCAACGCCGCGATGACCAGGGGAAACAGCGTGTATCCTATAATGCAGACGCTCTGCGCGAATGAACTGCAGTTGCATGTTAGCGCAGCCGGGAGACGGATTTTCTGGTTGCTAGAGGCTACCAGGAGACGACTCACATGCTTCCTCCCAGAAGCTTGATCTGCAACGTGACCACGGCCTCTCCGACCCAAATCATGGCAAACACGCCGCTAAAGACAACGTCCTTCTGATCTGCTCGCGCATTGAAGCTCAGAAGAAGACTGAGCAACAGGCAAAATATGAGGGGTCCCCAGAGATCCCAGTCACGCAGACCAGGCGTCATATTGTTGCCCGACAGAAGAGCTTCCGAATCCATGAATCGATTTGCCAGCCCGGTAATCTCTTCACGAGCGCCAGCGAAGCCAGCCCCGCGAATGTTCGCGTACGCGCCCCGGAGGCCATCGGCATCGAACATGGTCCCCCCAAGGAGATACTTGGGGTAGAGGACCTCCCGCATTTTCGCCCACACGGCAAGGAGATCTCGACGAAGGGTGTCCCACACCGACTCATCGATTGTGTTTTGAGGTGCGGCGCGGTCTTCGCCAGGTATCCGCGAGGTCCAGGCATTCTCGTTTAGAGGTCGCGACGACGAAGAGCTGGAACCGATGTTGCCAGTCAGTGGCTGACGGGAGGACGTGTGGCCGAGGGGATCGTCAAAGTCATCAAGATCGGCTGTCCAACACAACGGTTAGCCTGAGCTGAACACAGCATCAGAAGCGGTATGAATGCTTACCATCATCTGGATCGATTAGGTCGTCGTCCGCCAAGGGAGGATTGGCATAGTCGTCTCGCCTGGCTGTGGATGCCATTGTTGGCTGCAGTGACTAGAGGAGCAAGGTAGCGGTGTTGCGCGTGGATAGGAATGCGCGTGATGTCACACGCTGCAATTAGTTTCTTCGAGCGTCGGCCTCGGCGAAGAAAGGGTCAATTGCAGCTTCGTGAAGTAGAGATGGGACGGGATGGGAAAGTCGGCCAGCTGACGTACGTAGCAGCTTGCGACTCTCAAAAGACTCCACGGTTTCCTCAAAGGCCCAGCGAGTGGTCCAAGCTCCCCGGACCCCGTCCCTTGCGTCGGAATATACAGGCCCGCTCCCCGACCATCTCCCTTCACCAATCACAAGCGCATAGCTGTGCCTCTGGTCGACCCACTTCCCCGTTCCAGCCGCCGCCGACATCCACAGTGTTCCGACTTTCACTGTGGGTCTCCGCCCGGAAATGCCGATCAGCACCGGCTTACCAGAGACGACTAAATTGTCACACTGGAGATGATGATTTAGTGGCAATGGGTGCCATGTACACACAAGACCTCCGCTAATTTTCGGTGCCTGCGAATGGTAACCATGCTACACGGCTCCGAGTTATCGCGTAACTTATTTGTACACACAGCTTTCCAAGCTGACGAGCGTTCGCCAATGTCCCGCGAGCATCTCAATTATTTGAAAAACGACTTCGCCTGCTTCATCTCGTGGGTATCTATCTATCACTCTGCCGGCATTTCTAGTAAAATGCGGGGGTGCCATAAGCCGTCCTCGCCACATGTGCTGTCAAATTGCAAACAATCCGTCCTAAACCTTTGCTGCTACAATCTTCGGTAATTTTTATAAACCAATTCATGTCGTTAATGATTGTGACTGATCGCAAGTCACAACCTCAAATCACAGCCCCCAACGCCGATATGCCAATAAGTAGCCCGTCTACTGCCAGGGGTAGCGATAGCCATGGGATGAATCGTTTGGACCAGCCGATGTGGTGGGAACGTTGTTGGAGTGCCGATTTGAGTCTCCATTCGAATGTCCGCCACCATTGTACGGTGGGGGGGTCTCACCCCAGGACTGGTCTTGCAATGCAGCTCGAGAGCCCGGAGGCTGTTGGTGTTGCCCTTGCTGTTGGTAATGCTGGTGCTCACTATGCTGCTGTGGATGATGTGGGGGGTGATTGTGATTAGGTCTGCCATACTGATCATACGCAGACGTGTACGCAGGCTGGAGCCCAGGCCATGTCGGGGGAGGCTGGGAGTATGTGTAGTTGCTCCTGCCAATTTGGGGAGCATGAGTATAACTCGACGATGTTTCTTGCGCCTGTGGCTGTTGGTATCCGGAGGACGATGATCCGAAACCACTCTTGTGTTTCTCGTCGTACTGTGCCCAGCGATGAACCGCCTGGTTTTCCGGTCCAAGGTAGGACATATTGCCAGCACTCGGATCCCACACCGGAAGTCCGTCAGGCTGTGCCTCGCCACGAGGTAAACCACGGGTGTAAGTAGCAAGATTGCCGTTGATACCAACGAGAGCCCAGGCGAAAACGGCAACGTCTCGGATGGAGCTCATGAGATGATCCACCGGAGGACCGCCGATGGCCATGACGTTGTCGTGCAGAGGCATATACTGTGGCATGAGAGGGGGCCTGAATGCGTAGAGCATTTCTTGGGGACCTTGGGGCCGAATCGGATGATGTCCCCATGGCGCGGCGAAAAGACCGTTGGTGTATGTAGGCGTGACCAGGGGTGGGTGAGGTGCCGGAATAGGTGGGCGAGCTTTCCGTAGCACGACAACCAGCCCGTCAGACGTGCAGGACACGACGGCCTCGAGCTCGAATGTTGGGATTGGTTCACGGCGCCGGTTTCTCAGAGGCTCGGCAGGCGGTGACCTCCGAGGTGCCGGCCCGTCGAGTGGCGGGGCGGTCGTTGCAGAGGTCTGCTGTGTCCGGCTGCTCGAACCGGAAGCCGTCGTGGTTGCCGTCTGTGCAGAGCTGTGGGTTGACAAGTCGGGCCGACCGGTGTCTTCTTGCTTGATGGCAGGTTCGTCGTCAACGTCCATGCGGCCATCAAGCTGCACGCCTCCACCCTCAGAATCGCTGGAGTTCCCACTGTTATGCTCCTCGTCGTCATCTTCATCCTCAAAATCCTCCGGTCGACGCGGGTCTCTGTACCAAAATCGAAGGTAGGCAATGGAGTCGTTGGCTTTGGCACTTTCCAGGCAACGGATGGCATCGGGAAGGCAGTTCTCCTGAATGCATTCATAGAAGCTCTTATCTTTGATCTGGTCCGGCCGGACACCAAGGATGGAGGCTACGGCGTTCGTAGCGAACATGACAGTCAGGGTCCGGGTGAACCTGTTGAGAATGAGAGCGGCGCGCGGCTCGCGCTCCACTGGGGGCATCCTGAACTTGGGTGACAAATGCTCGAGCATGTGGTAGCGAGGGTCCCGAGGAGAGGACGAGAAGATTCGACGGATCTGGGGTGCCTCGATGGCTCGCCCTAGTACGGTGGTTAGCAATGAAGGAGGACATGGGAGACGGAGGCATAGCCCACTTTCACTCCTTTCACCTCGTTGGTAGATACTGGTGCAAGCGACCAGGACATCGTGCACGACTGTGAAGCAACACTCGCAACTCACCCACTGGCCATTTCGGGCCTGGATGCGAACATAGTGAAGCACGGCGGCCTTGTCCAGCAGGACCCCGCGACTGTGAATTGAGCGAGCGAACGGCACCTCCTCGGGGTGGAAGAACTCGAAGCATGATTTCCCCTGCACCTCTTGGGGGTTATAACCCAGGATGTCGAAGACTGAGTCGGACACGAACAGGATAACTGCATCAGGGTCCGTGGAGTGGATGGTCATGAAGGTCTGCTCCATGGCTAACGACGGTTGGCCTGCTGGCAGAGAACAAGGTCTGGGGTTGTATGTTTGGGCACGCCGCAATATTACTTCCGCCTGTCCGCACGGTTCCCGCGGGTATGGGTATAGCCCCAAATGACAACCAAAGACTCGAAACAAAGACAGAGAAAAAACGGCGCCTTTCTGTTTTAGCCAACAGGTCGGCGCAAGAAACGACACCAATGGCTTCGGTTTGATTTCTGGATGGGGAAAGGAATCGCCAAACAAAGTCGATGGCGGGTGTTGTGCGTCGAACTGAGAGGTTGTGTCGTCCGAGAAAGTCGAGCTGAGCTGAGCTGAGCTGAGGTGGACTTTTGCTCAAGATGGCGTTGGTACTAGCGTAGGACACAGATCGCGCTGTCACCTTGGGACGAAAGGTTGCCAGTATCACGAGCTGTACCGACAAAAGTATGTTGGGCTTGCCTGGACCAGGACGGCCGAGGACAGGACAGCGGAGCGGCCAGGATGCTGGTATCCGCAAGATGGCCTGTAGAGATGTGTCCCACGGACGAACTCAAACAGTATGAATTGGAAGTGACAGGATTTGTTGCACACACACTGCCTGCAACTGACGTTTGCCAGAAGTGCTGGGCTGGCTGGTCGCGATGCCGTCGGAGCTTAGGCTGATGATGGTAGGATTGGCTGAGGTGATGCTTATGCTCGTGCTTGTGCGTTGTGCGTGTGCGTGTGCGTATGCGGGCGAGGAGGAGGTTGCGGTCGCCAGTAGTAAAGAAAGGTAAGGTAGTTACGGTACGCAGAAGACAGTTGAGATGGAAGTGAGACCGTTGTTTCTCTAGTGGTGGGGTATGAGCGTTGCAGCGGCGGCGGCGGCAGGTTCAAGCAGAGGCCCTGACGTAAGAGGGGAGGTCGAGGGAACGGTGTTGAAGTAGGGTAGCCAGGTAATCCAACCGACGTTGAACGAACGCTGGATGCGAGCTAGCGGGGCTTCGGCTGAGGTTTGATTTGTAGCAGTAGCGAAAAGTAGGTATATATGTGTAGAGTTTTTTCAATATGCAAGAGTTGGGGTTGGTTTGGGGGCGAGAAGATAGCTTGTTGTTATTGTTGTTCTTGTTGCTGTTGCAATTGCTGAGCATGAGTAGACGGGACTCAAGACGTAGCAGCAGTAGAGGAGGGGAGGGCACCTAATAGTGCCGTATCCTTATTGCAGCTAGGACAATGAAGGGAGAGCGAGGAGGGAGAGAGAGAGAGAGAGACAGAGAGAGAGAGAAAGAGAGAGGCTCGAGTAGTGCGGTGCGGTGCGGCCAGTGGGAGCGGCGAGCATCTTTTATGACAGCTCGTCCGGCTTGTGGTGACGGCGGCGGGGAGAGGCGTCCACTGCGTCTGTGACGGCACGGCAGCGCAGCGCATCTCATCGGCGCAGCGGTGCAGCGAGCGGCTCCCGTTCGAAAAAACGCGGAAGCGGATAGGTAGGTACCTACCTAGGTAACGTAAGGTAGGCAGGCACCTTAGGTAGGTACCTAGGCAGGGCAGGGTCCAGGGAGGAGAGCCCGCTGACAGGGGGGCCCCGACCCAAACCCCGGCATCTGAAGTTTGCAGCGGTCCAGAATGTGGATGTGTCCATGTACCTTACCCTAGGCCGTAGAGGACATTGGCTAAGCAAGGGTATCCGACAATGACAAGCCGCGACTCCTGCGATCCATCCATATGCGTTTGGCAGGTCTCCGAATACAAAACAACACACACACACACACACACACAAAAGAACCGCAACACTTTTGAAATAAATCCAGACCCGACGTAGCTACCTAGTTTTGCCGGTTTCTAAACCCGCAGCTAGGTAGGGACTCGGCCCCCGGCGTACGTCCGTATCCCATCCTGCCCCTGCCCCTGGTCCTGCTCCTGCTCCTGCTCCTGCTCCTCCTTGCTACTTTACGTTCGAGCAAGGTCTTCGGATGAGCTGCATCTCCAGCAACCTGTCTGTCCACAGTCCTCGTGAATACTGTGCAATGTGTATGAATACATGTTTCCCTGGTTGTCGTCCTATTCAGCGGTACTCGCGACTATCCAACGGCAGGGGAAAGGGGGCTCTATGTCTCGTTAAGTACAGGTAGATACCTTATGTCCTACCTACGGTGGTAGCGTAAGGCATGTAGCTGTTGTGCAAGCACATTGTGGTGGCCCTGCATCGTCCGCACCGTTGTCCACCGCGACACACCACTACCGATACAAAGTACACAATCGTTGAATTGACGTTGACAGCGGGGCAAGACAATTCATATAGACGGGCATATGCCTATTCCCTGCTTGTCATGTGCGCTGCCTCTTTTCCCTTTGCCCCATATCGGGCTGGAAAGCCGCGCAACAGCCACAACAAATCGCCATCTTGACACGCAAAGATCTATACCAAGTCAATCAACTTGCAGGTTGACGGAAATGAAGATTGTAGGTGGCTTTGGCATTCGATACCGTATGCGCAGTCTCCATTCTAGAAAGACAATTGGACGTATCCCCGGACATGAGGTCCCCCCACTAGGACGAGCCTGACAACCTCAAATAGCTGAGCCCACGAGGGTTGATTAATGTTACACACTCCGCCTCGCGACCTGGCCTGGGGGCCAGTGGGGGGCTTTGGACTGCCATCCTTACCCTCGCCTTCTGCCTCGTCAACCCGCTCGAGAAAGCCTGCCTGTGTCTGTCGTGTATTTTATCGAGAGTCAGCCTGTCACGCATCCGCAAGTGAGATAGCTAGCTGTGCTTGGTTCGCCGGGATTTCCGACATTCCATGTCAATCACAACAAGTCCCAATCTCTACGTTCATGACTTGTCATGGTATATCACCCACGATAGCTCGCCCTGATGTCAGTCTTTCGGAGAGTACGAATAGTGCCATGTCGCTTCCCAACCGAAGTCGACCGGTGATCCGAGTTGGCAAGCTAATGAGACATGGCTTGCTTTGCCATTATACATGTGGTGGAAAAGAGCAACAGAATGCCCATCAGTAGCCCTTGTTGCATGCCCGGATGCCACACCCGGGCAGCTCGCGCGCATCGACACATCGGAACGTGCGGCGGCTGTCTGTCTGTCAACAGCTGCCGGTGGGGCATCCAACCGGACCATGTCTTTACTATGGTACGGCTTGCGGCATGGATGGCTGGAGACAGCCGCAGGTACCTGCGTGTGCATGGGTGGACGGAGGGAGGAAGGATTGGCGTCGCTTTCCGAAACCAATGGGTCAAGCGCAGTAGCAGACGACGAACGTTTGAAGGGTCTCGGATTCTGGATTTCCATTGTTGAAGAAACGGGAGCTAGGAGGAAGGCAACGAGGCGGCACGATTATATCGCCGGCTAATCGTTGAGACATGCAATACTAGGAATGCGTTCTGCGTTCAAGGCGACCCAGTGCCGGTTTACCTCGGTGGACGCCGTCCTTTTGCGCCCCTTGCAGCTTCAGTGCCTCGTTCTCTTCCCTCCTGCGTTAGCCGAGTGCGGAATTGACGAGCTGCAGAACTTTACTTTGTACATACATGCCTTACAGAGCAGAGGCCACAGAATGTCCTCTGTCATCTGTTACTCGAGCTTGAAAACCCCATTGTCAACATCAACAACGATGAGCATCAGCCCCTGTGCCTTGAGCTCCCCACTATTTTCCTCATACCCATGTCCGTGATACCGACAGCAGACATGGTGTCTGGGGATCTCGCAGGGGATGGCGGACAGCTCTTGTCTTCTTCTGGAAGAGCTTGCGAGAAGACGGCCCTTTGCCCTGATTTGTACTGACAGCCGATAGAGATTGCAGGGCACCAGAGCCCGTTTCTTTCCCCAAGGTCTCGTCTCTGATGCTTGCCCTTCAGGGCCGTCACCTTGCCAGGCCGCCCGTCATCCGTGTCAACGGGAGTGCAAAAGGCTAAACTGGCGTCCGTGTGGGTTGAGCGTTCGGGCAGAAGCTGCGCTATGCTCTGCTAGGCATAGTTCCATGTTCTGTCTTCAGTTGACAGCTGTGAAGACATGAGAACCTGGTTCACCAGTTGGGATCTGCTGCCAGGGTCCCCGAGCGAGCGACTCGAGCCAGCTTATCCGTATTACACTACAACCCGTGATACCTGCCTTCGCGTTGAGAGTGAGCCTCCCCGCTGTTGAGAGGTAGTCGTTAGTTGGTAGGGCGTAGTGCTGCAGACTGGCGCTGTCAGACGGCGCACAACTGCGACCAATGGGCTAGAGCAGACCGGTGATCCGGATGCAAGATGCTCTTCTCAACAGGCCGCGGGGTTGCAATTAGAATTAGACGAGTGATTTTAGCAAGTTACAACCATTTCAATGCGTCTCCATGGCTTGGCGGTTGCGCATGCCAGTTGGGGAGAATCTGCTTGACGCTCAGGCATGTGGTGTTTGGTAGTATCTGGCATCTTCGGGGCTGCAATAAAATATCATGCCTGGATTAGCAACGACGCTTCTCGTTAAGCTCGTAGCAATCCTCTTTTCGGGTCGCATTTCCCAGACTGATGCACCAGCATTCGATCCATTGGGATTTCACAAAACCGTGGTCGCGATGGTGGATCGCCAGATTGAGATTGATCGGGGCTTGTTGGCGTCCATTCGTGACGTGAACCGCATCTAGACAGGTCGCCGGGCGCCGGGCTGGGTTGCAAAGGGTTCGTGCGACGAAGATGGAGATGTCACGGCGGCCCATGGCCATAACCATGACCATGCCTCTGCTGCAGTGCTGCTCCACGAATGACGACCCATGACGGGACAGGTTTATTGGCAGGCAGTGGAGCTCCGGCGCAACGCTTGCCGTGGACGCTGGCAAGCTGGCTGGCTGGATCCCATCCAGAGGATAAACAGCCGTGCTATGAGCAGGCTGTGTGATAATGGAATTGTTGCGAGGGCGATGCGAGGACGATGTTGATATCCAGTGAAGGATGTCTGGCATCGAGACCCGTCGATTGGATGTGAGGGGAGTTTAGGGGGTAATTTACGTCTGTGTGTTTGGCGATCCAGTCATTTCTCACATGCCGGCTGACGTATCCCCAATGCCCGTGGCGGTGGGACGGTAGTAGAAGCTGCGCGTGGTGTCCGTACATTGGGGGTAGCAACGATTGATGTCCCAGGCGAAGCCTGATTGTTGTTGACGAGGGAGATGGAGGGACAGAGAGGGATAGAGAGATAGAGACAGAGAGGAGCGGTCGAGGAACCTCGTGTTACACGGGCGTGCCGTTGGGCGGGCACGGTGGCCGGGGCCGGAGGAAGATGGCAGAAGCTGTTGCTGAACCAGGCATGTCCGAAGTGGCTTGCGGCATCGGATTGCCGATGACCGCCATATCTTGGGGTTGTTCTTTTCTTGTTGATGCATAAACATTCAACAGTCATGATTGAATTAGAATGAGTTGTTGCTGGGAAATGGGCTCTATCACAGGCAGGCAGTCAGTCAGAGTACATACAGTGAGGGTACTTTGTGCGTGCGTGGGTTGACAGGTTATGTACAATGTTCTGTACATCCAATGGAACCTCAAATGTACGTTTTCTCGTGGCCCACTTTCCCTGAAGATCCATCCGCTGCTCCGGCTTGAGCCTTGAGCCTTGAGCCTTGAGCCCTGCGATAATTAGAGAAATGGCCGACGAACTGCACCGGACCACCCGACGCTACCTAGCTTACCTACTGCGCATGCGTACCTTGCTTCGACAGGCCCCGTTTTGGGTCCGTGTCGCTGCAAAGTAGATAGATACTGAGAGGGCATCCGGGACAACTTCTCCAAGGACCCTCACTGTCTGGTGGTCGAGGACGTGGTCAACCGTTTTACCAGGTCCAAAGTTGCGTGCTTGTTCCGCTCGCTTTGCCAGCCCGGGGGGGGGGGGGGGGGGCACACTAGAAAAGCGGTCACTCGGAGCACAAGGCAGGCTGTCAATCCGGAACCCTCAAAGGTCGATCGCCGTCACAAGGCGTTGGGGGTTGGAGTCCAGACTTTGTCTAATTTTGAATGAAAGCAGCCGACTCCTCTGACTGCAGCCCACCTCACCTGCAGTATGCAGTACACTCGCTACCAGGCGCTGATTCAAGACACCACCTGGAGCCGCGAGCGTGCTGCCAGCCGGCCTCCACTCCCCCAAAAAAAAAAAAAAAAAACCACACATACATTCAGGTACCTAGCTCACGATGCCCTGCTGCCTGCCAGCTGCCGTCTACAAACTACCAACTGCCTACGACGCGTCTGCTCTGTCTCACCTCCCTTTCGGCCTGTTTTCTTCTTGTTCTCTCAGTCCCGTCCCTGTCCACCCTGAGGTCGCACGAGGTAGCTACCTACCTAGGTAAGGTACTCCAGGTTGTACGGATACACTGGACCTTACGTGCCCGCATCCACCCGCCTTCGGTCGGTGTCGCTGGCCGTATCCTCCGGCTCGACCCAGCACCTAGATCCACTCGAATTGCACTCCGTCTGCATCACGTCCAGTCCTGTTACTACCAACTGAACTGACTTCGGTCGCTCCTGCTCCTGTTCCTGCTCCTGCTCCGGCCTACCGCTGTCTCTTGTCTCATCCCCCCTGGATATACAGACCTACTACCTCCAAGGCTGACAGCTGCTTGAGGTTGGGTGCCGCTTGTCGGGTCGCTGCCTGCCTGCCGCTGCTGTCCAGTTTCCTCATCCAATCTCTCCAACTGTCTGGTCACCCCAAAACGCGACCTGTCTACGGTTCAATTCCGCAATGGCCCCCACCGTCACTGCCACTCCCTACGACTTCCCTAGGCTGAGAGTCTCAGTTCACCTCGACGACGATACCAGCTATCTTGCAGAGGATGACCCTGTCCCAGAATTTTTTGATGTAAAATTCTGCCCCTACCAGCCGCTGAATGCAAGGCCAGTCTTTGCTGCTGTCAGCAAGAAGCATGTAAGTGCCCCCCTTGAGCTTCTGCCTCAACCAATGCTTCTGTACACTTCTGACTTTTGATGCCACCTCAGATCGTCATCTGCCGCCTCACAGCAACAGCAGATGACTTAAACCCTTGCGAAATCATCAGCATAATTCGCGATGATGATGTGCGTTCTCCCAAGTGGTCCACCCATCCACCCCCAAAAGCAAAATAACTGACTCGACTGCAGCCCGAGGCAAGAAACTACTGCTGCACCTGGACTAAGGATGTTGTGACCGGAAAGCCACTTCTGTGTTACGGTGGTGAGGATGCAAAGATCAAAATCTATGATATCTTTCAGAAAAAGCTTGTCAACGTACGTCCCGCAGGGATACCTACAACTTTACGTCTGTTGCTAACGCATGATTCAGTGTTTAGTTGGCCATGGAGGGGTCAATCACCCTGATCTTGAGTGCCACATATTGCCAAAAGTGCTCGTGCTGATACGAACTATCAGGACATCTGCGACGTCGTCACGTCTCCGTTAGACCCCTTGATTGTTGCCTCCTGCTCAGACGACACAACCGTTCGCATCTGGAGCTTGGACCCAAGACATGAGAAACAGCCTTGCCTATGCATTCTCGGCGGCGAAGGCCATTACTGGAACCTCCTCACCTTGGTCAGTGTCTCCTATTGTCATCTCAAGGAAAGATGTTGTTAACGTCCTCTCAAGGCCTGGCATGATACTGGCCGCTACATCCTGTCCGCCGGTCACGACCAGATCATCAACCTGGTGAGCATGGATTTAGTTCAATACTTCTCTCACTGTCTAACATGAAGACAGTGGACTGTGCCGGACCTCCCGACCGAGCCTACAGATCGTCCTGTCGAGGTCCACTATCCTCACTTTTCCACTTCCGAAGTACACAGCAGTCTTGTGGATTGGTATGTGCTTTGTGGTGACCGTACGTAAACACGAATACTCACGCCAAGCAGCGTCGCCTTCTTTGGTGATTACATCCTCTCCCGCGCTTGCCACGACGATGTCATCGTTCTATGGAAGATTGAAGGTTTCTCCTCGGAAGATCCACGGCCGTCGCAAGACATGGCTCCCACCACCATCAACCCGGCCAATTTGACGCGGTCCGCGTTCAACCCAGGCGTCTCGGCCGAATGTCCAGCACCGTACACCCGTCTGATGGAGTTCGCGACTCCCGGCTGTGGTCCCCAATTTTTCATGCGGTTCAAGCTGCACTTCGTCCCAGACCAGCACCCGGTCCTCGCTTTCTGCAATGCCAACGGGAAGATTTTCTTTTGGGACTTTGAGCAAATCACAGGTTTCCATGATTACATCAAGAAAGTAGAAAAGAACCCTGATGCTCCCCCCGAAAGGCCGAGTTGGTTGACAGCCGTCGTCCATCGTACGCATGGTGGAGCCAAAGCTGAACCCACGGTAAGAGAGCGCAAAGCGGCTGGCAAGGCACACCCGTCAGGTCTTGAGCAAATCCCCACGTTCGCCAATGTGTACAACAAAGAGACGCTCTTGATGTGGGATACCAAGTACAACGTCGAGAACCCGCAAGTGCCACTCAAGCCTCACAAGATAGAGAACTTCGGCGCGTCATCGTTTGTTGGTAGACAGGTGGCATGGAGTCCAGGGGGAGAATGGTGTGTTGTTGTGGGCAGCTCCAATTTTGCCTTGCTGTTGCAAAGATGGGCACCTAAACGGGAGACATAAGACAGTAGACTAAATGCACCGTTTGGATCGGCGTTGATATCGATACCTCGGATAGGGAATAATGATGAAATATCAACGATCGCTTAGCTATCTGCTCGATGCTCTCTGATGGGAAGTGACGAAAATATGGGCAGTATAGGGCCGTCGTCTTCCTCTTCCGGCGCCAGCATTTGCTGAACGAAGGCATCAGCCCGGCCGCCATGCTCGACCATTTTTTGAAAGGTGCTTCGTGCGTTATTCCTCTCTGCCTCGCGCCGTGCTTTTGCTTCAGACATGGGCCCCTCGTCCTCAGCACGCGCCGGGATAAGAAGGTCTCCTATATACAGAGACACCATCCCTCTCAACCTCAGAATTTCAGGGTTTGTAGAATATGGCCGGTCCTCGAGCAAGTCGTCCATACGACTAGCGATCTCTCTGAGGCCGTCCAGCGTGCGCAGCCTAATCTGGTCTCTTGCCTGACGTAGCCGCCGGCCCCGCGAATCTGCCTGCCAGCGCGAGATCCCGTCCTTGTACTCGGGATCGTCCATCATCATTTCATCTTGACTGTCACCCAGAGAGTTTTCCTGCCACGAGTCATCCTCCCAGTCCTCCGCTTCCTTCTCCAGCCTGCGTAACGAGGCCCCATGCTGCGTGTGCACCTGATAAACCTCGTAACTCAGCAGCGCGGGCCAGAAGTCGATGGCAGAAACGGCTCTACGCCACTTGAAGTTGTACGGATATTGTTGGATAAGGTCCTGAAAGTACTCGCGTACCCGTGGGATGTTTCCGGCAGGATAAGCCTCCGCTTCCTTTCCCTCGTCCGTAGCGGCTACGCCGCCTTCACGCATGAGTATCTCGGCGCCAAGAGCCCAGTAATTGTTGCGTCTGATGTCGACCGGTCTACCGTGCACGCTGGACCTCACGAGGATGCCAAAAGCGCGCTTGGCATTGACGACGTCCCCTTTATCCAGGAACGAGTAGATGGCCCTGACAAGAGGCCTGAAGTGCGATTTCTCCGATGAATACTTGGCCCTTTTCTCGTCTTTCTTCCGTGGCCGGCGCCTACTTCCAACATCATGCTCTACCTCCTCATCGTTATCGCTGTCACTCTCTAGCTGTTCCGCCACGGCAGCGGCAGCAGCGCCCTGTTTGGATGGTGCATCTGGATCCTGCCAGGCACGATGCGGGAATTTGGGCTGGTCTCGTGATGGTGGCTGGTCTGTCTCCGCTAGACCAGCGAGGCGGAGTTGACTGAGAATATATGGAGTATGGCTGAGCGGGTTGATTGAGTCGCTAGGTAGGTGAGAGTAGTAGGTGTCATGGCTGTCGCTGATGGACACGGCAGAGGCGGACCTCTTGCGGCTGGATTGCGGCCGGCTCATGGCCACGAACACGATCGGCCAGCGGCTGTTGCTTTGAATATACCCCCTGTGTAGGCTTTTGCGAATGCTTGGTCCCAAGAAAGTGCGAATGTTGGAGCACACTCAGCGGCAAAGTCGATTTTCCTTGCGTTCATTGGGTGAAGTTGAGGAGTTCTGATGGAGGCTTTGCGCCAGTGGGAATCTGGGGTGGGACCAAATCAACTCTATTTACTGATTTAGCAAGCAGGCTCCAGCCTGTTATGCACAACTACACGACAAGGCCACAACGGAATCACTCGACAGCTGAGACATTGGTCATTGGGAGACTGCAAAAAAAGAAAATAAAAAATCATGGTAGTTTCATAGACTTGTAAAAACTTCTCAAGACGGCGAAAAGGCTTGATTACGTTAGAGGCCAGCTAGGTCAATCAGACATTGACGTTTTTATCAGAGCTACCAACGCACGACCAAAAGGGTCTTTGCATCTTGTCAGAATAGACCCAGACTTTCAAGCATCAAACCAGTGCGTAAATCGCATTTCTTATTCCAACCTCCAAGGCAATCGCTAGTCTTGGCAGGAGGGCAGTGCGCGTAACATCAGCGCAACACATTCGATGTCTTGCTTTGCCGCCCAGAACAGCCTTCATTGACCGACTTCACATGGTTGGTTTCCTGTACAGAAGCAACATTTCGATGTATCTTGGTCATCATTGTTGCCTATTATACACAGTCTATATGTGGTAGACGTTTTCTGCGGCTAGCGGCTCGGCTTATTTCCGCTCAAAGTAAGTCCATTGCCCCTCGACAGGCTTCTCCTCTAGGTCCTCCCACCTGTAGTAGCGTTTTGGTCAGTACGTTCGACGCTGGATATGTCGGGACGGATCAGTGACGTACACCTTGGCCTGGATCATCGTGTCCACGAGCTTCAGCTCACCCTCGGCAACCTGGATTACCTCCTCAATGAGGCCAGCTCCAATCTTATTCTCCAGCTCAGCAATCCTAGTCGCAAGCATGTCAGTTCCGCTAATATGCTCAAAAAACCAATTTGCCCAAGACGTACTGGTCGGCCGTCAACTGCGGCTCAGACTCCCACTGAACCTTGGCTACGTCGTTTACATCCTTGCGCTCGGCAAGCAACTTGTGGTCTTGACGCTCTGCCTCGGTGCGCGGGCCCTCCATAGTGCCACCCTCGTCCTTCTCACCGTCCCACTCTTCCAAGCGAACATCCTTGGCCTCGTGCTGCTTGCCCACGACGAACATCCTGTTGCCGAGCTTGACCGTGCGAGCGCCGCTGCCGTCAACGCGACCGCTGACGAGGCGGAATTGTTCAGGCTTCTCCTTGACGATCTGTTCGGCCTTCTTCTCCCACTCCTCGTATCCGGGAGGTACGGTGGCTTCGACAAGGGCAAGACGGTGCTTCGTCAGGGCTTCGACGGATTGGCGGTATAGGGAAGACTCGGGAATCGCCTTGAGCTTGTCGAGGGTGTTGCCGTAGACGTACAGCAACGTCGACCGCGGGCTGTTGTGTGTCCAAAGGCCCGTGAGACCCGTCGGGGTGCCGGGCTCGAGATAACGAACAGGCTTGACGCCCGCGAGCAGGCGAAATGTCCTTCGCATGTTTGCGGTATCAATTGGCTCGAATTGGTGTTGCGGCGTTGGGAGGATTGGACAGTGGAGCGTGAGGTCGGGAGCTGCTATGCCAATGTCGCTCTGATTTGGCTGACCAGTAGACTTCCTTACATAAGTCAGCGTTCAAGGTCACGTGATACCCCACTACCGACGACTCACAGCTTCGACGGCGTGGAGGGAGACTCCACAGTCATGTATCATAAGAAAAACAGCTAGAAATTAGTGTCAATCAGGTTAGGTCGCGTTGGTTCATATAGAATACACTGCGCTTCGCTCATTAACTCTACCACATTCCCCATCAACAGTGTCCTAATCAGGCGGGGATATATCATGCACAACAGTTGTGAATTTCTATCAGCGCAATGGGAAACACCCATCTAGCATGGGTCATATGGGATGCTCTATCTCCTAACTTGCGGGCATCAGGCTTGAAATGGATTATCCCAGGCGGTAATGGGACTTTGGAGCGGCAATATGCCGTTCCAATACATAATGTGGTGTTGTGGTGTATAACAGCAAGGGAGGCTCGAGTCAAATTGACCACAACAAGGGGGAAAAAGAGGAAACGGGCCTCCGCCCTCGTCTCAGAGCGATTCCTTGTTGCCCGGGCCGAGAAGCTTCAGAAACGCCGACAGGCTCCTGGGGAGCAGAAATTGCCATCACTAAGAGTGTGGTAACATTCAAAGACACTAAAACCTATAGGCTTCCTAGGAGGCGCTCTCGCGGCTCTTGCGGTAGCTGGCCTAAAGCGACGGGCGTCAGTACGGTTGGGGGCTCGTTATACGTCGAAGTTTGCGGCGCGACCAACCTCCTGCTCGACCTGCAGGCCGTCCACGATAGGGGCAAGCTCGCTCAGGATCTCGTAGGCCTTCTTGTGATACTCAATCTGAGCAGCGATGAGATCGGCGAGGTTGCGGAGGGGCTCCGGGGTGTCAAGGACCTGATGGCATGATCAGCAATACTCCAGTGAGATGCAACAAGTCATTAAACGAACGTTCTTCATGACACCGACAGCCTCCTCAGTCTGTGTGACGAACTCGTCCTCGGCCTTCTCAATCTCCTCTTGGGCCTCGGGGCTCAGCTCCTGAGGCTGGCCCTCCTCCGCGCGTGGGGATCCAGGACCGAGCTTCCAGGTGGTGCCGTGAGCGCGTGCCTTGGCAGCGTCGAGAGTCAGTCGCGAGTTCTCGACATTCTTGCGAGCACGCGTGGCGAACATCAAGTTGGTGTTCAGGGTGGTGTTCCAGCCAGCAAGGAATCGGCTTTGAATCTGGGCGTCCTGGGCCATGCGAGCCTCACCAACACGCTCCATTGACAGTGCATACTTCTCCAGAGCCGTAGCCAGAGGGTCCTCTCCGGCGCCGGTGTGCTGCTGGTGGAGGACCTGACTGCTAGCCAGACTGGCACGGGCGATGGCATGGTTGAAAGTCTTGGGCTGGGGCTTCGCAGAGGGAGGTGCTGTCAGAGCGGCCTGGGCCTCGGCAGGAGAGCTTGCGGAAGACAGAAGAGTGACCTTCTCGCTAACGGTGCGGCCGAGATCCTGGAATGTCTCCTTGATGTTGGGCGGGTAGTCGTAGGCTTCGTTCGAGTATTGTGAGCTGTCCAGACGCCGTGTTAGTGGGCAAGGACGCCGACCCTGATGCGGTTGCAATGGTTGGATAGCACTCACGTCACAGCCAGCATCTTCTGGTGGACCTGCTTGAGGGCGTCGACTCTCTTCTCGAGATCGATGTAGTCAGGAGGAAGCTGGGTCTGTCACGGTAGATATCGATCAGCCTTCGCTCGGGGTAATGACGAGGTAGCTGGGTTGGCAAGCAGCTACTGACCTTATCCTCGGCTTGGCCGAGCTGCTCCTTGGTGTATTGGAAGGTACGGGAGGCAAAGGGGGTGATTGAAGCCCCGAAGGAGCTGGTTTGCGCACTATTCGTCAGCCTGGAGATGCCCCCCTCGATACGTGAGCCAGGTGCGCGACAAAGGCGTACGTAAAGTTCTTTCCGAGGTTCTTGAAATCCATCGTTGCGGTAATTTTGGGCAGCGTCTGGAGAGAGAAATGCGAATCTAGAATGGGAGTTCAAAGTCGGTGCGTAATACTGTCTTTGCAAGGTGACGTTGGCAGCGACGACAGCGGTTGTGGTTGATGAAGTTTGGCCTCGTGCCTATCAGCTTGAGGTAGACAAGTATCCCGTAAGGTAGGCAGGTACCTTAAATTAGCAGCACAGCAACGTTCACTTCTACCTAAGGTAGCATGCTGTCACAGGCCATCCATTTTCCCCTGGACCAGCGCCAGGGAACGCTAAGAGTCGCGCTAGACACGTGACAGATGGATCGGCAGAGCAACTGGACAGTTCAGTGTTTCTGATTCGTGCTGCTCAGTCATACAGAATTGTGCATGCACGGGCACAGCAACCTGTATTTTTACGCTTCAATGCTCACTCTCAATTCAGGAAGCTGTGTAGGTGGGTGATCGTCATTCTCCCCCTGGGGTTGTGGTGCCTTTCCCACGCACCCAAGAATGCTGAACAGTCGCCCGATATCTCAAACGGGTTGAGGTTCAATCACGTTGCACCCTGACAACCACCTCCCGCTGGAATGGTCTGTTCGCTCGAGGCGACCAACAATGTGGTTCTCAATGAAATATCATGAGCAAATTGGCCCTTTCATTGACCCTTTTATTGATTCCTGCTTTTCCTGTCCTTAAAACGCCACAAGTCTATCATCAAAATCTATGCGCATGGCTCAACGCCGGAAACGCCCCCCTCAAGTCTTAGTCTGGTGGTTTTGAATCTGCCCAGGACGGTTCAATGTTACGGCAGACATTCTCGTAGTCTAGCAGCTTGGGATCGCTGAGTGGTAGATGCGGTGTTGTCCAGAACATGGTCCAGTTGGTATCCCTGAGCTTCCATGTTCCAAGAGACCGCTCAAAATACCACTTGTTCACCGGATTATCCTGTCGGCTACGCCAACATACTCCTTCAGGAAAGCAACCTCGGACCATGGCGTTGAAGACCACATCCGCAACCCCGCCGCTTCCTTGGCGGCTTTTCAGAACAGCAAACTTGTCGAGGTAAGGTACAAGTCGTCCTGTTTTGTAAGCTGTTTCCTCGTCGATACCAAAGGGCTTTTCCCATGTAAGGATCGCGCCGCCTTCATATTCCCCTGCGATGATGATACCAGCCAAGTTCTCGTTGACGCGGTCAAGATAATGTTGAACATCTAACTCTCTGTTGAATGAGTCGTTGATAAGGTAGACCAGCCGCGGAAGATCTATGCAGGTGTCTGTGAGCCTCAGACGAGGTGCTCCTGGTCGAGGAGGCAGCCAGGCGCTGATTGTAGGGTCGGGATACACCGTCAACGGCATCCCCCGTTTGATAAGGGTGGCCACATGCGCATCTCCCGAGACGGCGTCGCCTTTTTTTCCTGAGCGGACTCTTTCGATTGGTAGCGATGAGGAGAAAACAGGCTTGTCTGTTAAGAGGTTATGTATCAGAGGGTTCTGCCTGTTACGCGTCGTAACTCTGGTAAATTCTTGGATGGGCTTATTGGCAGCGGCTGCTGGTGTACTGATGATAGCCGACGACGTTGACGGCAACATGGCAAGCACGCTCTTGGCGAGTTGCAGGTTACGAGCATGCTGTTGCCGCACACTCTCGGGCACCTTTCCCCGTCGCGCCTCTGTTCCCGACGGGTGTGTGAGGGCATACATGATGCCCTCGAATTCTTGTTCCAGGTTAATGTAACGGTGGCATGAATCGTGCTCGTCCGCGAGTGGTGTCCCCCCCGCAGGATCTAGGATAATGACCTTTTCGACAGAGGCCACCTTGACTCCCGCACCCTGGGTGGATCTCGGCAATTCCACGGGGGTCTCACTCGCATTCAACTGAAGTCCACAGAAGTACTTTGTGAGGGCGACGATGGTCTCGTCAGCATCCACCACATCAATACTCTTCATGTCAGTAGCCATTGTCACGGGGGGTATGACCACAATTGCATTGTCCTGAAGAGCTCGAAGTACCATGTGTGGGTACTGAACGTAGACGCTAGAAGGCATGAAGCCCTTAGTGTCAGCCGTGTGCTTCTCTGCCTCGCCAACGCACTGGTCTAGCAGGATCGAGCCCGGTTCACCAAAGATCTCCACAGCTTGTTGGACCCGCCAAGACTGCTCTCTGAGAATCTTTCGAGACGACTGCGATCCTCCGTCAAGAACGATAACGCTCACAAGTCCAAGTTTGCGGAGTTGCGAAAACGTCTTGGCGATAGCGCTCAGCGTTTGGTCGTCCAGGTCTTGCGGAAGAGTCATCTTGACAATGGCGAGGTTGACGGGCTCATCCTCTGGCACACATTCCTGTTTCTTCGGCGTGCCTTCGCCCTGGATGAACTTCGGTGACTGGTTGACAACTCTGATAGAAGAGTAGGTCTGATCTGGTGTTTCTTGAGAAGCACCCGTCTTGCGCTTCTTGGCGTTATTTTCGCCTGGCGGAGCATATTTCTGCAGGTAGCCCTTGGCATCACGGCGAGTCGCTGAAGCCTCCAGCACAGACACTATGAAATCCTATAACAATAGTCAGAGGTTGTTGCATGGCGCAGTGATCATTGAGAGGGCATACCCGATCTTCAGCCCTCTTCTTTTCTCGTGCCTTGGAGCTAGAAGAGTGTCTGACAGCTGACAAGGCAACTTGCAAAGCTTCGTCCTGCCGGGTGCCACCCGACCTTGGACGGTGATACAGTCTGCGGTTGGGTGGGCAGCATGAATCGAGAGCGAAAGGCGCCTAATAGTACGAGTTAGAAGGTGCGCAATAAAGAGCGGAACTCGGCGTGCAAGGGCAGATAGAGACTCACTCTTGAGACCAAATGCCCAGCCTGCTTTAGCGCAGGAGTACGCATATTGCCCAGTGACTTTGCTGCGGTGGCTAGGGTAGAAAGCTGCTGAGAAGAACTTCTAAGCCAGATCCTGCACACCGTCTTGGGGAAAGGGCCGCAGAGCTTCGGAATGAAATGACGAGGTCCAGTCGTCAGCTTGCTGCCAGCATCTGCTCTGCAATGGCTATGGATTTGAGAGTAAACGCAGGGGAAGCTGAACACCGGTTTCGCGAGCACTATTGTTGGACTCCACAAGCAGCGCGTGTCGAGAGGGGGGAATGGGTCAAAGCCCGGCCATCTCTTCAGACGGCCATTCAGAGCGAGGTCTGTTCGGGCGACGATCAATGACACTCTGGACAGTGCTCGGAAGGATGGCGTGTGTAGAAAGACAGTTTGAGGAGTCGGTAACGAAGCTCAAGAGCGAAGGTGAAGACGTTGGGCCCTGACCCTGCTTAGGACCAAAGACTTCCCACATTGTGAGTCAATCAACCTACCAGAAGCCCGACTGATAAGCGGATAAGGCCTGCAGGGTCCCCATCACGGAGCCGGCGATCGGCGACCGTAATGTATCACCGTAGCACCGAGGCGAGAAGTCGGACAAGCAACAGAGGTAGATGGCAACTTGAGAGAAGCGGATAATTGGCGCATAGTCTTAGGTTGTCGCGGCATTTCCACTCGCCCGCGATGCGCTGCTGCGAAATAACTCAACATGTGACGGCCCGCTATCTCTCAACTGTCCATCGCCTGAAGGGCTGCGCGCAATGAAATCACTTACACCAGATGCAACGGGCAACGAGGCAGGTTGTCGACATTACTGTGCCGCAACGCAGCGATTTGGCTGCATGAACGGGAGCTGCCGCAACCCCGTTCCATCGGAAACAAAGCCATCATCTCGGTCTCCGTTGATGTACCAGGTTGGGGCCCTAGCTAGGTACTTTGAAAGCGCCTCAGTGCTCCAGTGTCTCTGCGTTTGCCGACCCCGCTTCTACCTGACCAACCTACTGAGTGGTGGTGCATCAGCCCGCGTTGTCACCTCCAGTTTCATTAGACCGGACATCCCGAACCAACTGCCGCTGGCAAGTTACTTATTTCATCGACCAATGCTTGTTCATCCATTGACATCAAGCACTTCCGCCTTCATACATAGGTTTGTTCTTCTACTCGACGTCGGCTGATACCTGAACCTCTCAAGTAATTCCCCATTGACAACGACAGCTTTCACAATGTCCCGGACTCTACTCTGGATCGGCCTTGGCAACATTGGGAGGGTGAGTGAGCCTGTCCACATCTCCACATGTTTGATTACCTACCTGGTCAGACAAGAACACTCACTGATCATTCTTTCATCCCAGGGCATGTGCCGAAATCTCGTCGAGCAAGCTCAACTCGACAAGCCACTGCTCATTCACAACCGGACTGTGAAACGTGCTACGGATCTCTGCCAAAGTCTGCCAAAGGGCAAGTCCGAGGTTGCAGAGTCTCTCGCTGATGCCATTGGCAAAGCCGACATCATCTTCTCCTGCATCGCCGATGACAAGGCTGTAGAAGAGGTCTTCGCCGTTGCTACTAATGGAGACATCAAAGGCAAAGTATTTGTCGAATGCTCAACCATTGCTCCCGAGACGACCGACGCTGTCGCAAAGTCGGTTTTGGAAAAGGGCGCTGAGTTCATCTGCGCGCCCATCTTTGGGTCCCCCGCCATGGTAGCCGCTGGGAACGCGACGTTAGTTCTTGCAGGCCCGGAATCGTCGATCAAGAAGATCCGCCCGTACGTCGATGCGATGGCGGCCCGGGAAATCAACATGGCCGACGAACCATACCGCAAGGCATCGACTCTGAAGGTGCTTGGTAATACCGTGATCCTCGGCATGGTTGAGCAGCTTGCCGAAACATATGTTGCTGCAGAGAAGAGCGGCCTGGGAACGGGTTACGTGAAGCAGTTTGTTGAGGCCATGTTTGGTGGCAGCCCGTACCCGGCGTACACAAACCGCATGCTGGAAGGCGACTACTATAAGAGAGATGAGCCCCTGTTCGCCGTGGACCTGGCGAGAAAAGATGCCCGCCATGCCATGGCTATTGCGAAAGCTGCCGGCACGCGGTTGCAGAACATCGAGACTGCTGACAAGCATCTTGAAATCGTCAAGGCACATGTTGGACCTTCGGGTGACATGGCAGGTATCTACGGTGCAGTGAGGAAGGAAGCTGGCCTCAAGTATGAAAACGACGACTCATAGACATAGAAACATGTAACGACGGGTACGAATACTTGTTTGTTACGCCATTCCATTACTGTTGCAGAGCGCTCATGTCCCCTGGGCACAGTCAGTTAGGCGTCGTGGCATGCAATACGCTTCATAAGCTGCCTTACTGTACAGACTGAGAGTACGTAGTATTCGTACCTAGCTGGTATTGACGGGGTTATTTGTGACTAAGCAGACATGCGGTAGGCGATCACAGTGATTCGATGTCCGCCTCCTGTTTCTACACTGTGCATGCACGGCGTGTGTAGCTGCATCGGTGGAGCCCAGTCCCAACCTCATAGCGTGCTCTCAGCCTCCCGTCACCGAACGACGACAGCACTGGATCAATCGACGAAGCGACAGCACTGTACCATCGCAAGCCTGACGCCTACTGCTTTCTGCATCGAGGAATTTCCTGAAAATCAGCAACATGGCGCAAGGGCATGTCCCTCCGTCTTTTCCCGTTATTGACGCGACGCTGACACAAGCCCAACAGGTATAGCATTTTCGTCGGCCTCGTCATCGTCGCTGCCATGGCCGCCGCTGCCTGGTTCCTTTCTCCAAAGGGCGAAAACCAAATGTAAGCTATCATGAAGCTCTGCGATGCCGACAAGTGCTCTGGCGTTCCTTTGTTGCACTGTGACTGACGTTAGCTTCAGCATCTGGAGATCCTCTCTCCTCCTGGCCCTCGCATGTTGTTATCTCATGTGGGCCATCACGTTCCTCGCCCAACTCAACCCCCTGATCGAACCGCGACGCAGCGACATCCGACCGGGCTTCGAGCACCACTAATGAGATTGATGTGCTGGCGGCACAGCGCCGCGATGGAACCGATGTACTATTACTGCTTCGCACTACTACAATTTCATATGGCTGGCGTTAGGGGTTGGCTGGGGTTCTGTTATAGTTGGTCAAGAGGCCGGCTGTCGTACACTTTAACGAACTCGTACTCTAAGCTCTGGTCGACGATAAAGTGTGCCGGGGAGATCGCACGCAAGCTGGTGCAGCATCAGACGCGTCAGCGGACAAGCAAGGGGCACGAGGACGCAACATCATGTTTACGCTATGTCAGGTATTAAATGCTACGGCGGGTTTCCTGCCCATGCCATTGCTCCTTTGCTATCTTCTCTTATCCTGCTGCCAAGTCGCTCGCCCATTCCCTGACGTACATAAGCAGAGCCCAGAGAGCCTTACCATCTGCGGCAATGCTCGTCTCCCCGATAGAATCAACACCATCCAACCCGGCAGCCCAGAAAATACCACGCCCTACTGACCACCGCGCGAGAGCACCGGTGGTGGCCAGCAGCGTGGCGACTCCATAACCGCAGTCCAAAAGTATCCGAAGAGCCTCAACATTGTTCGCAACAACGGCCCACCCGAGCGATCGCGCAGCAGCCGGCACGTCATACTGCCATATAACCATAAGAATAGGAAAGAGCTTGGTCGAGGAAGAGACAAGGAGTGCGGTCGATACGGAATTGGGACGAGAATAACGAGGCAAGATATTGAACATGCTGAGCGGGGAGAGTGTCGACGAGGTCATGAAGCGGATGCTCACGTGAAAGGCGACGGTCGATAGAGCACAGAGTATGACTAGTTAGGCGAACCTTTAGTTCCTACGGAAGCAGCCGCATCGGCAAAGGGAACAAAGAACGTACGAAAAAACATGTATTGCGACACGATTGACTGCTGCGTCAGACTTCCTAGGTTTGCGCCCTCGTCTTGGGCCGACATAGGACCAGTCTGCTTCTCAATGCGGGCCCAAGTCAGGTAGACATCGAAGAGTAGCAAAAGCACGCCCAGCCGGACGATGGAAGACTGAGTCGAAGCGGATGATTAGTGCGACTGTCTCTTTGGCTTTGGAAAAGGCTCATATCTAGACTTACATCAAAGCGGTCGTCGTCTTTCATCAGTGTGTTGTGGAGTAAATGGCGGTAGACCTGAGGCTTGATCAAGACGAGGTCGATGAAGAGCACGACGAAATCGTGCTCCACGTACTTGTCGCAGAACTGGCCGCAGTTCCTACAAACGGTCAAGCGAATGTTGTGGCCGCTTGACTTGTCGTCGGCATTGGAGTATTTGGTCCATAGTGTCTTCACCGGGTGCCGGCATTCGATACAGATGGGCATGTCGAACAGAGTCGGTACTATGCACGGGGAGAAGGTAGCTTGCTATCGCCACGCGTCATAGCCGAGAACCCCAGGCAGGCTCTAGCTGAGTCGCAACTGTGGTTGTTACGGACCGATGTTCGACTCAGCCTTGTCTTTCGGACGTGATGTGGTTTGAGCCTGGCCTTGGTGAAATCTGTAGCAACCTCACGCTGGTGGTGCAGACGATGATGCTGCAGGTGCCAGGGGCTTCAGGAACGGCACCAGACTCGCCTGTGTGGGGCCGCTGAACTACATCGCCCATGACACTGCACCGTAGGGACGTGGAGGGATGTCGGGGCGGAGCGCGAGGTCGGAATTCCCACGCCATCTCCGTCCACATTTCTACAGTGTACCATGCATGTAGGTAGCGACACTATCCGTAAGGTAAGGTAAGGTACCGTAAGTACCTGTCCTAAGCCCCACCTCGCACCTCAGCAATTACCTAGAGCCCGCAGGCCGCTGATTCGGGTCCCAAAAACAGCATTGAAGCGAATTGGGGGAGAGGGATGACAGGACAGCCGTGACAGCCAGGCTCCAGTGCAGCCACAAATCCAATCCACCCCGCTGCAAGCACCGCTAATCATCATTAAGCAATGGGACAGGGCTCCTGAGTTTGGTTACGTCGTCTCAACCAAGGGTCCCGTTCCCAAACTCCCAGCCCAGCCCAGTCCGGTCCCATCCAATTCCCGTCTCTAAAAGCGAAGCCAAGCCAGTCCAGTCCACGTAGCCGTAAGGAACCTTGGGTGCGTGGTGGTGAGGTCCAGAGGAAAGGCACACAATGCGCACGCTCCTATCTGTCTACATTACCTCACGCAGTAGCAGTAGCAGTAGCAAACCTTACCTAGGTCTTTGGGCACCCGACTCTGTCTGTCTGTCCCCTACCTTACTTGTACCTACTTCCCTTTCCCGTGCCTTAGCTAACGTCCATTACCCCAACTGCCTTTCACAGCGAGTCTGCAACTACTTACTACGTTATCTACTTGATACCGTACCTGCGCAGGTACTCAACGCGGCTGCACATCAATACTCTTTCTCATCTTTCTTTTCATCCACTCATTCCTCACTTCCTAGCCGGCTGCACTCATTTCTCCCTGAAGTGCGCCCTGGATCCCCCCCAAGACTCTTGCAAGCGCGTGTCCGCATACTCTCCGACATCGAACTTAATCCTCCCTCCGACCGGTTCTGACGACCTCGATCAATTCGCCATTCACGTTCCTCGTTCTACCTACCGTACTCCGAAAGGTTGGTGTTAGGGAGGGGTTTTCGAGCGTGGCCAACGAAGTTCTGTCCCTCGACCTGCCGCCCATCCGAGTGAGCGACCGACCCTCGTCGATGATTGAAGCCGCGCGCTGATGCCATCTCTCCAATCTGTGTACCACCTTTCCGACGAGGTGGGCGGCCTTCCTCGACTATGGCGGACTCCCTGAACCCGGTTGGGTCGGCATCTCACATGTCTTCATCCGCCCTCCTGCCAGCACGTCACGATGCCGAAGCTCGGCCACGTAATCGCCGCCTTATCAGCACCGCCGAGGACTCCCCCGCAGGCCCCATGGAGAGGTTGACGGCTTCCTTTTCTGCTCTTCGGTCCCCGACCAGCCACGAACCGAGCCCTATGCCCTCCGCTCAACTGTCCCGGGACAGCTCTGCCAAACCAACCTCTCGTAGTGCATCCGCCACGAATCGTCGAAATAACACTGCCCCGTCTACTGCCAGTTTTCTGGACACATCTTGGTCTCAAGGATGGGCTTCGATTCAGGGCTTGGCTTCGTCCCTCTTGTCCGGTGGGAGTGTACACGATGCCGGCTACGAGTCAGATCACAGAGAGGGGAGGCGAGGTGTCAATTCCTTGAAAAGAGACTACTCTACCCCCCCGCGAAAGGCACCCATAGCCTGGGGTCCTGAGCCGCCGTCCACTTCTCGCCCAGGTCATCAGGACATAGCAGCAGGTTCTCTAGCAGAGAGGGAGGCCGCTCTCAAGGCTGCACGAACAGCGAGCGTATTGCAGAGTCACGAAGGCGTCAACGGGGGGCTTGATGTGACGGGCAAGTACAAGAGGAGGAACTCAGATGAAATCGCCAGGGATAATATACAGGATGAGGAAGTGCAGGATCAGTTGGTGTATATCCATCACGTGCAGCCAACTGACACCTATGCGGGCATAGTGCTCAAGTACCGGTGTCGCGAAGATGCTTTCAGAAAAGCGAATGGACTGTGGTCCAGGGATATTCAGGTCCGCAAATGGCTGGCCATACCCGTAGACGCCTGCGAAGTCAAAGGCCGCCCGTGCGAACCCCCTTCCCACGACGGTCAAGCAGTCGACCTCCTGGCGCCCACGCCGGAACTCAGGATTGGTCACGGACATAATAGTCTGACATCGGATCATTCACAACCAGTCGACTTTTTCAGCCTGCCGACCACCAATGGACTGGCGGATGCTAAGAACGAAGAACCGGAAGATCCGCCATGGACGCACGTTCGATGGGTGACATTGGATTCGAATCCAAACCCGGTCGAGATTGCCCGTGTGTCGAGGAGATCGATTGGATACTTCCCGCCGCGGCGCAAGAAAAGTCTCCGCTCTGCTGCCTCAACATTGTCAACCCCAAGACACTCGCTCGACGCCTCCGGCTTTGCGGCGGGGTTCACAGAGAGCCCTGAACAAGTAGGCAGGCCGTCTTCTCGTAGACAAAGCAACCTGAGCACCAGGCCAAATCTGCCGAGCACACCGGGAAGGTCGACGCCAGCTTCCTCCAGGAGCAGAATGAATAGCGATGCAGCGGACACGCGACCGGCGTGGATGAGGCGGCCTGGCGGTGTCGGCTCTATGGGTAGAAATGTGCGGGCACCTGGCCCAGACAAGGATTACTTCAACACTTGGGCCAAGAAGCACCTCCCTGGCATCGCCATCGACGAATCTCTGCCGTCCATCTCCGTCATGGGATCCGAAACGGCGCATTTCGGTTTTCGGCCTGGGTCTAGCAGCGGTATTGTGGAAAGCTCGTTCGACGAGGGACAGGATGTAGCGGCAGCCTCCCGGCAGGGCTCTGGACTTGATCGCGCTGCCGCCGCTGTGGAGACATGGCTGCGCGGCGCGTTTGCCAAGTCTCCCGGGACGCCCACGCTAGGGGGCCGGGGCCGTCAGCTGGACGATCTTGACTTGATAGAGTTGACGGATGCCAACAGCGATGACGGGAGGCTGCCAACCCCGGCTGTCGGCGGGGGTGGTGTTACGAGCACAGGACTGCTGGAGGCCACGCCGATGTCAATTGGCTCAACAGGGAGGAGCGATGGAGGTGGGACTGTCAGAGGACGTGGTTCAACCAACAGCTCGAGTGCTGCGAAAGGCAAGAAGTCCGATTAGACATTGACAATCGACAACAAAGCCATCCGTGAGCCAATGGAATCCTCTGATAGCATCTTTCTTGGGTACCAGAAGCCGCCGCAGGAGTGGAGGCGGCAGCGGCAACGACGACGACGATGGTGCGTGGGGTGGAATGAGCTGGCCGTCGTGTTCTTTTACTTCATCGAGATAAGACTGTGCATGGGAAGGCGTTAGCGGGCATGACAGGGGCAGGGCAATGGAAACAGAGGGCTTCCTTTATTGCCGATGGCAACCTCAGCAGGAGGGGGGTCTTAAAGCTCTCTTGAACTTCCAACATGATTTATACATCTTCATACTAGACTTGGGACAACGGGTGCTTCTTCTTTCTTGTCTATTTTTGTCCCTGCTTTTTTCCTGTTGAACCCGATGACTTCTAGAGGCAGAAGAGAGAGAGAGAGAGGTGTGCGTTAGGAGGCGAGCGGCTCACAGTCCAGTTACGCCGACTAGACAAATTCTCGATCTATCCATGTTCACAAAGTTCAGAGACTGAAGTGTTTTGAAGCTCATTGAATATGAAGCTGGGCAGATCCGGAGCATGCATTCAGTGGCCTAGAGTGGGCGTCCCACAAGTCCACCCAGGTTATAGATGTGTATCTTCGTTGAACGGTTCTCAAACAAGGTAGATCTCGCCGTACCACTATTCTTGGTATCTTCCGTTTCCCTGGCTGTGTTCTCTCATGGAGGAACGCGCAATGCTCCTGATAAGCTATTCTACGACCAAAGCCCATCGGCCCGTCACACATAACTCCAGTACCGCCAACTTACGCGGTGTCTTTGCCCATTGCCCCTCACCAAGAGGCGTGAAGGGGGCAGTTATGAACGGCCCTGTCCCTCATCTTTCTCAGACCTACTGAGGTCCCAGCCCCAAGTCGATATTCATGTTCGCTAGGTCCCCGTTGTTAATACCGAAAAATTGGAACCTGTTGCCAGATATTAGTCCACGAACCTTCATGCTTTGTCTGTGTCAGCATGCTCGCTCGACGTACCAGTCTTCAACGTTGAGAGTATTGGGAACAGGCTGCCCTTGTGCAGATCCTGTGCTCCAGCTGTCGCTGGGACTGTGCCCATCTGGCATCAAGCCATCAAAGTTGGCCGTCCACAAACTACTGTTCAAATTGCTATTGTTCTGCCCATGGCCCTGTTGCTGTTGTTGCTGGAAACCCTGTAATCCCGGTACTACGTTGTGCCCTTGCGGAGGGCTTCCGCCTAGCCCTGCCTTCGTTGCTGCTCTCTGTTGGAATTGACTGTTCTGGCCAGACAAGCCACCCTGCAGATTGGGATTTTGAAGTTGTGCCATGAGCCCAGCGTCTATGCCCCCTTGATTTGGAACCGAGGGAGACATTTGAGGAAAAGCCGGCATGCTGGCGCTATCAGGGAACAACTGATCGGGCTGGAAATTCTCCCATAGTGATTGCGAAATGTTCGGCGAGTTGCGCGTTACTAGGTATAGATCTGGTGGCGTTGCTGGGACTGAGAATGACGGGTTGAACGGAGTCGCCGGCCTCGTCTGTGGCCTCGAAGATGTTCCACCCATGAAGGTGTCGGCATTCTGTCTAGCATTTGGAGACGTGGGTGGTGGCATGGTTTGGGAGTTGGATGATCCGTCGCCCTTCATATGGCTGGGCGTTTGAGGACGTGATCGCTCGTACGATTCCTGAGGCGTCGGTGTGTTGACGCTAAAGTCAATCGCCATATCGTCATACTTTCTCTTCGCCGCTTCTTGGGGTCGTTGCTGCTGTTGCTCGAGTTGAGCCAGAGTTTGTTGTGCCTTCCTGTGCCTCTTGCCGGCGGCCTTTTGCAGACGTTCTTCCAGTACTTTATTTCCGATGATGGATTCGAACAGGGTATAAACCATCTTGCCCACCAACCAGACGCGCGAAACCTCCTTGAGTGCTTGCATACACGTGCGTAACCTGTCTTGGGTCACCTGTTGGATCGAGGGGACCGGCGACCGCATCTGATAAACGTGCATGATGAGTGCGGAGAACAGACTGTACACGACAAAGGCCGGGCAAAAGCGTAGCTCGCCGTGAGCAGCTAGATTTTCGATGATAGAGGTAATCATGGCCGCCGCCTGAAAAGCGATGTTCCGTGATGGATAAGGAGCATCGTCGGGAAATCGGCTTCCACCGTTTGGTGGCATGTGGGCCCGATGTAACAGACATAACGTTGTGTAGTAGTTGGAGTGAAGCAGCGCAGACCAGAAGTGATGCCGAGCAACCTCCCAGTACACGAGCTTCGGGCAGTTCTGAAGCCAGTCTGCCAAGGCCATGTCGCTGTGCGTTAAATCAATGGCGTTGCGTTGACGTCCTTTGGAAGCAACGGAGTACTGCTGTGATAGCACCAAGCCCATGATCTCGCATAACTTGACGTACTGCATGAAAAATTGGACATGGATCGGATCTGGAGGGTATTCGCTGTTCCGGTCGCCTTCGTCTTCGATGAAATCGTCCTCGGTAAGCATCTCCACATCCGAGTCGTCTAGGTTGATATGCACTGGCCGACCGAGAGCTACAGCTACGGATCTGTCGCGTGTGAAGAGAGTCCACCAGATCCTTTTCCATAATCTCTTGTCGGAACGACTCAGCTGTGACTGCTCCACGCTGCGGTGCATCCCGGATCCCTGGGCAACAATGGTGGCTACACGACTCCAGTAAAAGACGTTCTTGGTCACATCTTCGGGGCCTTCCCAATACCAGCCCATCAGCAGCAAGGACTGGACGATGGTCACTCGATCGTCTTCATAGTTGGCGTCGTACAAGGCTTTGGCCCTCTTGTAAAAGGTAAGCGCGGCAGGGGTTGTCGAGCCGTTGGCATCCATCAATTGCGGATTCGTACAGACTCGAGAGCCGGCCAGCAGCACAGCCTGCAGTAGAAGTAGAGAGGGGGGATTTTTGGGGTCGCGGTATTGCCTCATGAAGCGAGTACGATTGATGACGGGCACAATCGGGTGAACCCATTTAAAGTAGGAATCAATGAGCTCGTCGCAGAGAGACCTGGGCGGGAGGAGGAAGGCACCGCGCTGGTGTAAGATATCTATTTCCACGTTGTCAAGCTCAGTGAGGCGGGCTCTTGAGCCCCTGACATTTTCGGGGAGAGGATAGTGAACCACGTCGGAGGATCCTTGGCGGTCGTGTACCAGCAATGTCAAGTTGGATGACTCTCCCAGATACGCGACTCTGCCAGCATCGGTGATGGGCGCTCTCGTGAACTTAGGCTTCATGACCAAGTTGAGGTAGGTGCCGCTATCAATTTCCTCTTTTCGGGCCTGTGACTCGGTGTATGTAGAGGACGGAGTGCCATCGGTGGTGTGATAGACGGCAGGTGTTCTCGGCGGAAAGGTGCCCGGAGCAGCAGTGCTCGCAGCTCGCGGAGAGCGGTCCTCGGCATTGTCCCCCTTCTCGCTAGAGCGAAGCTCAGTTAGCCCAGTGCTTGGGGCAGATGGCAGCGGTGAAGCTGGAGCAGACCTGTCCGAGTCTTTATTTGTTCCGGCATTTGTAGTTTTCTTTCTCTTCGGGGTCGGGATGCGACATTCGATTTGGAAGGCCACGCAGTTCGTGCAGGGCACGCCGAGGCTTGCGGCATCGCATCGTACCTGAATCGAATGTCAACACAGAAGGACGAAACTTGGCGGGTTGTGGTTGGGCGCGTGTGGGGGGGACATCTGGATATGGACGGTCTAGATATCGGGAGCCTCGGCACACGAGATTGAAAGGTGAGAGGGGGGTCGCGCTTGCAGAGGCTAATCATACCTTGCGTGCGTGGCATGTCTATGAATGCAAAGGCCAATGGTCAGCATGGTCCGGCATCGAGGATAAGATCAGAACGGGTGCGGGATCGATCTTGCAGCGCAACGCGGCGGCGCGGCGCGCTCAGCGATGCCTCGGCATAAAGTGGGCAGAGGGGCCATGGGAATGGCGGGCGCTGCTCTGGGCAAGGTAATGCGGGAACTCTACATACCTCGCATGCTCTAGAGGCTCGTTGCCTAAAGCCAAACGAAGCAATGTCAGCACGCACTGGTTCATGACTTCTCACAAGTCATCGTGATGGTAAGGAGTATGCTGGACGTTGGGGACGAACCTGCGAAAACTCATGTGGTTGGCGGCGGCGGCAGCGGCGGCGGCGGCGGCAGCCGAGGCAGAGGCAGAGGCAGAGGCAGAGGCAGAGCTCCCAGATTGGGGATTGGGGCTTGTGTTGGCGACATTAGAAGTTCCCCCCGCCTGGGATGGCGAGTCGGATTTCTGGGGGGTTGACTGCTGCGGCCGTTGAAGATTTTGGGCCGCAAGGTCTGCGGAGGACATGTCGACGTCCATGATTGACTCGTCCTGGTCTGGCGACCTGTTGGCGGGCGATGCGACGGGGTCGGGAGAGTTGTGAAGAAATTCGTCGACGAATTTCGCTGGTCGACTAGTAATAGGAGCAAAGGCGGATGCTGGAGCTGGAGCTGGAGGCCCGGGAGGGAATAGGAGTGGCAGCAGCGCCGCTCGCTCTGCTTCTGGCACTGGGCCTGGCAACTGCAGTGGCCCAGGCGCAGCAGGGTCTGCAGGTCGGAGCAGAGGCACTGGGTGTGTCGGCGTAGACGGAAGTCGGAGGGCCTCGAGGGCCTGGTGCTGGAACTTGAACTGGGATTGGGGCTGGGGCTGGAGCTGGGATGACTGGCGGTGCTGGACGTGAACGGGGAGTGGTTGTGGTGGGCGATGGTAATGGTGTTGGGCTGGGTACGGGTAGTGGTGGTTCTGGAGTTGGAGCTGGTGGGCGTAATAGCGTGGACGTTGCAGGAGATGGTTCTGGAGCAGACCTGGATGGTGCTGGCGCAGTTGGTTTTGGTACAGCCGGGACTGGTTGTGGTGGTGCAGCAGATGCGGGTGCGGGTGCGGGTGCGGGTGCGGATGCGAATGGAGGGGGGGTGCAGGCAAAGCTGTTTCTTCTGGGTGGATGGAACAGGAACTGGTGCTGTTGCTGGTGCTGGTGCTGGTGCTGAGATCTGAGTTGGGGTTCAGAATGTGCCAGTCTGCCGACGACGACCCAGCAAGACCAACAGGAGCAGCGCTTATCAAAGGGTCCAGTTGTAATAAGGATACGAGCGGGTCTGCCGCCGAGGGATCAGCGCTGCCGTTGTCGTCGTCGTTGTCGTTTTGGTCTTTGGTTTTGTCTTTGTGCTTGTCCTGGTCCGGCTCAGGCGCAAACACAAGCGCGGGGTGTGGAAGAGGAGGCGCAACGGCGACTGCAGAAGCAGCAGCGTACTTGTAAAAGGATACAGGCAGGGGTGCGAGTGCAGGTGCAGGCGTACGTGCAGGCGGCGCCGACGCAGAAGAAGGAGACGATGACGGAGGGAAAAGCGCAGGTGCAAGTGCAAGTGCAGGCGCAGGAGTTGCAGGTGCGAGTGCGGGAGAAGATGGCGCAGCACCGCTGTGCTTGCCTTCTCTGCTTGCTGCTGGCGCCGGAGCGGCCTCGTGTTGTTGTTGTTGTTGTTGCTGCTGCTGCTGTTGTCGACGCTGCCGCTGGTGTTGCTGCAGCTGGGCTTCGTCCAAGCCGTCGCCGTCGCCGCTGCTGTAAGTCGTCGTCTCTGTCAGAAGCCAGGATTCGGCCGTGTCAGCACCCTGGCCTGCTTCTGCTTCCGCTTCCGCGTCTGCGTCCACTGCCGCGTTGTTGAGCCCGACGTTAATGTCGTCAACAACTCCCGTTTCAAGATTGGACTTGCTGTTGAAGTCGATGTCCAGCCCAACAGGCACAGTGCTGAACACCACGGCCGGAACCTCGATTTCGCCATCGATTTCGAAGTCTGGCGCAAGTGGCCACTGCAGCACGGCCATCCAATCCACGGTACCGGGAGAACGGAGACCTAGAGACCTGGTAACACGAGGCGAGGTCGTTCGAGGCAAACTGTGCAAAGAAAGTACGCGAATTGAGAGGGCAGAACTCAAGACAGATTCATGGGCAACTCCCAAGATAGAAGCTTGAAAGAATCGGCTGACCCCGGCACCTTATCCTAAGTCAACCTCTCGTCTTCCCTTCGATGCGCCGCGATGCCGAGAACAAGCAATCATGCAGTGGCTGGCCTGTCACACTTTTGTGGCAACGGGTGTCAGTCTGCCTCGAAGCTCCTTTGCCCTGACGTGCAGGATGGTCTTCGGCCCTGCTTGCTTCTTGCCTCACTCTGCAGCTGCAGTTGCTGTTGCTGTTGCTCCTCCTCTCTTGTCTTGGGAACCTTGCCTTGCACGTCCTACGCCCGCTACGTAGCAAACGGTCTAGAAGTTGGACAAAGTTGCCGTCTAGAGCTTAGAGGTCGGCTGATGACGGGACATCAGAAATCGGAACCCAAGATCAGCTTGTGCCCACCCAGTTGCCGCCTACCTGCAGACCAGTTTGCCGCTTGCTTGATGAGCTCGCTCATCACCAGCTTGGCCCGCTGGTATACCCCCAAAAAGGCAATCAGCTTCGTCCGGTCCTCCCTTTCTTTTCTTTTTTTTTTTTCTCTTTTCTTCTCTGGAATGGGCTCCAGATGTGGCTCGAGTGTCGGCTGACCAAACGATTGGTATTGGGCCGGCGTGTGGATGTTGCTGCTTTTAAGCGCTCTGCTACGTTTTGCGTCTATCCGTTCGTACGCTCAACAAGCCTTCTTCAGCAGTTAATCAACATGGCGTGGATGGGACCAAGACTATGTTAATATATTCGAAATCCAGTCGCCTATGCCAGTAATGCCTTGCAAATTATGCCACGGTTGCCAACACTAGAGGCTTCAGGAACCACGCATGCCTTCAACACTCCATTCCCGGTTCTCCGCATCCATAAATACCCTGCATGACCAATGCCAACCTCTCTGGACGCCGCCGCCAGCAGTCTAGCTTCCTATTGTCGATGCTATTGCTGGCTGACGCCGAGGCGACGGTCTCGTGGGTGGGTGTGCCAGCCTGGCCGACATTCGCCTATGGCGTTGTCCATGGGGATGGAAATAAAATAAAAATTAAATACGCCTGAAGGGAACTGCTTGGCAAGCATGTGAGACTTCTCAACGGCGCGCGCTGCTGGAAGGATTCTGACACCTCCCCACGCTGCGCAACCCGGTACCTGGCGAAAATGCGGTCGTAGTGCAGAAAGACATACCGACTGTAAGTCTGTTTTGTGATTGGGTGTGTGTACACCATGAAGCGGGAAGTGAACTCGGGAACATTACCAATAAACGCTGGACCCTGTCTTGTCTCTCTCTCTCTCTCTCTCTCTTTTGTAAGTACTGCATAGTACAAAATATCCGTACTGCGGAACAGGTCACCCGAAATCTAATACATGCCACTGGTCGCCGTCTCATGCATGCATCCATGTTAGATATGGGAATGAACCCACCCTTTCGACTCCTTCCCGGCTTTCCTACTTCTTCTTGATGTGCTGCGTTCTCCTCTTGGCTGCAGTCGGCGCAATTTGCATTATCTGGGGTAAAGGGTCATCGGGGATCGAACGGTGTGGGAGGTGCAGTACTGTACGCGGTCCGTTGGATCGGGGATGTGCTCCGAAACGGCTTGGTCCGCGCATGTATTTCCCGTTTGGGTAAGGACTACGCTATGCCTCGACGTGATTCTGATTCTCCCCGGTGGTTCCAAGATGTTGCCGAGAAAAGCACATGATCAAGACTGAGCCTGGCTTCCTCGACTGCTGCGCTGGCTCAAAGGGCCTACATTTCCTAACGACTGTTCATCGAGAAGCTCGCAGGTCGGCTTGCCGGTATTTCCTGTTGGTATACAGCGTTTCCCTGGCTGTTTTAACGCCCAGCGTGCCGGATCATGCGGAGAGTACTGCCCACCTGGTGAAGCTGTTCCTTGAAGTTCATCCCGGTGTGTTCTTGATCAGCTCGTGTGCTTTTTTGGGGGTAGGCGCGCGCGCGCTCATGTCGCATTTGGGTAAGGGACGCGATGCAACCCGTTGATGGCTGGCACCGAAACCCAAGGCTCTTTGCGCATGGGAATTGGCAGAAATGCACAGGTCCGTGAGAGGGTTGACTGGGAAGATCGACCTGTCGGATGGAACGACCTGGTTTACGACAGACGGCTTTCAAACGTCAATAATGATTTTGCTTAGAGATGCCGCCCCACGAATCAAATTTGGTGGCACGAAATCTGCCGATGTTGGTCTTGGGATGAATGGAGATTGGAGTAGCCCTCCGAATCTGACCCCGCGCTCTCCTCACCGTCGGGAGCTAGGATCATACTACACCTCCTCTTTTTTTTTTTTTTTTTTTTTTTTTTTTTGCTTTTGTTGGTGTTCAGGGATGCATTGAGCCAGAATACGGTGGTGGGGTGTCGTGACTTTGGCAAGGTCACCTCGTCTCATCATCACCACTGGCTTACTTGTACAAGCGTACGTAAGTGTAGGTACGCAAGAAGTATTGAACGCACTTCGTCAAGCCTGAGATGAAACTCGAACTTTCAAAATGAAATCATTGAATGTTGTCAACTCAACTGTACAGCACTGTTAGACAGTCATTTTGGCCCAGATAGACCACCTGCTCGCACCCCGACATTCATCAATTTTCATCTCGCCGCACCATAGGATTGAACCTGAAGTTGATAGCTTCGAAAGGACATGCGTTTTCCTTGTTTATACCTGCTCTAATTCTCCCAAAGTCTCCCAGACGTAAAAGGACATGGTGCTTGGAAAGCACGCCCACCACAGGACGAAGGCTGTCTTTACCTTCTTTCCAGATCAATGGCCGTTGACTACCAGAGACCAGCACGACCTCTTCTAAGACCAATGAGTCTTCGTCGTCGTCACGAGTCATTTTGTTGTCAGGCACCTTGTGCTCTTGCCTTACCCAGCGGCCCCCCTCCTCCTAAGCAAGCTCAACTCGAGACTTGTGGAAATGGTTCCGGTTTATTTTCTTACGTCGACAAAAGTCGTTCCAGCAGGTGTCGATCAATACTTCTCATAAGTGTGATCTTGTCGCTTGCCAACTACGTGAACAAAAATGCCGAGGCTGCAGGTATTATGACCGGGATCGGACAACGACGTAGAAACAACGCAGGTAACACGGGATGACGGAACAGCCGGCAGCTTGAACGCACCCCGGATTTTGTTTTGTCGCACAAGAATGCCGTTACACTGAATATCAGGCTATAGTTCCTCAATTACGCAACTTATGCTAGTCGTATATGCGTGATGTATCGTTTCCAATCAACGCTGCGGATCACTACGATCTCACCGTTACTTGAGACACTTGACCGTTGGCTAGAGGAGCCTCGGTATAAGCCAAACTCGCCGTCCCATTTTGTTTTTGTTCACGTCTCCCCTGACGACCCTCCACTTCGACGTCGCCAATGAAGAGCGCGCTAACTCCCTCCAATGATGCCACAAAGAGGCACAGCACGTTTGCAATGACAAAGTGGCTAATGGTGGATCCGATCTCCAACCATGAGCCTTCGTCCTTGACGACCCAGAAAAAGTATAGGGTAAGTACGTCGCTGATGGCCATTACAGCCATGAATAGAGACGAGGGAGCAACACCCAGCCGGGCATTGAGGATTCCGAGGTTCGCCGAGATGAGGGCAAAAGGAATCATAAGCTTGAGAATGAGAAGTATCCCTTGCGAAAAAGGGTCAAATATCGGAATCAGACGGTACACGGCATCCAGACTGAAGGAGGAGACCGATGCTACGTTGCCTGTGCTGAAGAAAGCCGACTGCAGGAGGACGAAGAAGAACAAAGCCACTCGTGCGTCTGCCAAAGTAAGAGCTCTGAAGACCGGCTGTGGTACGCTCTGCGACTTGGCGGCGCTTCCGTTAGATGTGGGTTGCCGATGTTCACTGGCAACATCGCCGAAGACGAAGATGCGGTGTTCAAGACTAACCCATGCAACCAACAGAATGCTAAACGTCACGTAAAAAAGACCTTCGTAAGAGAGGGTGAGAATTACAAATGACGGAGCACAGGTCAGAAACAAGCTCATAAGACGATGCAAGTAGTGGTTGTTAGGCTGCAACCGGTACGTGAGAGGCATGAGGAGGGATACAACTAGAAAACTCGTCAGCGCATTGATAATAGGTGGCGGACAGACGTCTCACCCAACACAATCCATCCCACAATCTGGTTTCCTCGCGGAAGCCCGAGTTTTGCTTGAAGAGACAGAGCGCTGGACCGCGTGACTACGATTGCCAGGAGAATCAAGCCGACCTGGTTGTCTCTCGTGAGATTGAGATCAATACATAGTCGGGGAAATAAGCTTACTTGAATACCTGTCAGTGCCCTCGCGATTGGCAGCCCTTGGCCGACTACTTTGCCCGTAGACGACCTAGCAAGCAACACGTCCTCCCAGACAAGATATGCTAGACCTATGGAAGCCATGATGACTCCTCCTGCCACGCTGCCAACAAGTCAGTGGACGATGTTCATTCTCGGGCTGGATTTGAAAACATACATGAGAGAGACATCCTCCACCTTCATAGCCGGGAGCAACGTGAACGTGCTCATGGCAAGGCATGACATGAACCATGTGGCAGACAGAAACGCATTAGCCTGGAGGAAGTCCAAGCCCCATGTAACCGGCCACAACGAGCCGAGAATATAGATGACCGTGAGAATCTCCCGATGGATGTATCCTAGAGCCTGCCAGCCGTCAGTATTTTTCTAAATTAACTGGTGTGAAGCTCGCTTACCAACGAAACGATGACACCGATGTAAAGAGCACCATTCAGGAGAAAAGAAACAGCACTGGGGCCAGTCTGGATATGTCCAAACAGGACCTGACGGCCTTCTACGAGAGAGCCACGTCGGGCCCAGACCTCCTCCCAGAAAACAATGGGGAAGAAAGCGTACGCATAGTACGTAAGCGGTGAGTGAGATATAATGAAGGAAGCATAAAGAGCAGCAAGAAGTGAGCTGAACATCGTTGTGCTCAGCAATGTTCGTGAAGCAGGGCGATTGCCACGCAGAACATGAAGATCAATGACGATGGTCATCGCGAATGCCATCCAGCCCAAGTAGCCGATAGTGATGAGCGTACGGAGAAAAAGCCAGTCATAAGTCTGCAGATATCTTAGACCTTCAAGTGCAATCTTCATGAGGGCAGCCGACTCCTCAATTGCCTCCTCGTGGTTTCCAGCTTCAATCAATCGACGAATGTCCACCACTCGGCGCTGTGGACTAAGGCCTGCCTCACTCAAGGGGTGGAATGGCCTATAACGCAGCTCCGTGGCCTTCTTGCGCTCTTCCTTGACCCGGTACATCTCGAGGATCTCCCGGGCATTGACCAGAGCTGCTTCAGCCTTATCCTCGATGCTTGAGGAGACATAGGACAGTGGTATCTCGCCGACCGAATTGGCTGGGAACTCGACGCCAACAAGATAGGCCATCAAGGCAGCTACATCGGCCTGTGCGACATCGTGCCTCTTGACATGATCCAAATGCCAGTCAGAAGAATATTCGTCATGTCCGGGAGCTGTTGCGTTGGAAGCAAGCACCGGTGGGGCAATGCCTGAGCCCCATGTGATTAAGGGGGTACGCGTGTTGTTCGGATGGCCATCGCCATGGCTGCCCCAGTCACTCATGCCGTGGTCAGCTGTGAACACGAAGGCAGTGCGGTCGTCAGCGTAGAAACCATCTATCAATTCGGTGATTTCCTGAACGCCTTGGTCGACAACTTGGATGTTTCTCAAGTACTCCTTCGAATACGGCCGGTATGAGTGGCCGGAGGTATCCAAGCCGAGAAGATGGAGAAAGAACACAATCTTGTCCTGACGCAAGGCCGCGTTCAATGTTTCGTTTCTAGCAGCCTCAGCAAAGAAGTCCTTGACATGATCAAAGACCCAGTAGTCTAGCTCCAGCGCATCCGAGCTGAAGTCCTCGAACTCATGTCCGTAGGTATAAGAGTCGACGCGGCCAGGGACGGCTCCCGTCTCGAACATTGGGAGGATGTCGGGTGAGCCCCAGCTCCAGGTATGTCTGCTCCGGTTGAAAACGCTGTCAAAGTTGACTGGATTGAGCTTCCAGCCAGTCGCAACGGCGGAAACATCCTCGTACAGACCAGCGATGAGGGCGACATGGCCTGGACGAGATTCGGTCGGTACGCGAGTGTGTGATACACCGAAAGTGCCATGCTCGAGAACGCGGGATCGTAGGAACGGGGCCAGAGGCTTTGGCTCCAAGTCTTCCTCAGTCTTAGGGTAGGGGTCTGGGAACGACTGGAAGGCTTTGTCGGCTCGCAGACCGTCTCCTGCATTTCTTAGTCAGAGAAGTCGGGTCAAGCTAGACCTGGATTGAATGGGTGCATACCGACGAAGAGAACAAGACGATCAGCGGGGGGTTTGACACCGGCGGGACGTTCAATTGGAACGAGTTGCATGCCCGAAACGATTGGACTGACAAAGTAAATGTCGAAGATGGAGTAGATGTACACGACGTGGAAGACGAGCGCGATGGCAAGGAAGCCGGCGCGAGAAAAGACGGCCATGGTGAAGAAGGCGGCGGAACGGTGGAATCGGCTGAAGTCGTTCCCCTCGTCGTCAGCCCGTCTCACAGCGAGCGATGGCACCTAGTATCAGGGGTTGATGATGACAATGGCGGATGCTTTCAGGTCTAGTCGAGTCAAAGAAGACAGTCGGGAAGTGTCACTTCACAGACCCGAAGACTGGAGGACGAGAGCTGCAAAGAGAGGGTGGGCGCATTCAACTCACGGCTTGCGCATGGCCCTTGCCTATGTTGCTGATGACGAGATGCGCAGCTGTGGGAGGGAAACGACTCGCCCAGGGGAGGGATACTGGAAACCGCAGTCAGTCCCGCTCGTTGCATCTACGCGGAAATTATTGCTGGTCGCGACACGTCTTCAATCTCTCAGGTACAACCAATTTTGGAGTTGCGGCAAAGAGTGTACAAGGGTCCAAGACGCTGATGAGGGCTGAGACTGGTAGCTGTACGTGGCGTCTCGGTCAAATACCGGGCTTTCCATAGGGCATCACAAGTAGTGGTACCAAAGCCCATCCCTGCCCGTGCCGAGAACCCCACGAGCTGGCGCGGGACACGCCGGACCTGCGGCTAGGCAGCTTGGGTACAAGGATACGCAGTACATATCGCCTCAGCCGTTACTTAGCTACCTACCGTATCTATACCTCAAGGAAAGGTAAGCCACCTACCCAGCTACCTTACCTTAGTACCTTACTATAGTACATTACCGCCAGCACCCGAAGTGACTATCCAACGACGCCTTTACACGAATTGGTCCAGACATCAAGGTGCCATGCGGCTCTCTAGGAACGTCCTTGTCGGCGTTCTCCCGTCGTTTCTCCCCTTCTCTTCCCAACATGAAGCAGACCCAGCCAAGTCTGCCTGGCAACCTGGGTAAGTGATCGAGCCTTCGACATTTGTGCTCCATGTGTAATTACCTCATGCATAGTAGGCGATGATGTGCATTTTGAGAGACCTAGCATTTCCACGACGCTTGCTACCTCCAATGGTTCAACGACGCAACTCGCATCTACCCAGGCAGTCGAGAATATCAAAAAAGTTCTTCAGGGGGTATCGACCAGTTCCAAATGCATCTCGTCCTTGTTATCAACTCTGGGAAACCCGATAGAATCCTGCGCAAGACAGCTCTCTCCGTAGCCTCCATTGGTCTACTCCATCAATGACTTCGTCACTCTCGAGTAGAATTTTGCCGCGTGTGGTCGAGAAAATTCAATCTCCTCCACCAGGAAGTCAGGCAACAGGTCTATGAGGTCACGGTCGCGGTTCGAATCTAGCTGAGGTTTGTACGTAAAATGCGCTTCCTCGTAATTATCGCCTGAACTCTCGGTCTCGACCTCGAGCTTGAAGTGAAGAGCTGGAGAGATGTTAGCTTCTACGCGGAATCGCACAAGAGCTTCAAGTCTTGATGAGTACTCACTTCCATTTCTTCCCGTCTGTATGCAGTCGAAGACTTGGCCTGTCGAGTCACGCTTGACCACCCGCACAATCAATCCAGTTAGGTCACCATAGAGGTCCTCCTTCATTTGCGCTGTTTGCACCGCATCCGAACTAGCCGTAGCGATAGCCCGAGCCGCTGCGGTCCCGCCTTTGATTGCGCTTCCTGGTACCTTGGCAGTGGCCGCCGTGGCAGCGGCCTCTGCCGATCTGCTAGCCGCCAGTTTCGTTGACAGACTCTTCACCTCTTGCCTCGCTTCAGAGAGAGACGCTGTCAACTCCGCGACTTTGGCCTCTAGCCCTTCGAGCTTCTTCCTATCTTGCTGTCCCTCCTTGACCAAAGCCCTTTGAGCCGCAAGATCCGCCTTCAAGTTGCCTATAAGTTCCGTTGCAGCTTGATGCCATCAGCGACGAGCTCCTTCGTAAATATTCTTTGAAACTTACTGTTCGCCCGTTCTTCGCTCTCCTTTTTCAAGTTATCAAAGTTGCGCTCAGCCGCCTTGATCCCGATGTCTCGCAAATCACGGTACTTCAGCTCCAGGCTTTCGTATTTCCTGTTCGCCTCGCCCAGTCGTCTCCGTATTTGCGGGTCTCCGCCGTCTGCGTCTGCATTGCTAGCCATCCGGGCAGCGCGCTGAATAGACTGTTTTGGCGCAGGCAGATCCTCAAACTCTTCGTCTTCTTCTTCCTCTTCTTCTGTATCAATATCCATAGCCTCTGCTGGCTGGGTTTCTGGGATTTCAGAGTCTTCGTTGCGAGTCGATTTGGTCCCTGCACGGCGCCCGCGCTTGATCGGTTGGGCAATGGATTCAGGCGCCTCTTCATTTTCGTCTTCTTTCACCAAGGCAGCTGTTGCCTTTGGTCGACCCCATGTCTTCGCGGTGGCCTTCGTTGAGGGAACTACGTGTTCTTCCTCGGCGTCGGCTGTGGCATCATCGTCGTCCTTAGGCCTGGCCTTGCGCCCCCTCTTTGAAGCCTTCGAATTATCGACAACATCTCCAGCCTCAGCGGCAGCAGCGGTGGCCGTTAACTTATTATTGGGACGACGCGTAGCCTTCTGCGCTGGCTTCGTGACCTTGTTCGCCGTAGGTCTTCCGCGGGGTTTCTTCGCTGGCGCCATGGGTTTGGCCTTCAAATCTTCGTTCTTCTTGACCTGCTGTGCGCTCAAGCCAGAGAGCTCGTCCGAGTCCGAATCCACCAAGGCCAATAACCTAGCTTGTTGAGCAGCTCGCGACATCCGCACCGCGATTGAGTCTTGCTTTGCACGGTTTTGGTCGCTTGCCCGCGTAAGAAAAAGACAAACGGGTTCGGGGGCAATGGAGGCACTGGCGGCACAGGAATTGCTTGTGATTGCGAAGCCGCAAGTATTTGGTGGAAGAAAAAAGGTCGTCGCATGCGTTGTGTAGAATAGATTGCGGAAATTCAGGCCTAGTCGCGAACAACCTAGCTGTAGGTAGCCAGCGCGGGGGGAAGGTCCTTCTGTTGGCTACCCACTCACCTGCTGCCGCTTTACATTTGTGTTTTGCGGGCATTGAAAAGTAAACAAACGGCCACTGGCGCGGCACCTTACCCGCCTTACTGGGTACCTAAGGTAAGGTAGGTAGGTAGGATAGGAAGAAAGACAAGGGCACTTGAGGCCTATCGATAAGCCTATCGGCACCTTCCTACCGAGTGCACGTAGGCACTTTCCCTCTGGGACTTGGGCACGCACCTTACCTACCTAGGTACCGACCTACCTTAGGTAAGGTGTGCTAAGCGTGAAGCGTGCCGTGGCGGTGGACTGTCGTAGCGGCCTTGATGGGCGCTCCACAAATGTGTGCCGGCGTCTGGGTTACCTTAGCCGGCATGTGGCTTGACTTTTTGCTCGAGGAACCGCGGCGTCTACTCGGCTATCAGCGCCACGCTCTGCCAACGTCTTTGATTTAGATGCTCTCGGCTGAAATATCATCGACAGACACGTGTACGCCCAGGGACTGTGCTAAGATTTTGACCTGAGCCCTTTCATACCAGCAGAACAAAAGCGGCAATTCAGTTCTGAAAGGATTGCATCTTTGAAAGGGTTCCATCGGCATTGAACAGCGTATACTCGACCGAATTGACTGCATCGCTTTGGTCGCGACGCCAACCCTCATGACGAGTTACCTGGATCGCTGGATTGGCTCCGTTGGAAAGCTCCTCGGCATGGGTGAGCGAAAGAGAGGTTTGGGCGATTTTGCCCTCGACTTGCTGTTGGTGGCTGGCATGGTAAGTCATGCTGTTGCTGGGCGACAGTTCAAGGAATACTGACAACGACGACGACGACCTCCAGATGGCAACAGGAGTGTACCTAGCCCGCAACTTTCTTTCGTCCCTTACGAGTACTCTTGCCGATCCCGATCGAGAAAAACATGAACAGGCGCGTCTGCAAGCCAAAGCTCACCTCGAGCGGTTACGCAAGGGAAAAACCATTGGGAAGTCGGGCGACGACACAGGGGACGACGGCAGCGTGTCTCGACGTGGTCCCAAGCCAGAGGACTTGGTGCTCAACGAGTATGAAAACCTGATAGCTTTGGAGATGGTGGCCCCCGAGGATATCTCGGTTGGCTTTTCTGGTTAGCAATCACCCTCTTACGGCCAAATATGCTTACAGACATACTGACCCTGCCACAGATATTGGTGGTCTGGAAGACATCATCGACGAGCTCAAAGAGTCTGTCATCTATCCCCTGACTATGCCTCATCTGTACTCTCATGCTGCACCGCTTCTATCTGCACCATCCGGAGTTCTCCTGTACGGCCCACCTGGTTGCGGCAAGACTATGCTCGCCAAGGCAGTTGCTCACGAGAGCGGTGCCTCATTCATCAACCTTCATATCTCGACAGTGACGGAAAAGTGGTATGGCGATTCAAACAAGTTGGTTCGAGCCGTGTTTTCTCTCGCGCGCAAGATGCAACCGGCCATCATTTTCATTGATGAGATTGATGCAGTTCTCGGCACTAGGAGGAGTGGCGAGCATGAAGCAAGCGGGATGGTGAAGGCAGAGTAAGTGGACGATGTCGACAGCTTCTACTGTCCCAGATGACTGACGATTATCAGATTCATGACTTTGTGGGACGGTTTGACGTCCTCTAACTCTTCAGGCATGCCGGCGCGAATCGTCGTCCTTGGTGCCACCAACAGAATTCACGACATCGACGAGGCTATTCTTAGGCGTATGCCTAAGAAATTTCCCGTGTCTCTTCCCGGAAAGGAGCAGAGACGGCGAATTCTGCAACTTATCCTACAGGACACGAAGACCGACCCTGACAGCTTCAACTTGGAGTACATTGCCAAAGTTACGGCTGGCATGTCCGGCAGCGATATCAAGGAGGCGTGTCGCGATGCGGCCATGGCGCCTGTTCGTGAGTATATGAAGGAGCACCGTGCAAGCGGCAACCCAATGTCCAGCATCACGCCCGAGCACATTCGCGGAATTCGGACAGAGGATTTCTTCGGCCGAAAAGGAGGTGGCCAGATCTTGATGGAAAACCATGCGAAACAATCAGCGAAGGCGTCAGGGGCATCGGCAGATGAGTATGAAGACATGGTTGAGGAGTTGGGCTAGGCAAATAAATCGGTCCGGAGCCGTTGTTTTATTTCTTCCATATTCTTTTACCATGTGCACACGACTCAGAGGCATGCCGAAAATCTTCGGCGGAAATATACGCTACAGGATAAACATAAAGATGACTGCGAGCTTGGCGGTTGTCAACCCCTACTTTGGAAGGAAAGGGTCAGACGTCGACCTTTTGAGGGGCGACTTGTACAAATACTCGGTGTGCGGAAAGACTGGGGCAATGGAAGGTCATGAGTTACATGACTTGATTCTTGTGCTGATAAGTTCGGGACTCGACATCACGGTCGATGAGTGATTCATGAGTGATTCACGCTGTTCAAGTCGTACCTAAGACGCCATTTGGTTTTGTTACCCAGGTTTTTTTAGTGTTCTAGAAAGAGAAAATTCTTACTAATAAACTTCAAGGTATCAACAGATACCTAAGACGCCATTGTCCCGATGTACTGGGGCAACCCAACAGGTGTTCGACTTCTCAGACAGCAGGCTGGACCGGACGGGAGCAGCTTCTTCGGCCCTGGCATCGGCGCCGCGGAAGATACCGTGCTCTCACGCAGCCAGCTAACCACCAATGTAAAGACGCGCATTGGCCACTCCGCATCTCAATGTCGCCCCGCTATCGCCGACGTTCGGGGGACGTTGAGCACACCGACAAATCACGTCATTCGTGGGGCTCCATAATATCAAAGACGGGGCCTGTACTGCGCTGCGGAACGCTGGAGTCATACCTAATTGCGCTGTGCCCAGGTCCCCTTTTGTAAAACTTCTCCTACACACATCGCCAATCGTCGACTCACCCTCTCTCCAGCAATCACCTGTTTTACTCGAGTACGCCGGTGCTGCGTAGGACAATTGATTTGCTGAGCAATTCAGTCTGTCCGCGGCGAGAAGTCTGGCTCATTACGAGACCAGCGGTAGAGTACTCGATTTCCCGGCCCTCCGGACCTTCGGTCTCATCACTAGTTACGCCCTCGTCCGTCCAATTGAAGGGTTAATCGCTGCTGTACACAGGCACCGATCCGTCAGCACTCGTCTGTTCCATCAGTCTCACTATCGGAAGCTGACTCAAATTCCGAAGCCGACCTGTTGTTTGATAGATCAGTCGGCTTCCCCTCTGCCTGCACCATTACCCCGCCATTGCCACCAGTAAACTGTCTCACCATGGCCACACCGCCGAACAACGGACCTATCGAAAAGTCCAGCAACCCGCTCAAGCGTGTTGACCTTGACGGACACGACCTTCCCCCGTCTCCTGCGCCCTCCAGCCCCCGCAACGGCCGTCGTCGCTATGCCCTCGCCACAGAGCTGGTCTACACCGAGAGCAATGATCAGTATGGCGCTTCCAGCGTTCCCATCTACCAGTCTGCAACATTCAAGCAGTCGAGTGCTACTGGTGGAGGTGAGTACGACTACACGCGCTCGGGCAACCCGACGCGCACTCACTTGGAGCGCCATTTGGCCAAGATCATGAATGCGACAAGAGCTCTCGCCGTTGGCTCCGGCATGGGCGCCTTGGACGTTATCAGCCGCCTGCTGCGCCCGGGCGACGAAGTCATTACGGGAGATGATCTGTACGGAGGTACCAACCGACTTCTTACATATCTTTCTTCGAATCAGGGCATCGTCGTGCACCACGTCGATACCACCCACGTCGACTCTGTCCGACAGGTCATCTCTGACAAGACGGCCATGGTTCTTCTCGAGACGCCGACGAACCCTCTTATCAAGATTGTTGACATTCCGTCCATTGCTAAACTGGTTCACGATGCCAACGAGAAAGCTCTGGTCGTCGTTGACAACACCATGCTCTCTCCCATGCTTCTGAACCCGCTGGATATTGGCGCCGATATTGTTTACGAGTCGGGCACCAAATATTTGTCGGGTCATCACGATATCATGGCTGGAGTCATTGGTGTGAACGACTCATCCATCGGAGATAAGCTGTACTTCACCATCAACTCCACCGGCTGTGGCCTCTCGCCCAACGACTCGTTCTTGCTCATGAGAGGCATCAAAACCTTGGCTATTCGCATGGAGAAGCAGCAAACCAATGCTCAGCAAATCGCAGAGTTCCTCGAGTCTCATGGCTTCAAGGTCCGCTATCCCGGACTCAAGTCTCATCCCCAATATGAGCTTCACTGGTCCATGGCGCGTGGTGCTGGTGCCGTTTTGTCTTTCGAGACGGGCGATGCCGCTCTGTCAGAGAGGATTGTTGAAGCTGCCAAACTGTACAGCATCAGTGTCAGTTTCGGTTGTGTCAATAGCTTGATCAGCATGCCTTGCCAGATGAGCCACGCCAGCATTGATGCTAAGACCCGGAAGGAGCGGCAGATGCCGGAAGATCTCATTCGACTGTGCGTTGGAATTGAAGACGTCACTGACCTCATTGAGGATCTCTCAAGAGCTGTAAGTAATCGATCGTTATGACCTGGCTGACCAGGAGTGTTGACAACATCATTAGCTTGTTCAGGCAGGAGCTGTTAATGTAACCCTTGACGGCTTCCATGCCACATCGTCCGTCCGGCAAGCTGGAGAGACCTCGGTATGATACCCGAGTGGGAACTTCCCAGCCGCTTCGCGGGCGATGAATGGAAGAAATTCCATTGCATTTCATGCTAGGGTTTTGTTCGACGCAGCTGGATTGGCATGAAGCAGTAAACAGTGGAGCTTGATGACCGTGGAAAACAAAGTAAATATAGATTATTGTTGATGTTTGACTGGTTGCCCTAGCCTTTCCATCCAATTGGGTGATTCGAGGTATAAATTTGATTCCGATCAGGAAATGCAAGTTTCGATTCGGACTGCTGATACTCCATATGGACAAAAGATCGCACGCTTGAAGTATACAGAAATTAATGTGACAGTAACAGATCAGAACATTCAATTCGCACCGATATGCCACACTAGTCTAACACTAAAACGAACCGCCTGGCAAGATATGGCACAATGCGACTAGCTAACTCCGGCCCCCACGTGAAGCCTCTGTAGGCTCTTGATGCAAGAAAATGACGATTAGGAAAAATCGAAGCGGTCTGGCAAAACCACAGGCGCAACCAAGGTCCAAGCATACATCGCGTAGCATACCCAAGCGCTCACAATCTTGACCCAGCTTGCCCAGTAAGATCGGCCGACAGGCGCAAAGTTACCATCATTGTGGTCATCCCAGCTCTGAGTAAGCAAAGTAGCAATCCAGGTCGTGGCCAGGAAGAAAATAATATGGAAGACGCTGTAGTTGTATTGAGTCCTGGTGCGCTCGTCATCACCCGGGGTATGGGTCCCGGTCTCGCTCTCGTCGTCGGAGAGGAGGGCATCGGCTGGCAAGCTACCCTCCTCAACTGCCCTGCGAAGAGCCTCTGCCCGCATTTGCTTGTGTGCGTTAGGTTGCTGAGTCACAAGATCATGCTCATCTTCCTCGGGGAGCCGAATGCCGCCCGCAGAGCCCAAACCGAGACTTTGCGTAGCAGCCCGAGTCGTCGTGTATGCCACTGTGAGCATAGTGACTATGGCACCAATGACAATCGAAGTTGTTCGAGTACCCTGAGCCCGTATCAGAGGGTTGCACTGTCTGTCATCAGGCTCCATGGAGACAGCTGACATTGTCAGGTATGTGCAGTAGACGGCGACCATTGCCCCCTGAGCGAGCCCAGCCTTGGGATTGTACTCCTGAATGGTGGGATGAACCGAGATAAAGGAAATTCCAACCCAGAGCAAGAGGTTGATGGTGATGGCAGCCTGGTTCATAGCACAACCGTCCTTGGCAAAAAAGATATACTGGACAATGGTCATGGCAAGCGAAGCCAAGTACATTCCCAATGTAGAGCCGATGAGTACCGTGCGCCACACCTTGGAGTCGGTTTCTTCAATCTGCTCCAGGCAGTACTCTGCCCAATTGTGGGCAAGATCCACCAGCAGAATAAGACCAAGGATGAGGAACAACATGCCGCCCACCTGAGCAATGTATGAGCCCCAAAATTGGAAGAACTCGTCGGGAATCAGGAATGAGAGGACTATCAGAGCGAGCCATGCGATGATCTTTGGTCCCCAGTATCCGTTTTGAATGGCAGCGCGCGGGTTCTTGGAAGAGCTCACACCGAAGAGGAGACCGGCGAAGATAAGGTGGAAGAGGCCAAGAGCAAAGTTGAATCGATGAACGGCCATCCAGCCGTAGCAGTTGCCGGTGGGACAACCGATTTTGACATAGTCAAGCATCAAATGTTCCAGCTTTTTGATCGCCCATGGCGTGAGCATTATCCAGGAGAGAATCGAATTGACGAGGAGTATAAGAGCGTAGCCGATACGAGTAGCGACACTGTCATGGCAGTTAGCTCCGCATTGTCTCTCGCGGTGTTGTAGGAACATACCTATTGCCGCATTTCCCGCATGCGCTGCACACGGCAGAACACGTAGCCGCGCCACAGCAACTGGCAGCAAAGCCGATGAACTGATAAGCGTTAGTCGTAAGGAGCCGTTTGCACGACAGACAGTCACATAGCTGGGCTTGTGAGCCAGGCGAGATGGGAACTTAACCTACCGTGCCCATGCTTGGCACTGCCATCAGCGGCAGAGAAAGCAAAGCACCCATGGCGCCGTTCCGTTGGGGTGTGAACAATCGATCGTAGGTCTGGGTTCAATTGAGTGAGAAGAGACGGCGAGCTGATCGTAGTGTGGTGTTGTTGTTGTTGATTGTAATGCTCACGTACTTCGAGTGGTGCGAGCTTGGATGGGTAGACGGTTTACGACTGGCGCTGGCAACGACTCCTCAAAGGCAACGCGGCTCCAATGTTGGAGGCTGAGTGGGCACGTGCAATTACGTACCTTATCTTAACTAACCTTTACCTTTTGCCTTGCCTGGCACATGTAGGCATTACATAATCCAAGGCGGTAAGGTAGCGCTTCGGACTTCTACAGGTCGGGTCCACGGGTATGTCACTCCGAATTCCCGGCTCCACCTCAACCCACCTACCTAGGTACCTACTTACGTACACTTGTAACTGCGGTCGGGTGCACTGAATTCCCTAAGGTACCTACCTAGGCTTAGATTCGCGGAGAGGCCGACGTCGGCGGAGGTCGGCCGGCACTGCAAGACTTCCGAAGGCACTGGCCCCGTCGCCACGGAACCCACCTGCTAAACACCAACTTCACTGTGATAGCCCGACTTGCCTCAATCCAAGCATACTGGACAGTGCAATGACACCCGAAATGTGAATGCTTGGACTGACCTGCCAGAGCAAAGCATTGGTTGTGCACCAAGGGTCTTGGTCTACTAGAGTTTCAAACTCGCTGGGGTTTCCAGGTGCATTTGGCACGAAGCACGGCATTGTCGAGTTGTCTCGCGTGCCGTCTGTTATCAGCTCAAACCCACTTCAAAATGTGTGCTTCATGCATGCCGGGCACAAACGTAAAATAACGTTTGCCATTTGGTACTCAGTGTCTTATCTATTCTACAGTCATGCAACGACTGCTCGTACCTCGGTGTCTGTGAGTGTTAACATGCAACATTTGTCTATCGGCCACTGATCCTGCACCCCGAACTTTGGACTCTATACTACATATAAGAATAAGGACTTATCCAGCTCCCACCTGATTGCACTGGCCCGAACTGCTGGGTCGGCCGCAACTACTGAGGTGTGCTAGTGCCACCTGACAGCTTTGTCTGCAGGTCAAATGACCGCCTGCACAGATCTTAAGTATCCAGAGAGCGGTTGCCGAGACCTAAGGGCCAAGTTTGACAGAATGCCCGGCGGAAATGGGGGGCACGCTCTTGAGCAGAATACTCCGTACTCCAAGAGCAATAGCCACTTATTGTCTGCAGGGGCTTTTGGACTGCGTACCGTCTTCAGGCTCGGACTAGGCCAGGAGAGCAATCAGGCGACAGCAGCAACAGGACAGAGATGGCGAGATTGGCGTGGCAGGACCGTCCGTTTGACACATGCACGCGCTGCACGCCTAGATGCCCAGAAGATGCAATGTATCGAGTACTGCGGCTTTTACGTTACCAGTATGTAATACCCAGATTACTATTGGTACTCGTTACGTAGTGGTTTGGCCGATTTGACAAGCCACTTTTACCGGAAAGCAGATTGCTGCAGCGTCGCTGCAGCCCGAGGAGCTCATCCCCAGGGGGCACCCAATTGCTTTCTTCCCAAGACCTTCCTGAACCTCCACGACCCCTGTATCTCCCTACCTAGCAAATGCAGGTGCACGGAGCTGGTCAGGGAACCTACCACGAGTATCCGCACCTACGTTGCGATTTCCGCACTCCGCAGGAGGATTCGTGATCCCAAAGATAAGGGATCCGGCATCGTCCTGTCCTCTTAACCTCACTGCCACCACCACCACCTTCCTCCTCCACCACTCCTTTCCCGCCTACCACCAATAACGCCTACCACGACCGCTGTCGCATCCGGCCATCTCTTCTTCAACACTACGAGCATTCTACGGCTGCTTCTTCTTCTGAAATCTTCATGTTGCATGCCTACAGTCTCACCCGCATCGCCATGATCATTGCACCTCCGATAGTCCAAGTACACTGAGCCGAAACATCCCAATAATCACATTCATCTCTTCGAGTGTTTGCCACCATCGCTTCCGCCGATCGTCTCTTCCCCAATTGGTATCAACGAACCGACCCCGACAGACATCCGTTTTCTCAAAGCATGGTAGCTTGAGAACGCGCGTTCCTCGATTCGAAACTGACAAAATGGCCAACCCGAAAGAGAGGGAGAAGGAGCTGCACCGCGCGCGCCTCGTCGCCAGCGTCGCGGCAACCGTCATCTCCCTTGCCTGTGGCACCAACGTGAGTTGGCGCTTGGATCGTTCCCCAAAAGCACCATGTTCGCAAGAGGACCACGGTCGCTAACAAGCCGTTATTGTGCAGTACGTCTACTCAGCATGGGCACCACAATTTGCCGAGAGATTGAAACTCTCCTCGACCGAAACGAACGTCATCGGCCTCTCAGCCAACTTGGGAATGTACTCACTCGGCGTTCCCGTCGGCATGCTAGTCGATCATAAAGGCCCTCGGTCCGCAGTCATTGGTGGTTCCGTTCTGCTTGCTCTCGGTTACTTCCCTTTCCATATTGCCTACGATCGCGCGGCCGGCGCTGTCCCGCTTCTCTGCTTCTTTTCGTACCTCACCGGCCTCGGCGGCTGTATGGCCTTTGCTGCCGCTGTCAAGACGTCCGCCCTCAATTGGCCTCATCATCGCGGCACTGCAACGGCTTTTCCCCTCGCTGCGTTTGGCCTGAGTGCCTTTTTCTTCTCAACATGTGGCACCCTCTTCTTTCCTGGAAACACCAGCGCCTTCCTGGCCCTACTCTCATTTGGAACCTGCGGCTTAACTTTCCTCGGCTTCTTCTTCCTGCGTGTCTGGCCCCATACCAGCTACCACAGTCTGCCCGCCAGTGACGTCCTGTCTGGCTCACAGCAGCTTCATCGTACGTCCTCGGAGGAGGCAAAAGCCAACCGCTCCGGTCCTGGGCGCCGCTCTTCCTTGGTTGAACCTGGTACGTCGCCCAAAAACACAAAAAATACTACTACAACCACTCTCAATCCCACCGCCGACAACGAGCCGATTACCCCTCAGAATGAACCGTCTGCGCCGTCTCGCGAGGCTGATGAGGCGCGAATCGAAGCCGTCGACGACGCCGATGATTATGAGCCCGACGAGACGTCCTCGCTAGTGTCGAGCTCCTCTTCAATGCCCGGTGATGTGTTTGTCCAGAGTAGTGTTGATATGGATCGTTCCCATCGTGTAGATATTCGTGGTTGGCACCTGTTTCGTGAACTCGACTTTTGGCAGTTGTTTTGCATCATGGGCATTCTGACCGGTATCGGGTTGATGACTATCAAGTACGTTCCTCATACTTCCTTCCGCTGTCTGTGTGAATCAAGTGCTAAACAGCATTCTCAGCAACATTGGTAACGACGTGAAAGCTCTTTGGCGCCACTGGGACGAGTCAGTTGATGAGGCATACCTCATCACCATGCAACAGCTGCACGTCTCTATCCTATCCCTGTGCAGCTTTGCCGGCAGACTTCTGAGTGGTACGTCATCCCCGACTTGGCATGGCCACACAAACCCCAAACTGACCTGTCGCGAACAGGTGTTGGCTCGGATTTCATTGTCAAGGTCCTTCACGGTAGTCGGGTATGGTGCCTTGTCGCATCCAGCGTCGTGTTTTTCGTAGCTCAAATTCTGGCGCTGAATGTAACCAACCCTCACCTGTTGGGCCTGGTCTCTGGCCTATCAGGCATCGCCTATGGCTTTCTCTTTGGTGTTTTCCCCTCGATTGTTGCTGAAACATTCGGTATTCACGGCCTCAGCCAAAATTGGGGTCTGATGACGCTCTCTCCAGTTGTTTCGGGCAATATTTTCAACATCTTTTACGGCAAAATTTACGATCAGCACAGTATTCTTGGGCCGGACGGCGAACGCGTTTGCCATGACGGGCTTAACTGCTACCGCGCCGCCTATCTGATGACCTTGGCGTCGTGCTCAGTTGGCCTCGTTCTGACGCTTTGGGTCATCCGACACCAACGCGTGAAGTGGGCCAAGGAGGAGAAGGACAAGGCTGAGCAGCTGGATTAGCATGGCAGATCGTTGAGTTGTCATTGGACTGGCTGCTTGTCAACCACAACGGATCCTCGATATTGAGGAGAAAAACTGCCGATCTCAAACGGTGGAGAAGAAGCACTTCTAAACGTGGTCGTCGCCGATCTGGCGTAGACACCACAAAGGACCATATCACATAGACGGCGTTTGATTTGGGAGACTTTGTTATGGGGCAATGGCGCACTCTGGTCATAGAATGATGGTAACTTTCCATAGTAATTTGCGTGAAATTTGCACATGGCATTTCGCCAGCATTTCATTCTCGTCAAGCGCTGCAGCGAGAAGATCGTGACACACCGTTAGCGATGATGCATGCGATGATACATGTGCCTAAGTAAACACAAGTGGCCGCTTCAACTACTTGCACCGTTTCCATTACCCCTTCGCTCTTTGTGCAACCCAAGCGCCACTTGCTGTGCCTCTAATGCCTGGCAAATGCGGAGCTGTCGGGTGGGCGCACCTAGTAATCATATTGGTCTTCCTGACCTCGTCCTAACAGTTGTGCAACACCTCTCTGATGTCGAGGTTGCGGTCTCATTTGGACCGCGGGCGCATTAAAAAAAATCGCATCAAGCGCTAGAAATCCCCCCTCCCGGCGCAGCATTATGGCAGTAGCCTGAGAAGCGAAAATGCCCTTTATAACCTGTTCTCCGTCTCTTGTAGCGAATCCATCAGCTCCAAGCATACATTTACATTCGTCCCCCCAGAGTAGCGTCAAGAGAAAGAGCGAAAGGAAAACCAAAAATATATCAAGCCGGGGTGTGTTCAAAGGCGCCATGCCCATTCCAGGCGGAAACTTGTTCGTTTCAGCGCCTCCAGCCAAACACGTGAACCGTATGAACTCCAAGCCAATGCAAGATGCAAACGAACAAAACAATAATACCACGAAAGACTGTGCCGACGCCAACATCGTGGTCTAAAGGTCCGGTTTCAGCTGGGCACCAAACCGAGGCAAGGGAGGTTCTGGCGCCAAGCAAAGAAAGCCGAGACGTCTATATTGGAGAAGACAAGTACACCTGACCAAGGAGCACCTGGGCAGTACCCACGGCGAGGGGGTTTTCGGGACTGCCTCTTATGTACAGTGTGCGAGAAATGAAAAGAGCGTGGCTTTCAATGAAGCCGATTCGCACCGGCTGCCTAGACATCGCGTGCCGTTCACTTCACCCGACATGGTGTCGCGCCGGTTTCTTATGGTGTTTTGCCGCCCTTTCGATCCGCATTTGAACCGTTTTCAAATATCGAGCTGAAGCCCGCTAGGGGCCAATTTTCTGCTGTAGAATGAATCACGACCAGCCATGCTGCCACCAGGTTGACGAGGTAATGTAGCATATATGCATAAGAAACCCCGTAGATAGCGGCGTAGATTGCCGTTCCGAATAGCAGCACACTGGTCAAATGTCTGAGCTTGCCAGTGACCCTGGGCACCATTTTGCCAGTAGTCATGTTCTCCACTAGTAATATGAACGGCATAATGGAGAGCACGTTATGGTGCGATGAGAATGGTGTAAGCCAGTGTACGGCGAGGTTGCGGATCCAGACGGCTAATATCGGCAGATTGATGGGAAGTACCCATAGCATGAGCAGCAGAATCGAGTGGGCGTAGTGATAGAAGTCAGACGCTGGTGCAGACTTTTCGGAGGCTATTCTGAGAGCCCTTACAACTGTGAATAGCTGGACGAGACACGCCACCAAGTACGCGAACTGATACGGAATGAATGTCGAAACCAAAAATAATAGGATGGCGGTGGTTATCATGCGACGCCGAGGTGAGGATGGAACAAATATAGGCGAATGGGATCTCCGCCGTTCGTCTCTACTACCATGGCCAAAAGGATGAACAACTAGCCAAGAGTAGACGACGCCGAGAAGCTGTGTAAGCGCCAGAGTTACGAAATGGAGCACGGCGCAAACACCGATGCAAACGACACCGATGAGAGGAATGAGAAACCAAAAGAAAGGATCTTGTGTACCCGTCAGGAGATCGTTGCTTTGGAAGTCGCCAGCAGCAGACGTCGTGTTGCGCCAATGCCAAAACCCACCAGGCCCTGTTGGCCATGATCCCGTCATTGACAATGAGAGAAAGGTCAATGACAGCAGCATGAGTGGTAGGGATTGTCGTAAACAGAGATCCAGACTTTCAGAAAACGAGATGAATGTGCCTGTCGTGTCGTATACTCGGAATTGTTTGCGAAGTACGAGGGCTACCACCAGTAGCGGGAATGCTGCAAAAACCGTTCGATATCGCATGTACAGCTTTCCAAGACTGCCCAAGGTGTCGACCGTTAATTTGACTTGAATGCTGGACTCGCAAGTCGGGTCTGTCCAGAATTGAAAGCTCAGTCCCTGTTCATCGAGCCTCTTTGGCCGCAGTGGGGGAGGGACAAATGGCGCCACTCCATGAATGCTGACACTGGCATGTCTAGCATTGACAAAAAATTTTGACTCGTACGGTTGAGCGAGATACTGACGGATCAAAGGAGAAAATATCTCAGCTTTGCCGCCGCAGACCTGGTTGCCGACCTCCAAGTTATAAGCTAGCAAGCTGGACTGAAGAGCAGGGACATTGATTTCCGCCACCATAGGGCGGCTAGCTGGCAGCCTCAATGTCATGCCAAACGCCAACAGTCGTCGAAGGCTAATATTACGCGTCCTGTGCGATTGCGAGTGGTCGCTGAACTCTGCTACAACGAAGGTTGTCGTAGGCTTGAGTGCTTTGTCAATAATAGCAACAAACTGATGATCAGCGATGTCTTCGGTGTCGTATTGTAGATATGAAAATGGACGTGTCGCAGGCTCACTGTCCACGGCAAACGGATGACGATGGGACTTAGTCGAAGCGGGCAACAACATGGCGTCGTTTGCGGCGTTCTTGCATGCCAGTCGAGTGGACCCTGTACTGTCTCCTGACAGGTCCATATTCAAGGTGAATAAGTTCGTGGCCTGACCAGGTTGGAGGGGGAACAAGCTGCAAAAGAGCACCTCAAGCTTTCCATGCTCCCCCGATTTATCGAGGCCAACATCAGTCAAAAGAGTGAATCGCTTGCCCTCTGGGGTTCCTTGCGGGGGAACAGGGAGCAAATGAGCCCTCGGTTTCGAACTCAGTCCCAGTTGACGCAATACCAAACGCTCGCCCTGGGCCATGATATCGTTTGCGTTGTCTTCCAGTGTAAGCAGCGTAGATGGGCCCTCGGAAGGCAACGTTTTCTCGGCAATGGACTCCATACCCGTGAGAAGCCATTTCTTGAACACTCTCATCCTCTCGGCTCTGGGTTTTGTCTGCGATGACCTATGGACATCAACAACGTCGTACATAGCTCGGGCCACAACTTTTCTAAACTGGTCACACCACAGAATCGCCTGGTGATCCATGCTGGTCCAGACCTTGGGGATACCGGTGGTAAAGACGGTGAAGCCGTGGGTCTCGGGAATTATCGACTCAACGCTAGCATAGTCGGATGGCACTACCGTGTCCAAGCCCCCTCCAGCAATCGAGACGAGAGTAACGTGCCACAGTGGGTTATTGTTGGCCCACTTCTGCGAGTAAGCTCTGCGCCAGTAATCGTTGATGTCTTCGTAGATCTTTACAATCTGTCCGTCAAAAGTGACAGGAGGACGGGAATGCGGAGCGGACATGGTGATGATGGTATTGATCGAATAAGACTGGTAGTTGGGCATTATGAGCATGGTTCGCGCTACGATACCGCCCATGGAGTGGCCCAGGATCAAAACGGACGTCGGGTCTGGCAGGTCCGGGTCTCGAGCTGATATTCGCGGGTCCATATATAAAGACAAGATATACCGAATCGCCTCATTCAGGTATTCCGCCTGGTCCAGCATGGTCTGTCCATGGAATGCAGTGATATCCTCGTTGAAGTCGACGGTGAAGAAGTCGAGGTTGCGGGCACCAGCGGCGGCGGCAGCCTCGTCATGTTGTAGGGACTCGTGGAAATAGTTTGCGGCCTCTGCTGCTATCGGACGAACTTGTTTGTAGCTTCCAGCATTGCCTGGGATGAATAGAACAGGGACACCTGTCAACTAGAGCCTATGTTAATGTGGAATACCGCGTAGGCGCAAAAGTCCAGGGACCTACCTTTCTTTCGTCGTCAACGCCTTGCTCGCGATATAAATACAGAGAATATTTCGTCGCGAAGCGGGTATGCTCCGTGTCGAAGTCGCGTAGACGTATATACGTGGGTCGCATGTAAGACATCCGGCATCCCTTGGCGTCGAGCTGACGGGTCCAGGACGAATTCAAGATGGCGCAAAGCAGGGTGATGCCAAGAACAGTGACAGCAAGGGCGAGAATGGTGATGGACCACGGGCCACGAAATCGAGAGCGACGACTAGTGAAGCGCATTTCGGCCATATTTTCAGTGGTCGTGGAGGCTTTCTCGTCGTCGTCTTCTCCGCCTTCGTCGGTGGCGAGGGCGTGATCTCCGTCGTTGTCGTCGAGTTGATGGACACGGACTACGGACTGGGGTTGGTGGTGGTGGTGGTGGTGGTGGTTCGGGGGCTGGCGCTGTGTGTTGCTTCGACGAGCGGCAGAGGATGAGGGCAACGGCGCGGCCAGGGATGGGTCTGGCAAAGGCAACGAAGAAACAGTTATGGGATGGTTGTCGAATGATACATTCGGTCCATGTTCGAGCTTCCAATTGGCGTTGAGTCTACTCCTCGCAGAAGACGGTCTCGAGGCAACTGGCAGATGTTTGGGGTGTGCGACAGAATTGCGGGTGCGAGCAGGCTCTTGGATCGTGGTTACAGGAGGCTCAGCAAGAGGGTCGTCGCTGTCGTCGGTCGAACCCGACGAGCGCCTCTTCATGGGTGGAGAGGGCTCGCTCGAGTCTTCCTCGGGAGGAAGTAGTCGGTCGATTGAGCCGTTGGGATACGTTTGGGAGGGAAAGGAGGAGAGAATGGGAGCTGGGGCGATCGTAGGTTAGAGACGATGCGGACAAGCGAGAAGAGGGACGAGAGAAAGAGAGAAGCATGCTACTAGAAGGGACTTACCTCACCATTGGAACAAGCGAGTAAGGGTCTGGGACGCTGAGCTGATGCACTGTGATGCGGAAAGGTTTTGGGGGGGGGGGGGGGGACGCTACGTGATGCTAGGTGCCGAGCTACCTGAGGTACCTAGGTAGGTAGGTAACGCGGTGTCGGCTAATAGGTGTTCTTGAGGACCCCCATCAGAGAGTGCATACCTGGTACCCAAAGGTAGGTAGGCAGGTAGAGGCTCGGAAATGTCAATTGGGGCCTGAAGTGGCCTGTGGTTCTGGATGCGACGAATAACCAGCGGCCGTGCAGGCTTTGACAGTGCCTTGAAAGTTCCCGCGGTTCCGCTGCGCTGGGCTGGGAATGCGTGCAGTGATAAGCCGAATACCTACCGCATGTACTTTACATGGACCTGGTAAGTAGGTAAGGTGCCTTAGATTATCTCGTTTCTTCCTTCTTCTATCTACCTTAAGGTACCTAGGTCAGGTAATCACCCATCCCCTTATCTCAAGGTAAGGTTCGATACCTAGGTAAGGTACCTCCGGATACTTGCCTAGGTAGTAGGTATTTCTCTAGGTAAGCGCCTACCTGCCTCCTCACTAACAGGCTCGCCGACCTAGGTGCCTTATGAAAGGTCGTTCTCAGAAGCTTCTGCGACCCGGGCCTCCCGATATATCGCTGTACCGCGAATGCAGAATTAAATAATTGCCTCACATGCACCCTGCACTTATTTTCATACAAAGCGATAGCTCGGGGCTAAGAGCTGGCCTTGCATTGATTACGAAAGCATGGTGGATTAGGTAGACCCCTGGTCCCCCTCGGTCTCCTTTCCCTCTGATCTCTCGCGCTGCCCCGGCATCCCTGGCCCTCGAACCGCCTATCATTGCCCCAATGTGACATGAAACGTTTTCTGCTTGTTTCTCCAGCAAACGCTGTGTTGGTCGCCGCCCTCGTTTACTTCTTCTTCTCTGTTGACATATATATCCCCTGTCTTTTTATTTTGTTCGTCTACTTGCTTTACATCTACCTCCGGCACACATGCTCACGCCCGCCGTCTTGGAATGCAAGAGTAATACGCGACCACAAAGTAGCCTCAGAGATAAGCCTGACCAGGTTCGTTGATCTGCTGAGCTCACAAAGCCTGGCCGGAACAAGATCGAGATCCGACGCAGTCAACGGCAGCTAATCTCCGTTACGGCGCTGTGCTCTGCACGTTTAATTCCATCTACAGATATCCATTGTAGCGGTAGAGATGGCTGGCTCCGCCAATGGCTTCAATAAGCCCATACCTTTCGTAGGAATGTCTTGGCTGGGGACTAGATGTACTAGACGGATAATTCGCAGTGGACACCTCAGACAACGGCCCGATCTGCCACAAACCCATCAAACCCCCGTTCGGCACGGTACTCGTGTACCCGTGGATGTTCAGTGAGGTCACTGCTCAGGACCAATGACGAGCTTATGATAAATCTCACAGGCGATGGGTTTCTTGGATCAGGGCTGCGTTTGTAACGAGGCCAGAGATGGTCCTCGTTCTAGAGACGCCGGCCTCTGTACAATTCGCCTCTCTTCAGCGAACCGTATCTTGCCTACGGAGAAAGATTGGGAATGGCTTTTCGGCAGCGATTGGTCGCTAATTACCCATCTGCTGACTCCCAGATCAGCGGACTGACGGCCCACGTTTCTAGTGTCCACTCACCCTATAAGTCCCGAGTGTCACTCTTTTTTTTTTTTTTCAAAAAAAAAAAAAAATTAAAAATTCCAAGAAACGCGTCCTTCAGAGCGTGCCAAGGCGTCAATGGCAATGCATGTAGCGTGGCGACTTGGGCGCGCTGTATTGTGTTTGGGTCCGTAGGCAAGGATGATAAGGTACCGTGGTAACTCTAGCCGCCTTGCTTATGTCAGGTAGCCTACCTGCCTCCCTTACCAAGTCGCGACCCAAATGCACCTTGCCTTATCCGGCAAACACTATACGCGCCTGGCGCGTCTTCCGGTTCAATGACAACACTCGGTTCATCCTCTCGATGGAATGGATGTATGGAGTGCTGAACTTCGAAGAAACTCATCGTCGAAATGGCCGCTATAAAGGCCATCGATGGCCGCACCGTAAGCTTGATTACGCCGCCCCCTGAAAATAGCAAAACCACGACCCCCTGCTGACAACTCTCGAAGGTGCATCAAATACAATCTGGCCAAGTCATCGTTGATCTCTGTTCTGTTGTCAAGGAATTAGTCGAAAACAGCATCGATGCGGGCGCCAGTAGCGTAGGTATGGTTGCCAAACTCATTTCAGTCCAGATATCCCAGCCGTTTCACTCTTTTCCCACCCTTGCTTGCTGACAGCTCATCGAAGACGTTCGCTTCAAGAACCAGGGTCTCGATTCGATCGAGGTTCAAGACAACGGCTCAGGCATCTCGCATGACGACTACGATACTATTGCCTTGAAGCACTACACTTCGAAGCTTTCAACCTACGCCGATTTAGCTACCCTCGAGACATTTGGTTTCCGTGGTGAAGCCTTGTCTTCACTATGTGCGCTATCGCGGTTCAGTATCGTCACTTGCCTAGCAAAGGACGTTCCCAAAGGCACCAGACTCGAATTCGAAATTTCAGGCAAACTGGGCAATACAAGTGTTATTGCTGCTCAGAAAGGCACCAATGTCATCGTCGAGAATCTTTTCCATAATCTGCCTGTCCGTCGTCGCGAACTCGAACGCAACATTAAACGAGAATGGAACAAGGTCATTTCGCTCCTCAATCAGTATGCCTGCATCCAGACAGGTGTCAAATTTACCGTATCACAGCAGCCCAGCAAAGGCAAACGCATCGTTTTATTCTCCACCAAAGGCAATCCGACAACTCGTGAGAACCTCGTCAATATATTTGGCGCCAAGACGATGATGGTTCTGGTCAAACTGGACATGACGCTAAATTTCGAGCCAACCGGTGGTGTGAAAAATGCACAGAGGACTGAAAAGGTTTCTGCTGAAGTCCGTGTTCAGGGGTACATCAGTCGGCCAGCGCATGGCGAAGGCCGCCAGACTCCAGATCGCCAGATGTTTTTCGTCAATGGGAGGCCTTGCGGCTTGCCTCAGTTTGCTAAAGTTTTCAACGAGGTTTACAAAGCATACAACTCGTCACAATCCCCCTTTATATTTGCAGACATTCAACTCGACACTCATCTGTATGATGTCAACGTCAGCCCTGATAAACGCACCATCCTCTTGCATGACCAAAATCGAATGTTGGAAAACTTAAGGGAGGCCTTGACTGCTCTCTTCCGATCACAGGACTACTCTATACCAGTGGGGCAGTCATCCACGCAAAAGCTTCATCGAGGTACCCAAGCCACCGTAACCGTCATGGAGGTCGACGGCGAGGGCAAAGGTACTCAGACTGTGGCACAAAACACCAAGAAGCCGACGTTCACAGCGAGTGGGCCACGCCCAGCCATCCAGCACCACGGTTCAAGCTCTGAGGATGAAGAGGATCGATCCCCACCGCGCAGCAAACAAGTCCGAAAGACTCGTGCGACACAGCAAAAAATAACATCACCCGCAGACCTACAGTCGCAAAGTTTGATGAGTCGTTGGGTTGGAAGAACTGCAAAAGACAGTCGAGAACCCGACGAGCCGCGGTCGAACAGGGGGGGCGATACCGGGATATTGACAACTCCCGGACAGCCTGGTGAATCACAAGGAGAAGATGAAGTTGCTGAAGAGCCGCCAGAGTCCCCAGAGAAGATGCTGGATACTACGCCAGCAGACACAGTAGAAACCCCTCGGAGGGTGCTAGACTTTCGTGCTCGTCTCGCCGAGCTGGATGAGCGAGAGGACCCCGAAGCACCGTCAAAACATGTATCAAGCACTTCTGAAGGCGGAAAAGCCTCTGACCAAGCTGAGATCCCAGCCATTACGCCGATTAGGACTCCGGTAGACAACAGCATGCCGACAGTGACGCCACGAATGTCGAAAAGACATGCTCCAGATGTTGCTACCATTATCATTGGAGACTCCACCGTCGTAGGGTCAGCAGAAATACACGCTAAGAAATTGAAGCTCGATCAGGGGACAGGACATGCAAAATCCCCCACTAGCAAACCCACGACCTTAGGTTCATCCTTCGGCTCTCGTTTGACACAGATACTTTCAGCCAATCGATCTAGAGATGGGGCGGAAAAGGCCAATGACAGTTTGCAAGATCTAGACAAGATCGGCGCAGCCACGGACGTTGGTAGCCAAGCGAACGACTCCGATTTGCCCAGTTCTCTTAGAGAGAATCATTCAAGCGAGGCAATGGAGACTGTTAGTTTTGTTGAAGAGTTACCACGTACCCCAGGAGAACTCCACAGCCAAATCGATGCACCTAGCTTCAAGTCACCTCGTTTTGACGACGATTCAGCCCCGGTTCAGTCTGTTGCGACCGAGCACCAGCCTGAGGAAGATGGGTTGGAACGATCTGAGGCTTCCAGTAAGAGGCCCAGTGCTCTCAATGCCGGAGTCAAGCGGAAGGATGCCACCCTACAACATGAGCAAAGCATAAAGATCAACGAGGGGGGTCTGCACACTCAAATGAAATTGTGGGCATCTGAAATGAAGCGAGCAAATTCACGTCAAACCAACGCCCTCAGTGCCTTGGGCTTGGAGTCGCAAGATGCTGAAGAAGTCCTGTCCCTTATTATTACAAAAGCTGACTTTGGAAACATGACTATCGTTGGCCAATTCAACCTGGGGTTCATCATCGCTGTCCGTTACGCATCAGGCAAAGGGGACGGTGGTAGTTCTAGCAGCGATGATGAGCTCTTCATCATTGACCAGCATGCTTCGGATGAGAAGTACAACTTCGAACGACTGCAGTCGACGACAGTCGTACAATCACAGCGACTTGTGCATCCGAAGCAGCTTGAACTCACGGCTCTTGAGGAAGAAATCGTGATGGAGAACATTGCTGCCTTGAACACCAATGGCTTTCAGGTGGACGTGGACAGGTCCGGCAATCAACCTGTGGGATTACGATGCAAACTTCTTGCTCTCCCTCTAAGCCACGGGACGACCTTTACGCTGTCTGACCTCGAAGAGTTGATATCTCTCCTGGGGGATCATCAATCTAACGAGGGAGTCTCCGCCCCACGACCCTCCAAGGTCCGTTCAATGTTTGCCATGCGTGCCTGCCGGAGCAGTGTCATGATCGGAAGGGCTCTGGCGCATCAGCAGATGGAGAAGCTTGTCCGTCACATGGGCGAGCTGGATAAGCCTTGGAATTGCCCCCATGGACGACCAACAATGCGCCACTTGAGTGGGCTCGGCTCTTGGGATGAGATAGGGTGGAAAGAAGACAAACCAGGCGTGGACTGGGCCACGTATGCCCGGGGCTAAAGGCGTAAGGCGCGAGATGGTCTTTGGAGCAGCATCTCTTCTAATGACTTCCTAACCTGTACCTCGTTTCATTCACACGAAACTGTCCTAGACAGTGACTAAATTCCAGTCAGTTTTCCATCTGTCCTGAGGTAAATTCTGCACAAGCACGAACGTTCTCTGTTTACAGCTGAACAGCGGGAATGATGAAACAGTCGCCGTGCGCAGACTTGACCTCTCTCTTTCTTGTGAGCTAAGTACAACATAATATCCAGTGCATGCGTTGTTCAGGGTCTTCGCCAATGAGTCAGCCTGAGCTGGCCGTCAGCATTTGAGGTCGACATGAATCGTAATATTGTCCCCGAACTAACTCCCGAAAAATCACAAATCCGTAGAGCAGACCATACAGCATCTCATCTCAGTCGAAGGCCTTTTGAAGTTCAAATTCGGCCCTATAGCACGCTGTACCTTGGATAGCCATTCTTCGACCCAGCCAGACCCTCCTCGGCGACTTTGCCGCTCACGTTACGTCGTCCATAGGTGGAGGAGTACGGCTGGTTGTCGTAGTCATTACCGGAGGACACCTGCCGGTTGTTGCCAACCATGACAGGGGGTGTTGCGGCCTTGAGCTCGCCATAGGGTTTTGAGTAGAAGTCAGACTCTGGCTGGATGGAACTGTCGCGGTTGCGTGGCCACGGCTGTCCCGCCAGCGCAGAAAGCCTCGCATCTGCAATATCATTGCTGCCGCTGACCTGACGGGAATTGAGATTCACCTCAGACAAGGCAGAGTTGCGGGGAGGCAAGAACGATGTCTTGGCTCGTGCGGTCGCCGGTTGAGGATTTGATGCTAAAGGATTCGGGTGAGGGTTCCCAAGATCGTTCTCGAAATCGCTACCCGCCAGATCATTTTCATCGTTGTCAGAATCGGAATCCTCCACGTTGTAACGGTGACCCAAAGCTTCGTACCCCTTATCACTCGAAAGCTTTTTCTCTGCTGCAACAGCGACATCCATGGCACGGTTTCTCTTCTGCGTGCGCGAGATAAGCGAGTCCGTGGCGAACCAGGTTTCGGTGAATTTGCCTGCGTTGCGAGCTTGGGTCGGGGAAGAAATAACTCCAGATGAAAGAGATGACCGGGGGTTGTTCGTGTCGTGAAGCGGGACTTCAGTGTAAGAGCCACGGGGTGAAGAACGAGGAATAGACATTCGATTGTATTCACTAGCGACGGCTGAGTTTCTCGGTGAGTTTCCTAGTGGGATCTGATATTGCCGACTGGGGAGATCGGCGTGAGAATCACGTGTGCGGTTGGACAGATCAGAGCCGGCTCTCGTCCGTTGGAAAGGAATGCTGGGCGGTCGAGAAAGGTCTTGATACGGTGCACCGGACCGACGTCGCTCTTCAAGAGGCGTAGAAAGTCGCTTCTCGCCCTCGTCGCTAACGCTGGTCGCGACACTGGATTTGTTCCTCTTATGCTTAGCTCGCGAGGTCAGATGATCCTCCAAGGGGTTCATGTCTGGAGGCATCTGAGTGATTTTGCGAAACATGAAGCCGAGCCAAGCGGAAATGCAGAATGATATTAGATGCAAGCCCCCGGCACCGATGAATGTGTAGCTGACGGCTTGAACAAAGTATTCCACGAGCCCCTGGTCAACCCAGCGAGTCGTCCAAGCTGCGCTATTGTTCATGGCCATCAAGGCACCATATGCGTAGAGAGGCATGGCGGCTAGGTCAGAGATACCGGAAAAGAGTTGATAAGCGGTGGATGACGCAGGGCTACGGTCCCCGGCTGGCCTGGATAGGTGGTAAATGGCGTAGAAACAGTGTACCATCACGACGCCGGGCTAGGTTTCATCAGCATGGTTATCAAGTGAGCGCGTCGTTTGCTGCAAACGTACCGTGATACGCATGACCCACCCAGCGAGAGCCTCGATGTTGTTCAGCAGGATGAGGAGGGCAAGCAGGCCTGCAGCCCCAATTAGTTGCAGGACTCTGAGAGCCAGCTGGACGATCCGTATGCTCTTGATCCAGCTCTTCGTCCGAGGACTGAGGGACACATAATTGCTAGACCTATGCGACAGCACCATCTGAGCGCTGGATGGCGGTTGGTCAGCACGTGATCATCGTGTAGTCCTGGCTCTCAGGCAGAGAAATCCAGTTGCACAGAAAATGCTCACTCAGGATGGCGATTGAAAGTGACCAACGGCCCAGTGGGCTTGGGCTTGCGCGGCTTCGGCTCCCAACTCGCACGCGTTACTGCTTTAGGGTCGAACTTGGGCTCGGGAAATCGTGAGTCTCGACTGTTGCTGACGGCATTGTAAAGATAGGGCTGCTGAACCATCTTCGCGGCATTAGACTTGGTCGTTTCGTCCTCAGTCGTAGCAAAAAAAGAGACAGACGGATAGCGAGTGTGTGTGAGTGTGTAGTTTTCAGGAATGCTTCCACAGAAGGCGGCGTCGAGGTGAGCTGGCTGGAATGCCGCTGGCTTGATCCAGTCAGCTTAATGCGCGTGGTTGGGACTCTGCTAGAGGTCTCTGGGAGAAATTGAGCATGTGGGATGATGAAGGAGGGGAATGGCCGTGAGGTGGTGGTGGATGAGAGCGAGAGGCTTGATAGTTAAGAGTACCTCAGCTTGGGGTAAGACGGGGCAGAGGGATGTGCCAACCTCAGCTAGCAAGATGCTACAGAGATGTAGGTCAGGCAGTGAGAGTAAGATAAACCAGGGCAAATCAAGGACTCAAGTGTGCCTGGCTTGACAGTCATTGCCCGTTATCAACATCACGTCTAACGCAGCTTGAAGGCGCCCTTGTTGCCACAGCAACGGGTGTCTAAGACGATGTACAGCGCCTGAAACCTGGCCCAGCGCCCAAAGATGGCGTTTCTCACTGGGCTAGGCTCTAAAAGTTGCTTTTTTGGACATCCTAGGTCAGGTACACATCCACTTTTATCCCGCCGCACTAGTCTTTTGCAGGTAACCTGGTCGCAGTGAGCGAGCTGAGACCAAGCCCTCATGTTTGCGCCGTCACTTGGGGATTTGAGGATATGCTTGACTACGTACCTACCTCCCTACGCACCTTGGATCTTAACCACATATTTCCATCTTCACGTCTCCGGACAATCCGGGGCTTTTGCGGTTCCGTCATCCCTCGTCCCCGGCAACACCGCCGCTCACACATCTCCGAGAGGCCCGTATTGGGGGCGGGTCCCGGTACTATATCCGAACTCATCCGGTCTGCTACGGTTACTCATCATTGAACCTTTTCTGCTTGGTCTGCCTCCCATCCGTCACTCATAAGCCGGGCTCATCGCACAGTCCTTACCTCCATATCGTTGCAATCACTGTGATTTCCGACGATACACTCAGCTGGCGACCCAGCGGGCAAGATTAATCATTGCTTGACCGGCCCAGCAGCACCACGTGCGTGCTCCAGAACAGCACCGCCATGCTCCTCCTACTTCGAGTCCGGCCGCTTCTAGGCTGCAGCCATGCTCGGCCTCAGGTGGGCACTGGCAACTCAGCGGTCCGCCTGATCAGCACCGAAGCGTCTATCGCAAGGCGAACTCGTTCTCCCGAAGACTCGTTTCGCGTTGCTGTTGTAGGATCCGGCCCCGCTGGTTTTTATGCGTCTTACCGCGTCATGTCTCGGCTCCCAAACGCGAAGATTGACATGTTTGAGTCATTGCCAGTTCCCTTCGGTCTTGTCCGCTTCGGCGTCGCCCCAGATCACCCTGAAGTCAAGGTTGCTTTCTCTCCTCACTCACGTATTTCGGCTCGACTGACGGAACCATCGTAGAAATGCCAAGATAAGTTTGAGGAGGTCGCTGGCTCTCCTAATTTCACATTTGTTGGCAACGTTTCCGTTGGCGAAGCAGGTTTTCATCCGCATAGCTGCACTATTCCGTTTTCGAGTCTACTGCGCCATTACGATGCTATCTTGTTGTCATACGGAGCAGCAAAGGACAGGACACTTGGTGTTCCAGGGGAATCTGAGCTTCGGGGCATATATTCTGCACGTTCATTCGTTGGCTGGTACAACGGACTTCCCGAGTACGCCGGGCTGGCGCCAGACTTGACCAAAGGCGACGAAGCTGTTATCGTCGGTCAGGGAAATGTTGCTTTGGATGTAGCTCGCATGCTGCTTGAAGATGTAGATGTCTTACGCAAAACAGACATCACCGAAGAAGCGTTAGCCAACCTGGCCGTTTCCCGCATCAAGAGGGTTCATGTCATTGGAAGGCGTGGGCCTATGCAGGTGAGCGTAAAACAAAGTCTCCACCGTACGCTCGTGGTTGATAACACTCAATAGGCAGCTTTCACCATTAAAGAGGTCAGGGAGCTGATGAAGATTCCCAGTCTTGCTTTCCATCCCGTCGACCCAACCCTCCTTCCTCCTGAAATCAAGACGCTCCCTAGAGCGGCAAGGAGACTGATGGAGGTAGTAGTCAAAGGCTCAGCTGTCCGGCCCAACGATGTTGCGAGGTCTTGGTCTCTCGATTTTTGCCTGAGCCCAGTAGAGTTTCTCGCCAGCCCGGAATCTCCGTCCGATGTCGGTAGTACCCGGTTGGAACGAACGGAGTTGTCCTCCAAGTTCGACCCCGGTGCCCAGGTTCGCTTAACCGGGGAAACGATAACTGTGCCCTCAGACCTGGTCTTCCGTTCCATCGGCTACAAATCTGTCTCAATACCGGGATTGCAGGAAGCGGGCCTTGCCTTTGATGACCGGCGTGGTGTTGTCATGAACGATGGGCGTGGCAGAGTCTTGCGGCATACCTCGGGGAACTCATCAGAATTCGACGCTTCCCCTGGCGTTTATTGCGCCGGTTGGGTGAAGAGAGGGCCCACAGGAGTTATCGCATCGACCATGATGGATGCTTTCGAGACCGGCGACTCAATCGTACAAGACTGGTTGTCCGGGTTCCCATTTCTGTCCGGAACTGACATGAACACCAAGCATGGATGGGCAGGGATCAGTGCAGAAGTTGGCGACAGGGCCTCGAAAAGAGTATCCTGGGCTGATTGGCAGAAGATAGACAGGGCCGAGAAAGACAATGGCCGTGCTGCGGGCAAAGAACGAGAAAAGTTCACATCCACCAAAGCGATGCTCGATGTTATTTCGTGAGCGTAACAGAGGCCATCACCCATGCATAGACTCATCTATGTAGATTACAAAATATTACATCACTGCTTGACCTTCTCCGTCAACTCGGGCACCTTTTCGAACAGGTCTCCAACAAGACCAACGTCTGCGACCTGAAAAATAGGAGCATCCGCGTCCTTGTTGATGGCCGCGATGACCTTGCTGTCCTTCATACCTGCCAAGTGCTGAATGGCACCAGAGATGCCGACGGCCATATAAAGTTGGGGGGCGACAACCTTGCCAGTTTGGCCTACCTGAAGACTGTTGTCCGCATAGCCACTATCCACCGCAGCTCTGGACGCACCGACCGCAGCCCCCAAGGAGTCGGCCAGTGGCAGCATCACTTTGTCGAACTCTTCCTTGGACTTGAGGCCTCTGCCACCAGAGACGACTCTGCTGGCAGTTGCGAGGTCTGGCCGGTCGGACTTGGCAAGATCCTCGGAGACCCACTCGGTGGTAGACTCGGACTTGGGGTCAATGCCCGCCTCAACGCCTGCTGAACCACCGGCTATCTCTGCAGCAGGGAAAGCTGTACCCCGAATTGTGATTATCTTGACGGGATCAGATGACTCGACCGTGGCAATGGCGTTGCCGGCATAAATGGGACGAACAAAGGTGTTTTCGCTCTCGATAAAAGTAATATCAGAGATTTGCTGAGAGTCCAGAAGCGCAGCAACACGGGGCAAGAGGTTCTTTCCGAAGGCAGTGTGTCCAGCGATAACATGGGTGTAGCCGCCCTTCTTGATGTTCTCGACCAACAACGGCGCATAGTTCTCGGGAAGGCCCTGCAAAAGAAGAAGAAAAAAAGAGCGTCAGAGAGTCCAGTCCGTATGCAAGATGTCCAAAAATTTCTCCCCTCGGAGAAGAAGCAAACCTTGTCGTATGCGCTGTTGTCAACAGCAATGATCTTCTCTACGCCTTCGACCTTAGCCGCCTCCTCTGCAACTCCCTTGATGTTGCTTCCCGCCACGAAACCGTGAATTGGTCCGCCGAGTTTCTTCGCCGCGGTGATGGCGCTCAAAGAGCCGTGGTTCAATTGACCTTCCCTCTGTTCCAAGAGAGCGAGAGTGGATAGTAGACTCCTCGTCGATCTTGATCGGAGCCCCGACAGTCCGCTGGTCGCCCAAGCAGCCCCGCTGACAGCGGCTCTTCGGGTTAGGAACAGCATGATGATTTAAACAGATATGGAAAAGCGGAAAGGTATGCTTCAGTTCGAAATGAGAAAAGAACCGCCGGAAACTTGAGAGAAGCAGGTGTTGTACGACTGTTGCGGTGGACGACGCAAATAGATAGGAACGGTTTGACACGGCCCGAGGTTACTACGCCGAGTTCGCATGAAGCCTTCCTCAACTGCCAATGTGCCGTCATCAGAAGGGAGGGCCTCTGGCTAAACGCCAGGGGTGGCTCTAGGTCGAACGAATCGGCTTTATGTCTGCTTTTCCCGGCCGTGCAGCCTCAGGAACAGAGCGTCGGAGGTCACGTGTGAGCGTACATAGATGCAACTGTGGTGTTTTAGGTTACCTAAGCTAAGGTGGTCCCCAGAGCAGGTCGCCACCTAACAGCGGAGGAATGCCCAGAGCTGGCAGCGCCAGGCTTACCTTACCTACTACTGTCTGTTGCAAGTACCTACCTACCTAAGGTACCTTAAACAATACCTACACTGTATTATCCTCCAGCATCTCGCGCCAAAATTTCTCCAGGCCCAGACGCGACTACTCCATAACCACCACATCTCGTTACTCAACATCAACACCACGAGCTGCTAGAGGGGTAAAACCTGTGGGCTGCATCATCAAACAACCAAAGTCGCCAGTCGCATGCCACAGATTGATCCAATCGACTGTCTCTGACTCCGATTTGCGCGTCGCGCCATTGCATTTACTCGCGACTTCCAGGCAGCCTTGATGTCCGTTGCCTCCTGAGGTCCCTTCGCCCAAAGTTATCATGGAGGACCAGACTACCTACGGCTTATCTAGCGCTGCCTCCCCCGGCAGTAACCCAATTCTTTCTCAGCCGCCGTTGCAGCCTGCTGCAACTACATCTGGAGATGGCGCCGAAGGTACATGTTCCCGTCTGACTCTTCCGTTGTCGACGCAGCCCCAACTAAATCAACCTCACTGAGCAGACGTCCAGATGACCGAGGGCCCTATCGCGGAACCCAACATCAAGCAAGATAGCGCGACGCCTGCACCCGGCGTGACTTCCGACAACCCTCTCGATGCCCCCGATGGCCCAGCGCCCGAGGCTACCCAAGACGAGGACATGGCAGGTGCACGTGATGAGGTCAAGGACGGCCAATCGAAAGAGGGGGATGATGTCGGAGCTGGAACCGATGTGGATGGGCAGGACTCCAAGACCAAGGAGACGCTGGAAAATGCGGCTCGGGAGCACCTCATCTCTCAGACACACGCCATCGTCCTGCCAAGCTACAGCACCTGGTTCGACATGAACACCATTAACGACATCGAGCGCAAGGCCATGTCTGAATTCTTCAATAGCCGCAACCGCAGCAAAACCCCGGCCGTTTACAAGGACTACCGCGACTTCATGATCAACACGTACCGTTTGAACCCGGTTGAATACCTTACTGTCACAGCTTGCCGACGCAATCTGGCCGGAGATGTCTGCGCCATTATGCGGGTGCACTCTTTTCTTGAGCAGTGGGGCTTGATCAACTATCAGGTAACTTTCTTTTGGTTTCCATCTTTATGGGTGTATGCTGCCATGATCAGGGTTAACAGTGAACCAGGTTGATGCCGAGCAAAGACCATCGCATGTTGGCCCGCCATTCACCGGCCACTTCAAGATCATCTGTGACACGCCCCGTGGTCTTCAGCCGTGGCAGCCGTCTTCTGATGCAGTTGTGTCGGCTGGAAAGCCTAGCGCGGACACAGAGAAGAAAGCGTCGGCGACGTCTGGTCCCAAGACCGACGTCAACCTCGAGGTTAGCCGTAACATATACGAGGCAAGCGCCAAGGGCGCAAAGCTCAACAAGACGGAGCCTAAGACCAATGGAGATGCACCAATTACCAATGGCATCTCAGGTGTCGAGGAGGCAACGAAGACGCCTATTGTTAAGGTCAACTGCCATACCTGCGGTATTGATTGCACCAGACTATACTATCACAGCTCTCAAACCGATCCCAACTCCAAGACCAAGTACGACGTCTGCCCAAGCTGCTATCTTGAGGGCCATCTGCCTGGCAACCAGACCAGTGCTCAATTCACAAGGATGGAGAACCCTACTTACACAACCGTTCTTGACCGAGATGCGCCTTGGAGCGATGCAGAAATCCTACGACTCCTGGAAGGTATCGAGAGGATGGATGACGACTGGAATGAGATTGCGGACCACGTTGGCACTCGCACTCGTGAGGAGTGCGTCTTACAGTTTTTGTCCCTAGACATAGAGGGCAAGTACGCAGACGACCTTGCTGTTAACGCACCTACGGGTCTTGCCATGCTTGGAACACAGGGTGGCCACCTTCCATTCAGCCAGGCGGATAACCCTGTCATGTCTGTGGTTGGGTTCCTCGCGGGTCTCGCAGATCCTGCGAGCACGGCTGCTGCTGCCAACAAGTCGGCCGAGGAGCTCACACGGAAGCTGCGCAGGCGTCTGGAGGGAGACGACTCAGGCGAGCAGGCGACTACTAACGGCAAGGGCAAGGACAAAGATGGCGACTCGATGGAGATTGACGTGACCACAACCACGACCACCACTACAACCACAACGACTCTGGCAACGATCCCGATGGCCACGATGGGTGCCCGGGCTGCTGGTCTGGTGTCACATGAGGAGCGCGAGATGACGCGACTTGTTTCAGCGGCGGCCAACCTCACACTTCAAAAACTTGAACTGAAGTTGAAGTACTTCAACGAGATGGAGGCCATCTTGCAGGCGGAACGAAGAGAGCTTGAGCGAGGCCGCCAACAACTATTTTTGGACCGCCTTGCATTCAAGCGTCGTGTTCGCGAAGTGCAGAACTCCCTGAAGACAGCAGTTGAGGCGGGTGGGGATCAGGGCCTCAAATTGGCTCAGGACGCCATGACGGACGGCGCGAGTCTTACGTTCCAAGCTGTTCCTGGATCCAGTGCAGTACAGCCATTGAGCAGCGAGGGCCAGATCAAGAGCTTCGAGGCTTGAGTGATCGCCACCGATTGGGTAGCCGAGAGCAACTGAGAAGTCATTAAAAATGATGGAAGCGAGTGACGGCGGCGACGGAGGGTTGATGTTTCCGTGTTCTTTCTTTTTCTATTCCGAAGGGTTTGGGTTGGCGACGAATAAGGTAGGAAATGGAACGAATAATTGCGGGGGGTGATTTGACATCGTTTTGGTATTCCAGGGCAGGCGTCCAAGGGATTCCGAAGGCTCGGCGACGCATTGTCTCCTGGTGCAAGTACGTGTATTAGATACATAAAGCCATTTACCTATCTGTATGATCTCTTGTTGATAAGCGGACGCTCAAGGCTCGCAAAAGTCGGCTTTGTGCAGCGCCTCGGGGGTGTATTAGTAGCATCAAGGTCTAGGCTTACGAGATGGGTTGGGAGGGAGTCGAAGATCCCCGTGCTCCGAAACTACGAAAGGAATTCTGGTCCGTTCGTCCAGGACATCCGTTAGCCCAGTCCGGAACAGTCCGGTGTCTTGTTCATCCGTTCTTTGTGCCATGAGTAGCTCCATGTGACAGAACCCTCTGTGCCTGTCGCCTGCTAGACCTGCGTGCTACGATAGGGAAACACATGACTGAGAGGAAAGAAGACGACGAGGGAGATGGAAGCAACGCCTGAGTCTGCCCGCATTACACTGCTGCCAGGGCCGGCGCGAAGCGCGGGTCGCCGTTTGGCCTGGTCCCGCATCCGGGCATACCTACGCGAACCCCGAGCCTACTGTGTAGGTTGGATAAGGCTCTCAAACGCGTCAAGAAAAGCAGCATCCAACTCGATCGTGGAGTCGCCTGACTGTAGTACAAGTGGGGATCTAGGCCAAGACACACTGTGCACTTCACTGGGGAGCTCAGCACACCTTGGGTGCGGGGCACGTACCTACCCAGCGGACTTCCAAACCTCTAATACCCTGGAACACTACTGCGTATGTACCTTAGGTAAGGTGGGTGGGTGCCGCAGTGGAGGGAGAAGAGTACCTACGTACGGGGTAAGGTAGGCAGCGATGGATGTGTGCAGGACCCCCTGTTTTGCCTCGGCTCAAAGGCTCTAAGGCTTTAATCAGCCATGGTTGCCGGCTGCACCGCACAGCGCCGAGGGACACCAACGAGCAATCAGGGTGTAGGTTCCCCATTCCCCCAGTTCCTGCTCCGCCGAGCGGTCACTTTCGATGAACCGGGGTTGGACACGGGGAGGGCAGGTTTGTTCCGTACGTACCCCATCGTACTTCCCCGTCCCTGAGGTATTTGCTTATCCGCAGGTCAAGGCAAATTGACCTTCGCTCAGGAGGGAAGAGAAGGGACGGAAGATGAGAAATGATATTGATCAAAGCCCAGCGCCAGCACCATCTCCGAGTCCAAGCCAGAATCAAGTCCGGCATCACATCACAAAAGCGCACCCAGCCCTCGTAGAACAGCGTGACTTGGTTCTTCTCCAATCGATGCTCTCCATGCCCTCGTCCTGATCTTTATTGCCTTCCATCTTGTCGGCGCTTTCTCCCTAGCCACCTTATTACTTTCCGTACCTACCTCAGCTAAACGTGCCGCGCTACACCACACTACAGCTGCCGCAGCTACGCTGTCGCACTCATCCTGTCCATCGACTGGATCAATTCCACCTTCGTCTACGCGTCCTCCATCATCCCGAGGCATCTTTTCCCAGTTACCACTCCCGTTACCGTTACCGTTACCGTTACCGCTGCCGCTGCCGCTGCCGCCGCCGCTGCACCTCCCTCCCTCCCTCCCTCCCTCCCTCCCTCACGAGGCCAGTCCCCGCCTCCGATTCTTACCTACCTCTCTCACGCACATACGCCACATCCCTGCCCCGGTTGATTAAGGCCCGCGTGGGTGCTGGGTTGCTGGGTTTTGGCTTGTGACAAGCAGCCACTCTGTCGACGGCTAGGATCCGCTCCGATCCATAACGACTGACTTGCTGCTCGACTGCCGCGGATCTCTGCGGCTACGTGTGCCAACTATTTTAATACCACTTCCACACGCACCAGTCACTGCACCTAAGCAAAAATTGGTCATGTCGGCCATCCTGCGAGCTCTGGAGGCTAGGTCTGCCACCGCAAGATCCAATATACGACTGCAAAGGTTCAATCGTCCGGTGAGTTGGACAACCCACCCCGTGGAATACTTCAGACGCTCGCTTTCCACCTACCTCCTCCCGCTCACCGCGCCCATCGCGTCCCCCACTCCGCCCACTTGTGTGTTCCGTTACAGTCGCCCGTACTTCCCTTCTTCTTTCTTCTCCAACTCGACCGTACATTTTCTAACCGGTCTTCTTTCTATTCCAGACCATCGCAGTCATGGCGCCAGCAGCGAAGCGGAACAACAGTTCGCTGCCTTCTGGTAAGTCCTTCTGCGTCCCTGCGCCAGTCGATTCTGAATGCGCTCAGTCATAGCCACGGCGCATCTCATACCACTATGCTAACGGCATCGCCAAACCCAGGCTACGTCGAGGACAAGTCCAAAGGACCGATGCTGAGATTCCAGGATTCCCTGCCTCGGCTGCCCGTGCCCTCCTTGGAGGAGACTGCTGCCCGTTACGTCAAGACCCTGCACCCTCTCCTTTCAGAGTCCGAATTCGCCGCCAGCAAAAAGGCAGTCGAGGAGTTTGTCAAGCCCGGTGGCATTGGCAGCAAGTTACAAGAAAAGCTACTTGCGCGCAGAGAGGATTCTGCTCACAGAAACTGGCTGTACGAGTGGTGGAACGATGCCGCGTACCTGAGCTACCGCGACCCTGTCGTCCCCTACGTCAGCTATTTCTATTCCCACCGCGACGACCGTCGGAGGAGGAATCCTGCCAAGAGAGCAGCAGCCATCACCTCTGCTGTACTTGAATTCAAGAAGGAGGTTGATGATGGCACTCTGGAGCCTGAGTACATGAAGAAGCTCCCGATCTGCATGGACAGCTACAAGTGGATGTTCAACACCAGCCGTGTCGCTGCAAAACCTGCCGACTATCCTGTCAAGTTCTCGCACAAAGAGCATAAGCACATCATCGCCATTCGTAAGAACCAATTTTTCAAGATTCTCCACGAGGTCGACGGCAAGCAGCTTAATGCCTCGGAGCTGGAACAACAGTTTAGCAAGGTTTACGAGCTGGCCCAACGAGTGCCTGCTGTTGGTGCCCTCACCAGCGAGAACCGGGACGTTTGGGCGGACGCACGCGAAATCCTGCTGAAAGCCAGCCCGAAGAACTCTGCCGCATTGGAGACCATTGAGGCTTCTTCCTTCGTTGTTTGTCTCGACGATGCTGCTCCTGTGACCCTTGAGGAGCGCGCGCATCAGTATTGGCACGGTGACGGCGCAAACCGTTGGTATGACAAGCCTTGTCAGTTCATCGTCAACGACAATGCCACCTCGGGCTTCATGGGAGAACACTCCATGATGGACGGAACCCCGACTCACCGCCTCAACGACTTCATCAACGACCTCATTTTCAACAACAAGATTGATCTCTCTGACCCTTCCATCCGCTCCAACTTGCCGGAACCTCAGGTTGTCAAGTTCGATGTGACGAAGGAGGTCCAGGCGGAGATCGACCGCGCGACTAAGGACTTCCATGATGTAATTGGCCAACACGAGCTGGCTGTCCAGGCGTATCAAGGCTATGGCAAGGGTCTTATCAAGAAATTCAAGTGCTCGCCCGACGCCTATGTTCAGATGATTATACAACTGGCTTACCACAAGATGTACGGCAAGAATCGGCCCACCTACGAGTCGGCTGCTACCCGCCGCTTCCAGCAAGGCCGGACGGAGACATGCCGGACTGTTTCGGATGCATCGGTTACATGGTGCAGTGCCATGGCGGATCCTAATATCGAGGATAAGGATAAGGTCGACCTGTTCCGCCAGGCTATCGATACCCACCTCGAGTACATCACAGCGGCCTCGGATGGCAAGGGTGTTGACAGGCATCTTTTCGGGCTCAAGAAGCTTCTCGAGCCCGGCCAAGAGATACCGGCCATTTACCAAGATCCTGCGTTCTCGTATTCTGCTTCTTGGTATCTCTCAACCTCGCAGCTGAGCTCCGAATTTTTCAACGGATATGGATGGAGCCAGGTTATTGATGCTGGCTTTGGTATCGCCTACATGATCAACGAAAACAGGTATGCCTCCATGAATACGTCACCAGTGTCGTTTATAATCTGACACATTTAGCATCAACTTCAACGTTGTGTCCAAGGGTCTCGGCAGTCAGCGGATGAGCTTCTTCCTAAATGAAGCCGCTGGCGACATGCGCGATCTGCTCATGCCGACAATAAAGCCCGCAAAGGCTAAGCTATAGAATCGGCGCAAGCGGAACCAGGTTGTTATCAGAATAGACGCGGTCAATACTTCTTGTACAAGCTCGTATTTGTGAGTGCGCCTGGTCGAGGCGGCCGGATGTGGTTTTTAGCATCTATACAGTATAAGCGTGTCAATTATAGACGGACCAGGTTTGTCAGCCAATTTGACGATCAATTTGACCTGTTTCAATACGTATCGCTCGAGCAATTGTGCGCTATCCTTCAAAACAAGTTGCCAACGTAAGTATTGTATTTGCTTCCGAAATTTTCTCGAGCTCGAATCCTTCTGTAGACAGGATGGGGATGGGGCACGAGTGAAAGCGCTCGGATAAGCACGCTGAGTCGAAAGAGAAATTGAAGGGGGCCAAAACCAGAAGTCGCAGGTTGGGTTCTTATAGGTACAAACGGATGTTGACTTGCGGTGTAAAAATGAGCAAACCGCCGCCATGCTGACGCCCACGATGCCGCTCAATTCTTTTGTGATTTGATATCGAAAGAATGTCGGACTAGCCAGAGTGAGATACAATCTCGTTGACCAAATCACCCTTACTCTCGTCAAAGTAAGAGCAAATCTGGGACGGCAAAGGCACCTCCTTGTAGTCCTCGTCTTCCCCTGAGATAACGTTAAGGTTGATGCCGGAGGACTTGCTCAAGTAAATTTTGGTTCCCGTGCTCTCCTTGCTGAAATAAATCTGGGCACCGTCGATCGAGTCCATCAAGACGGCCGGCACAGCACCGAGCACTTGCAACGCAAAGTTTTGGGACTTGATAACATCCACTGTGGATATCAGAGACTCCACGATAAGGGACAGACGCGTTGAATTCTCAATGGTGACCGCATTGGCCTTGCCCTTTACAATGATGGTGGTATTGTTGCACCTGCTGACGAGAATTGAGTGAGAGATGGAGGCTTCGATCTCGATCGGATGGGCTTCCTTTTCGAAATTCTCCTATCCAAATAAGTCAGCCGCTGTTGCACTTTCGGCGCGTAAAATTATTGTATCAGGCCTACAATAGTCCACTTGTTGCCCTCGAGCACCTTCTTGGGTGGCTTTTTAACGCGCATGCTCTCCGGCTTCGGCTTTCTCTGAGGGGCTGGGCTCTTGCCGCGCGCTGAACCATCATGATCAGGCACTGTAGAACTGGCACGAAGAGAGGGGTTCTTATGCGTCATCTCCGACCTGTCAACCTTGCGCAGACCTTTGGTCACAGCCTCGCCCTTGTTCAGCTCGGAGAAGACTGCACCCAGCCCACCTTTTCCGCCAGTTTCTTCCTTAATCTCAAGAACTGGAGGAGGGCCGGGTGGCGGTGGCGGCGGCGGCAAAGCGCCTGCGGGAGGCGGTGGGGGAGGAGCGGCGGCGGCGACGGCCGTAGCAGACGCCGTAAGAGACTTGGCAACCTCCTGGGCCGGCTGGCCCTTCGGATTCCACGGGATACCGTTGGGAAAGTGCTGCTTGACGTAATCGGCCAGATCGCGGAAAACCTGGTAGAAAGCGTTAACCCACTCCACCTGCTGGGCGTCCCTGTGAGCTGCCAGTCAGCATAGACAAACACACCGGGTAAAAGCCATCAACCCAAAAGACAGCTTACTTGTCCTTTTGCTCCTTCAATACCCTGTTACCAAAGAATTGTGCAGAACCCAAAGAATCGTCAACGTGCTTGTAAGGACGATTGTCGACGGTGACCCATGCGAGGACCATAGATCCTTCAGCTACAGCGCTGAGCTGCACGAAGACGGGAGAACCTCGGTTAGATTCTTTGATGTTGCTGACGGCAACGAGAGCCTCGTTGATGGGCTTGAGCAAGTCCTGGTACACGGCCATCTCGGCGCCGTTCAAATCGGGCTTCTTGGCCTTGGTGGTGATGAGCAAGAAGTGACGCTGAGCTTGGAAACCCTGCAAAACCTTGGCGGCCTATATTGCGAACACTGTATCAGCATCGCCTGTAATTTTCGCTTGATGTATCTTGTGCCGGACGGACCTGATCGGCAATGAGACCACCCAGCTGCTTGCTGATTTTGACATATTTTTCGACGGTTGTGGCTAACAACTGATCAAACTCTTCGATGGACTCGGGAACGGGTTCGGGGGGCGCTTGGGGAGCGGCGGCAGCTTGCGGCGGAGGCGGCGCAGGCAAAGAAGCATTGGAGGCCGACGGCGGCGTGGCAACGGATTGGTTCAGCGAGGGGACAGCTTGAGGGAGTTCGATGGTAGAAGAGGCGATATCTTCGAGTCTGGCAGTGGCAGCTTCGAGCCTATTTCCAAAGTTAGGAGCTTCTACAGCACTTTCCAGGTAACGTCGGGCAAAGGCAGGGGCGAGCGCTTAGCAGAAGTGATCGAATCTGCCGCATCATGGTTGATGGCAAAATTGATTTGCGCAGAACGTGGGTGATAGACGCGTACCGCTTGATGAGGGTCGTAAGGTTGTGCATATTGTTCGTTGCCATGTTAGTCCAAAGTGAAGCCGGAGCTTCTCGTAAGGCAAGTAGAAAGTGCAGGGGAAGTTAGGTCGGGAAAAGCACAAAGGTGGATGACGGGCAGGAGAGATGGTGTGACTTCAGGAGTCGGGAGATGGAGCTCTCAATTGGCGGGGTGTTCCAGTAACAACAATAGCGACAGGAATAGCGATGGCAGGACAAGTCTGCGGTGCTTGATGCTTCGCAATGCAACACGACTTGGGTTTGCAGGGCAGGGAGCTCGAGTCGGGTCGAAAGGTGGGAAGAGAGACCACAAAGTATTGTAAGGAGGTTTCAGGAGATGCGGGCCTGCTAGGATGGGGATAAATGCGTGCGCGCTGGGGCGAAGCAACGGCAATGGAATTGAGCGCACTGGAAGCTGGTGGTCGACGGAGAAAAGCGGCGCAGGGTGCAAATGGTGAACGAGGTGTTTTGGAAGGGTATTATCGCAAGCATCCAATATCATGCCCAAGACGGTGTTGTGTACAGAAGCAACACGTACCCTGGCTGGAGGCAGGTCAGGAAGTACCTAGAGCTCGAGTGGACCTTGCGTGCCTAGGCAGGTACATTAGGTATGCATGGGTAAGGTACCTTACATCATCTCACAGTATCCGAGGTGTACCTAAGGTAGCTGCCCATTTTCTAACTGGATACGTGAGAAGAATGCTGCCCTCTTTTAAAGCTAGCTACCTACCTACCTTGCTTAAGGCAGTCAGTCAGGGAGTGCTAGCCACAGGCACTCGTTCGAAAGCCAAGAGCACCAGAGCCAGAGTATCTCCGTCTCTTCTATCCCATTTCTAGACCCATGGCCAAAGCGTGAATTCGAGTGAAATCGTTCCTCAATTGCCAAGCCGTTCTTTACCTTGGTTGCCTGTGAAGTATCGCCCTGCCGAAAACGGAGTACATAGGTACACCTCAAAAACTTCACTACAGGCCTACCCCGTCTATAACGATGCCTGACATTCCGTCTAGATAATGGCACCACCAGTACCTCAATGATTAGGGCAGTTAATACATGCATCCATAGATGTAACAACCGGAATCAAACCATCTCGGAAGCTCGAAAGTGCCTTTATCGTGGTGTCAAGAACCTACCAGAGCTGAACATCAAGGCTTACCGATCTTGAACTGATTTTGTCTGATATTCCGACTCAGGCTCGGGCCCTATCTGCAGCTTGCGATTCACATGCAGTACTTATCTTGCCTCAACTGCGCTCCATACCTTACGTGCAGAAATCTCCATACGCTCACAGGCCACGTTGGTGTCAATTCCAATTCTTTCCACCCTCGAATCCGCCAGATCAGGTACTCTGGCGATAGCGCCTTTCTTCTGGTTATAACCGAGTCTGAAAGCTCCATCTCAACCACGAGGTAGCCCGGGAAAAAGACTCCCAACCACCCTTCGCCAACAACAACGGCCACCATGGCCGACGAAAACACACAGAATGGCCATGAGCGCCGTCTTACCGAGAAGGAGGTCGCTGCCTTATCTCCAATCGACTTCGTGACCCTGGGCATGTTTATCATAGGTAAGTCCCATTGCCCACAGCTTCTCCAAATCCAACAAAAATGGCCGAAACTAACACCTGAGCTGATAGATGAGATCCATTTCTTACCACCCACGCCGCCAGTTCAGGACATCCTCGGCGGCGCTGGATCTTACGGCGCCCTCGGAGCCCGCCTCTTCTCGCCGCCCCCTGACGCCTCGTCCGTCGGCTGGATCGTCGATCAAGGTTCCGACTTTCCACAGTCACTAACTAACATCATCAATACTTGGGAGACATCTGTAGTGTTTCGCGAGGACCCTGACCGTCTTACAACGCGCGGCTGGAACGGCTACGAGACAGCTGAGAGGCGCGCATTCAAATATACCACCCCCAAGAAACGCCTCACCGCCCAAGATTTGACCCCTCACCTGCTACTCTCCAAATCTTTCCACCTCATCTGTTCCCCGATGAGATGCAAGGATCTAGTAGGCGAAATTACATCAGCTCGCAAGCGCGTGTGCCCGTCTGACCTGTATACAAAACCTATCTTTATCTGGGAACCCGTGCCTGACCTCTGCACCCCTGATGAGCTACTGAACTGCACAAACACTCTGCCGCTGGTTGATGTTTGCAGCCCAAACCATTCAGAGTTGGCAGGCTTCATGGGTGATGACGGCCTGGATCCCGAGACTGGTGCCATCTCAAAATCAGCCGTTGAGAGATCATGTGAGCAGCTTCTGGCTAGCATGCCTCTTCAGTCCTTCACCCTTGTTGTACGCGCAGGCGACAAGGGCTGCTATGTCGCACGAAATGGCGGCCGTAAGCGTCAACCTGCTACACGTGACGGCGCGGGTACAAAGCGCCGCAAGAAGGACTATTCAAGGGGGGGTCTCCGGCCAGATACCGATATGGAGGCTTTGTTCGCCGGCCTGCTGCAAGACGACGAAGGAGTCGTTGTAAGAGAAGAAATCGAGGTTGACGCGGGCACGGAGACATGGATCCCAGCCGTCCACCAGGACCCCACCAAAGTAGTAGATCCAACCGGTGGAGGCAATACCTTCCTGGGCGGTCTTGCTGTCGCACTTGCGAGGGGTAAAAGTGTCGAAGAGGCCGCAATATGGGGTAGTGTGGCAGCCAGTTTTGCCATTGAACAAGTCGGCGTGCCAACCCTGGGCGAAGATGCCGACAGCAAGGAAACGTGGAACGGCGTTCGAGTACGAGATCGACTTGCCGACTTTCAATCTAGGTTGTGAGTAGCGCAGCGCAGCAGGGACATAGACCAGATTAGACAGCCAGTCTCTATACCAAGAAGTAGAAGCATTGCAGAAACAACCAAGGAGGTTTCTCGTCTTGTTCATTCACATCAAAATTCAAGTATGTATATGGTCTGTCTCCACGTGTCCAGACTTTGGTGTTTGTCTCCTGACTGCTCTAGTCCCAACGCCAGCCTTCGATTACAATCAACTTTACTTCCCCGATTCCATATCACATTAAATCTTGTACACGAGTTCGCCATCGGTATACCTGTGGTTCGATCAGCGTGGTTAGCGAATGAACGAGAATGAGCAGAGATGTTGGGAATGGCATACATGATCTGGTTGGCTTCGTCCATTTTCTTGAGGGCCTTCACACCCTCTTGCTTGCTGAAGGCACCGCCACTACCAGGCCGCAACTTGCTGTTGACGGCGTTTACAACTGCGTCTACATTGGCAGAGTCATCTTCGAACAATGCTGAGTTGAGGAGCTGGCCGAGAGTTGTTCTGAAGGTTGCCAGCCGCGAAGCACTGATGGGCTCGTCAGCGATGGCAAGACCGGCCGTCCCTGAAGCAAGCTCATCTTCATCTTCTTCCTCCTCTTCGGACTGTGACGGCAGCTGTGACACCGGTACAGATGATGCAAACGATGTTTGTGTGTGTGAGGTCGCGCTCGAGGCAGCAGCCCGACCAGAACGACGCGACCTTCTTGGGGTAGCATCGTAAATGTCTTCCAACGCTTCCCGAGCTGGCGGCTCCTCGTCGCTATCATGTTGATCACTGATTGTGCCATTAGCATTGGTGCCCGGTGTTTGCGTGCTACCATTCACCCGAAGACGAGCAACTCCCCTGGTCGACCGCGCTGAGCGTGCCGCCGGTGTACGAGTTGTTGTGCTTCTGTATTTACCATCCTCGTTGTCGTCATCATCGGAGCTCTCCTCGCTAGAGGAAGCGAATTCAGTTGTCTGAGTCTTCCGTCGCTTCTTTCTTGACTCGTCTTCGACGACTTCCTTGAACATTGCGAAGCGGAGGATGGCTTCCGCGGCGAGGGCATCACGTTCGGTAACGATTTGCGAAAGACGGGACTTAGCATGGGCAGTGGCCAGACGAATTAATGTCTCCAGGGTACGGACAGTCAATGGGCTAGTCCGTCGTTGGTTGCCTTCCATTTCGTCATTTCGCAACCCGACGTAGATGTCTGCGATGCGATCCGATGCTTCTTGGGTCAGTTTGGGCTGCACCCTCTTGGCGTACTGTATGTACTTCTTCATGAAAGGAATACTAAGCACCTCAGGCTTCTTGTTGGAGCCGCGTCCCGAGGTGTGAGTGACGCCAGCATGGAGCATGGCATCGTACTTTTCGAACACGTCCGTTAGGCGTTGCACATCAGAGTCGTTGCTCAGGGCGACTCCGAGGGACTGATTTCCGTTCTCACGCACCGGCGCACCTTCTTCGGTACCGGGCTGTCGGTAGCGGTGCATTCGCAAAACATGCTCCGAAACCTGCCTATCTCGCGTATCCTCAATGTCGTCAGTGACAACGAATAAGAGATCGAAACGCGACAAAAGGGAGTCAGGTAGCGCGATGTTCTTATGAGGATCCTTGTGAGTATCGTATTGGCCGAAAATAGGGTTGGCAGCTGCGACAACGCTACATCTGGCATTCAGGGATGTGTGAATACCAGCCTTGGCAATTGTGACAGTCTGCTGCTCCATGACCTCGTGGATAGCGACACGGTCAACGTCAGACATCTTGTCAAACTCATCGATGCACACTACCCCTCTGTCAGCCATAACCATGGCTCCCGCCTCAAGTCTCCTCTCTCCTGTTTCCTTGTCTGACGTAACGGCAGCAGTGAGACCGACGCCGGAAGAACCACGCCCAGTAGTGGCGATGGCAAGAGGCGCTGTATTCAAGACAAATCGAAGCAGTTGCGACTTGGCGGTTGAAGGATCTCCCACCATGAGAATATTGATGTCACCCCTCAAGTGGGTGCCGTTCTCGAGGTTCTTTTCAACACCGCCGAGGAGCATCAGCAGGATAGCCTTTTTGATGTGGTCATGTCCATAGATACTAGGCGCCAGGGACTGGGAGAGGAGTTGAAGAAGGTTCTTCTTCTTGGCGATCTTGTTGATATTGCGGATGTCGGTATCTGTGATCGTGTGTGTGGCGACCCCAGCTCCAGATTTCGAGGACAAGAGGACTATGTGGTTGGCGATGATGACGGTCTTGAACAGGGCGCTGTTATGGTTCGTATTTCTGTTTCCTAGCGTCCTGTAAACTCCCACGAGTTGGACGCGGTCGCCAGGCTTGACTAGATCAACCAAGTCGTCGTCAAGTATAACATCAACTCCTCTGGGCAGTTGACCAGCAGGAGCACGCTCTGGCATTTCTTGAATAGATACGGTCTGGTGATCTCTGTAAGTGCTGAAGCCGTACTCGGTAGTCAGGGAATTTCCCTCGTCATCCTCTTGGGGGTAGGCACTGGATGTTGTAACTCCATTTGTCATGGTCTGATCTTGGTATTCGCGGAAGTGGAAAACGTCCTTGTTTTCGTTGTAATGCACACTCTTCACAATCTTTGGTCGAATAAGCGAGCACCTGGTCACGATGCCTTCAAGCGAGACCATGCTGTTGAGATGCTGGGAGGAAAGGGTGCGAGGGTTGCAGGCATTCATACCAAAGCTGCCTGCCCATGCACAATAGTATGATTCGTCGTTGAGCTTCTCTGCATCGCCTGAGTCTGGCAACGTCTTAACGATCTGCTTCAGGGCATGGTTGAATGCCAGAGTGTAATCAAATGGCTGCTCGAGGACTCCTCCGGCGAGTTCGGGGTTGTGGGCGCGGAGTTGGTCAAGATTGACTACAAGCCTCCGTTTCTTTTTCTGCATCATCTGGATAATCGCCGACCTGTAACTGCGTCCTTGCGAATCGTTTTCTGATGAGACGCGGGTCAGTATATAGCAACGTTGGGATATCGTGCATTTACACGAGCAATCGAGGCAAGGGAGGGCGTACGAGGGTCGAGGAACTCTTGAGCCGCACGAACGCGATCCAAGGCGGCTGCATCCTGCAGCATGAACGAGTCCATCGTGAGTGAGGGCTCTGATAGCTTCGAAGTTCAGAGGTAGACAGGCCAACGATAACGTCGAGAATGAAGTAAGACGAGAGTGTGTTGGAAGAGCACGTCAGCGTCACTTTGTGGCGATACAAAGTCGCAGTGAAGAATTGCCGTGGTGTTGAGGGGAGGAGGGGCGAGGCGGTAACGCTGCGCAGCAACGAGAGGCGGGTGCAGACCTGGGCGAAAAAAGGAGCATGTATGTGGTGGGTCGCAGCGCGTCTTGTCATACAGTGCAGCGCGTCTTGACAGGAGATTTCGTAGAGGGGCGCGGGGAAAGCGCGTTAATTGAATTCTTATGTAAGGCACGTGCCTTATTGCGGGCAGGTAAGGTATCTCAGGTACTCAAGTGGACCCCTCGACTTAGGTAAGTACTGGGATGTGGTGATGTGGCTGAAGCGAGCCTTTCTGGGTTAATCAGGAAACAAAAGCTCAGGTTGCTCTTCATGATGACTGATCCTTCTATGTCTGTTTATCCACGTCAGCTTGCCTTCTGGGCGTGCTACATCAACCCAAGCTCTAGCTGTGACAATGAAGAACGAAGCACATCGCCGAACGGAAAATGGCATGCCTGCAGTATCCGGCATGTTGAGCTGCCAAATGCTGGCCTTCCATTGCAGCCGTCTTGGGCCAGCCACCCTCCACACCTCTCCTTGGCATCAATACCGGTGCCGTTGGATCGGTCCAGACTGTTTCGCCAGATAGCTCCTGGCTAGTGTATGAAGTGATGTACGCTACCTCATAAAACCCAGCCGTTTGGAATACCCTGGCCAACACTCGCCCTCCTCCTACTTTACCGTTGTATCGCAGATGCGAAGCGGGGAGCTTCTTTGTCCAAGTAGTGTACATATCATGATCATAACCAAGTGCTTAGGCAAGTGCTGGTTTCCGAGCCTTCGGATAAGCATCCTCTTCACGCCAAAAAAAAAAAAAAAAAAAAAAAAAAAAAAAGGTTGCTTGTCAGGCGCCGCTGCCGGTCGCTCAAAGCGGGAGGCTGTGGTAAGCCCCCATACTTATGAAATGCGAGGTGTCATTCATGGACTGCGCCGTATGTAGGTTTCTCTACAACGATCTGGGTAATAATGTTTCGGTCAACCGCTTCTTACCCCGGGCCACTAAGGTACCCTCGGCCTTGTCTGTGCGGCTCGTTGTCTATGTCAACATCCAACAACACCGCCGCCGCCTACAGCGATTAGGAAAGAGTGCAGCCGTTCAACAAGCTTCCCGATTATGTCCTTTGAGCCACATCCTTCCCGCTCGCGAGGTCAGACCGCACCGCAGCGCAACGGGGACGACCACGGAGGCCCAAATTCCGGCCCGACAAAAGTCGGCATCCCGAATACCCATCATCCCGACCCGGTGTGGAAAACCCTCGGCCATTATCCACCACCACCCCACTTCACTTCAATCGGGGCCATGGTCTGGATTACGAGTTGCGGGCCGATGCAAATTCCCAATTATTGGTGACACAACAGCCAGCGGCACGGGCTCGCCAACTACATGGCAGCATCCGGTGTTCCTCTTCCGCGTTCCGTCTTCCATACGAGCGGCAACAGAATACAACAAATAACTGGGTAACGGCAAAGAAGGGGGCTCGTCCAGATTGAATGGAGCACAGTTGAAGACGGCTTCTGTAAGGCGATGGGACATCACGTACCGCGGTCAAGGTCATCTTTCGATGGCCATGTGTTGTCGGCTTGCCGAACCGCGGGGCGGTACATCATATGTGCACGCAGGAGTTCATCCTGGCAGGGGACTTGAACTGGGGCATTGCCAGGTATCACGGGTCGCTAGTCAAGGGTAGGGAGGCCTACGGTGTGCTGCGTATACGCTACCATGTGCGAGCCATCGAAAGTTATGGAGGACTTCTTCCCGCTTACATGCCCTGAACTCTACTCCCCGCGGCCACGCCCCTCCCCCCACTATGGCGGATGCCCCTCCGTCTTGTCCAGAGTCCTGCGTCCCGCCGGCATGGTCCCAATCACGACAAGTGGTTCACCACACTGGCATTGCGCTAACTGAGATGCGCTGCATAGTGTGTGCATGCTGGAAACCCGAGCAGTATGTGCGAGGTGTCAGGTGAAAGCCGACGGGGTTCTCCTAATTGTCGCGATGTGCTGGGGTGTTCGGATAGTGTCGATTGCTCGCGGATCCAGCCTACCGGCACTTCGCATGGCAGGACCGCCGACCCCGGCAAGATACCGGGCCTGGGCCGAAGTTTCTTCATAAAAGGGTGCCCGTCAGCCATGTCGGAGAGGGTGGCATCTATCCCTTCCCATGGCACCACAGACGACTCCCTCTACCGCCACCAAACCCCGTCGGTGTTGCAGATTGCCTTTCCAAGCTGGTGTCATCGTCTCTTACATTACGATCGAGACATAGTTTCTCGTCTAGGCCCGTCACTTTGCGACCCCACCACATCAACCTACGAGATGGTTCTGAAGGCTCTGAACTCTGTTGAGTTCGCGGACGCGAGCAAGTCCGCCGTCCTACATCGTGATCTCAAGAGCCAATTCCTCCGTACTGTAGGTGGCGAGGGAAACTGCTATGTCGTTGACGGCGGTCGGAAGCTTTTCGATGCGTCCGGGGGCGCCGCCGTGGCATGCCTCGGCCACAGTGACAAGCGAGTAGCTGAGGCTATCATCCGGCAGCTCAGCAACATTGCCTACAGTCCCTCTACTTTCTTCACGACGCCGGTATGTGAGCAATTGGCCCAGTTTCTCATCAACACCACACATGGTCACATGTCAAGGGCCTATCTTGTGAGCAGCGGTATGTTTGCAATCTTTGAACGCATAGTCCTGGAGGCTCACATGCTTGGCAGGATCCGAAGCAATGGAGGCGGCCATGAAACTCTCCAGGCAGTATTTCCTGGAGAAGAAGCCAGCAGAGCCACAAAGACATCTTTACATTGCCCGCCAGAGATCGTATCATGGCACGACACTAGGCGCATTATCCATGGGTGGCCATGTCGCACGCCGAGCTAACTTCAAGCCCATGCTCCTCGACAATGTTGTGTCGCATATTTCCCCATGCTTTGCGTACAGGGATAAGTTGGCCGACGAATCGGACGAGTCCTATGTTGCAAAGCTCGCCAAGGAGCTCGAGGACGAGTTTATTCGGGTTGGCCCTGGTAATGTATGCGCATTCGTAGCAGAGCCAGTTGTTGGAGCTGTAAGTTGATTCCACTGTACCCATCCCATGATAATCTGTAGTCACACGGGCTGATCTCTGGGTACGTTGAGGCACTGGGATGTGTTCCGGCTGTTCCAGGCTATTTTCAAGCAATGAAATCTGTGTGTGACCGATACGGTGCGTTGCTCATCATGGATGAAGTCATGAGCGGCATGGGCCGCAGTGGAACTCTCCACGCATGGGAGGCCGAGGGTGTTGTGCCAGATATCCAGACCATCGGCAAGGGTTTGGCTGGGGGCTATCAGCCGATAGCCGGCGTCCTCGTAAACAAGAGGGTGGTTGAGGTGCTAGAAAAGGGGACAAGGTGGGTTTCGGTTCCCCGGACATGCCTCTGACGTCAAATTTGTTGGAAAGTGCTAATAAACGGCTGGCGACGATAGTGCCTTTGTCCACGGACACACATATCAAGGACACCCTGTCGCGTGTGCGGCAGCCCTGGAAGTTCAACAGATCATCCAGTCAGACGGCCTGGTTGCCAATGTGCAAAACATGGGTCAACTCTTATCTGGTCTTTTGAAAGAGAGTCTTATGGACCATCCATACGTCGGAGACATCCGTGGCAAGGGCCTCTTCTGGGGAATCGAGTTTGTCCGCGACAAACAGACCAAGGTGCCATGGCCTAGTGCAGCGCGAATAGCAGCGAGTATCAACGAGCTGGGGTTGACGGAACCATACGGCATTGTTGTTTACCCGGGCTCAGGAACAGCAGACGGTGTTCTCGGGGATCACATCATTGTAGCGCCTCCATATACGGTGACAAGGGACGAGATTGCATTTGTCGCCGAAACGGTGACGCGGCTCGTCAACGATTTTTTCTCGAAGCTGGCAATTCAGGGGATCTGAAAAGTGGAGGATCGTGTGCTAAGACGACGGATGTCAAACAATGACAAGTAAACTCAATGACTGGAATATGCTGTCATGGGTCGTCCGAACCAGCTAATTGAGTGTTTTACCGTAAGGGGTCAGTCTATACATTTGAACCCAACAAAATTCTGTCGTCTCGTCCCATCCCATCCCATTCCATCCCGTCCTAGGATGTAGGGACAATGGATGAGTATTATGCTGGTTGCAGCCAATCCTGGCCCGACTTCTGCTTGCTTTCTCGTACGTGTCATATCCTTCACAATTAGGGCCTTCACTGTGCACGTCCATTGCAAGGACAAGGCAGAGGCATATCACGTAGAAGAGTACGATATGGAAGCTAAGGTAGTCGAGGTATTGAGACAGCATAAGATGAAAGTGCTCAGGTTCAGACACCGTGGTCCTGTGGCTGTCTTGCAATGTGGCGGGAGATCATCTAGGAGACTAGGAAGCTCACACGTAGTGAGCTGGTTGTAGGTGCATGCATGCATCGGCTTTCATAACAAAACACCCCTGTCCCGGTCCGCATTCCTGGACCTCAGAGACGTCCAGTGCCTGTGCCTCCCTTATTCGTCTGTACTGGAGGCACCTTACGGATAGGTAGGTTAGGTAAGGTAGGTACTTTTACCTGTCGTCTTTAGCATAACATGCGCCGCAATTAGCACTTGAACCCTGACCTAGCAGCCGGAGGTACCCACCCACAGGTACAATAGGCTCTTGTATCCCACGTCAGTCCCCTCGTCGGATCCAAGCAGCTTGATCCGGCCCTCCGTTCATCCTGACCTCCCTCTCGACATCTCTTCGCACCCTGCGACCGCCGCGAAAACATCGAACATATACTGCCCTATCTGACTCGACCAACAACGCCACATTCGTTCGCCTTTCCCATGTCAGCTCCGGGCTGAACACAGGCCGCAACCGATACCCTGATCCCTCCACATCTGCCTGCCAACGTCGCTGTGCAGCTAGTCCCTTCGGAACGTTGGCACTTATCATGTCTGTCGGGCCTGCGACAAATCGCCATGCAGCCGACGAGGAGGCTCGAGCCGAAGTCGATGTGCTAAACTCGCGTCTAGAGAAGACAGCCCAATTGACAAAAAAGATTCAGGCATGCATGGGGAGGCTGGAATCTACGGGCAAGAGTGTGCGCGAGGTCGCTGGTCCCCTGAGCGGGGAGACGAAGAAGCTACAGATCCTAGGAAATAGTGCGTTTATTGCCATACCCGCAGGAGATCACTTGCGGTCATTCCCCTTTCCGCCTCTCCATTCCGAGCTGGAAAACAGCGACGAAGCATGCAATAGCGGCAGCTGACCAGTGACCTTCTCAACAGACATCGATGGCGTCCTCTCCGCAATCGAGCGCTTGCGTCAGCCGGCCGACAGCAAAAACGATGAGGAACAGATCATTCGTGCTGGCCCAGACAGGATCGGCTTGTCGAACTACCTGGCCTCCATCAAGCGTCTCAGCAAATCGCTAGCCGACATGCAGGCCTCCAATCTCCGCGCCAACCAGCAGACCATGTCGGAACTTACACGCCTGATTAAGTCTGGCAACTCCCAACTTGAGAGTCACTTCGATAAGTTGCTTCGGGGAGAAACACCTCGCTCAGTAGAACCGCTCCACTATATCACAAAGGATGTGCCGTTTCCTGTTCTGTCACAGGACAAGGTTACGCGTCTTGGCTTGGTCAACGCCTATATCTCCAATAATCACCGCCAGAACGGGGGTGCTGCCGCTCCTCAAGATTCTTCTACCGCCAAGATATACGCCGAAATCCGCGGGCCCTATCTGTCTTCTACACTGGCAAATCTGGCCGCCGCGAGCGTAAACACGACTAAGAAAAAGAATCCCGACGCCATCTATCGCGCAGGCGCCAACGGAATTGGCACATACGCTCAGGCAATGGAGGGTCTGTTTTTGGCCGAATACGACAGCATCTGCAGCATATTCACCCGCGAAGACTGGGGCCCCCTATTCCAGGCCACATGCCAGGCCGCCATGGCTGAGTTGGCCCGCACGCTACGAGAATTGAACAATCACATCAAGTCTCACCTCCACACCGACTGCTACCTTGCCTACGAGATAACCGAAATCATGTCAGGCTTGTCAAGTAACCTCGAAACGCGTACTGGCGAGCTCAAATCCTCCCTCGCAGCAGCCCTTCGGCCCGTTCGTGAGACCGCCAAATTATCGCTGGGGGAGTTGCTAGAGGATACCAGGCGAAGAGTTACCGCCATGCAGACACTTCCTCAAGACGGCGCTCCGATATCAATCGTGTCCGAGACAATGCAGCGTCTACAGACCATGGTCGAGTTTTTGCGCCCTGTCTCCAGCATAATGTTCTCCTTGGGCGATGGTGGCTGGAAGTCCAGCGCTGCTACTGATGGACGGTCTACCGATGTGATACCGAGCCTGGCTTCGTTCGATATCGGCGCTGATGGCAAAGAAATCTTTGCACACTATTGCGCAGATACAGTTGACATGCTGATGTCATCACTTGACCAGAAAGCGAAGATGGTCCTCAAGGGACGAGGCATCATCGGGGTGTTTCTCGCCAATAGCGTGGTCATCATTGAGCGGATGATTCGTGACTCGGATCTGGCCCCCTTGTTGGAGCAGCGGATGGGCATGTTGGACCAGTGGCGCAAGAAGGCGACTTCCATGTACACGATGGACTGCAAGGAAGTTTCTACCCACTTGTTTGATGTTATTCACACGAGCAAGCAGCGACCAACGTCCGGGCAAGCTGATTCAGCCTCTATCCTCAAGGGCCTGAGCAGCAGGGACAAGGACAACATCAAGGGTAAGTTCCAGGCGTTTAACGCATCATTTGACGAGATGGTCACCCGTCACAAGTCATATAACATGGAAAGAGAAGTACGCCAAATGTTTGCCAGGGACATTCAGCAAATGCTTGAGCCTTTGTACAACAGATTCTGGGACCGATACCATGAGGTCGACAAGGGCAAGGGCAAGCATGTGAAATACGACAAGGCTGGCATCGCCGCTGTATTCATGACCCTCTACTGAGAAGGGGCGTTCTTCGGTAGGGCCTACCTACCCAGTTGTTCGAGGTTTCTGCGCAGTTTGGGGTGTCTGTTTACTTGGGCTTTCTTTGGTGGGAGGGCTTGGCGTTATGGATGCGGATACCAACTCATAGTTTGGCGGGCCAGATCTATCATACACGTCCTGACATACGCTCGTCTAGAGTACGGACATGAGCTCTATCAACGTTTCTGATATTAACAATAATCAAGTGTCTGTTGGGGATAGCATTCTCAAGCAGACCCAGCAATTGACTTTGAATTCATCTGGTTTCGTGTGTGTGTGTGTGTGCGTATGTGTGTGTTTTCCACTTACTTGAGGTCACAAATTGGCAACTGGCAAATGCAAAGGTTTACTTGCAGGGTGATCTCATGGATTTCGTCGACCGCAAGGATCGGCGCCTAGCTATCTATAAGGTGTCTTTTTAAATAGCAGATCCACGCGCTTGGATCTGTCCCAAACAACGACTCCGTCGCTCCGTCGCTTGAACCAAAGAATTCTATGCTGCGGAATGAATTCTTCATGCGTCTGCTCGCTTTTCCACTCCACCAAAGCCTTCTCCTGTGCCCCTAGAAATCTATCTTCATAACCGACGACGAAGTCGTTTCCGTCTATGTCAGCGTCCCATCTCAGTCTGTTGAGAACATCCAGAGCCGTTCTGAACTTGCCCGCACCCTCGGGTTTGGGCACGACCGTTGAGCGTGGCTGGTTTGTGGCCGCCTTCGCCCTCTCCTTCTTGCCCAGCTTTCCTGGCGGTAGGCCCGAAACTGAAAGATCCTCCTCGTCTTCCTCGTCTTCCTCCTCGTCCGATTCTGAATCGTCATCGCCGTCGACGTAGTCGCCCCACTCTTGATTGTCCAGCCTGAGATCTCCCAACTCGGTGCGTTTGACAAGAGTCGCACTGAACCAGGAAGTCGTCGCATCGTAGTATTTTTTATCGCCGTGAATATGTTCTTCGAATTGATGCAGCACGGCTTGCAGGTTGCTGTGCGTCGTGGTCAGCGTTTCCTTTTCTGGCCTCTCGTCATCGCACATCCATTTTAGGCCGACAAGATACGAGCCTTGATATTCGCTTTGTTGGCATTGTGAGTTGGGTGTCGCCGCGTCGACGAATCTCGCGGGCCAGATTCTCGGAGCAAGCTCCGGGACCTTCCTGTTGATGTCTAAATCATGGTCAGAAAACGGCTGCTAGGGATCTGTACAATCATGAGTTGGCTCACCGACGAGGAGTGATGCGCAACGGGACTCGAGCCAACCAACAAGCCGACTCCCACGTTCCAGCGACCCTCCCCAGTAGTGAATGCGGAGGTTCACGAACGTTTTGAACGAGGAAAGGAAGCTTGCGGCGCCTTGTGATAAGTCCTTTTCCGCGATCATGCCAGGTGCCGAAAGAATAGACTGCCAGGTTGCGCCCTCCGTGAATTTGGCGTTGGCTTGGCGTAGCTCCGTCGAGATGATCTTGACCGTGGGAACAGAAGCAATGAGTGCGGTGTTAAGTGTCGGCGAATGCCATCCAAGAAGGCACATGGCTTCTCTGGGCGTCCGGTGATACCGTAGCTGCTTGTGGAAGAATGGATCAAAGACAATGTCGTTCTTCCAGTCGAAGTGCGCATAGTGGTCGAAGAAGGTAGCGATGACGTCGGCAGTCGAAACTGTACCCATGCCATGTAGGAGCATTTTGCACACCCTAACCAACATAACAGACAAGTGAACGCCGCCAAGGTATCCGAACTTGGCTGCGTAGATCCCGTTCGCCTTGGCCCAAGTCTTGATCACTTGATAACAGACGCGAAACTGAGCAAGATCCGGGACAGACCTAGCAATGTAGTACATGTCCCTAGCAGGCTTCAATTTCAAGAGCGTCTGGGTTGGCAAGCTGAAAGCTGCATCAGATGGGGGACGCTTCAGCAAGTTTGGCCACTGGTTGGCAACGCTCGCTGCCTGACAATACTGGAGATCGCATCTCAGCCCAAGGACCTCGATCTCGAGCATAGTGCCGGTTTTTGCCTTCACCTTCCGTAGTATTCGGACACCTTCTCCGACCGACTTTCTCAGACGATGCCTGGCAAGAGTGAAGAAGACGCGAGGACTGATTGATCCGATGCAGAGGCAGTCAATATCTGAAGATTTCGACCATACGCCAAGACCATACGATCCGACAGGAACTAGTACAAGGGCCGGTTGACCACGCGACTGCTCCATATTCGTCTGTTCGTTCTCCCAAAGAATCGTTCGTAGCAGCCCCAGGGCCTGCTTCCGGGTACGCTCATCTTTTTCTGCCGGGACAACATCGAGAAGCTCCAAAGTCTGCTTTAGAGCGGTGACATCAGACATAGATCCAGGTGCCCGTTTAGCCTCGACAGGGACGACTCGAGCACTGGTGCTGGAGCCATCTTTTAGTGAAGAACGCCGTAAAAGACAGCGAATACCCCAATGATCGCTTGCGTAAAGGGGCCCACCTGGACTCTCGCCATCGCCAGTGAGGAAGCCAAACATGTTGAACCGAGAGATGTGAAAGGGACCGCCATTTTTCACTAGAATGCGGTCATATCTCTGTGGTCGGTTGTTCAGGCCGCTTCCGACCATTTTCACGGCCTGAGGGTTCGCTCTGGGGTCAAATGTGGCACCCTGTTCGCCTTCAAAACTGTCGTGGATATCGCCCTTGATATTGTCGCTGACGCCGGCCTCGACACGAGAGATAAACCACGTGTCCAGGAAGTTGGTCTCTGCCAGAGTTGCCTCGATTCCACGAAGAAGATCCTCTGTCTGTACCGTAATGGAGCCGCGTTTCACTGCCGCGTCGATAGTGTAAGAAGAAGTGGCTATGTTGAAGTCTCCGGCCAGGATCCATTGGTTTGCTGCGTGATTACTCTTCAGATGGTTGAGGATCCGTTGCAATTCCCTGTCAACCACAGTCAGCTCCGCATTTCTGGACTCAGCGAAATAATCCATTACTTTTCTTTAGCAACGACCGCGCCATCTGTAAGGCCCTGACTTAGATGGCAGGTTGCCAAGACAAGGGGAAGGACTGGTTCCTGAGTATCATTGTGTAGGAGTTCTTCGAACTGAAGAATGGCTGATCCTTTATGCTGTCTCTTCGAGGGCAGGTATTCCCACGAGAATGGTTCCCTGCTGAGCACAACAGTGTTGAGAATGTTGGGCAGGGGGCCAGCCTCAGCGTCGTTTGGCGAACCCTCAGAGACGTAGAAATACGTTTTGTAGATGCGTTCATCTGCGAGCAGGAAGGCTAGAAAGTCGTCTGTCACCTCTTGGAGAACTACGATGTCCGCAATCGCATTTTCTGCGAGTAGATTTTCCACGATCAAGGAGTATCTGGTCCGGGATGGGGGATAATGAAACTCTGCTAGTACGTTCCAGCTAGCGACAACAAGATTCCCGTGTTGCTTGTTGTCGAAGACCTCTGGTTCAGATGGTTGGACCAGGCGTTTCCACGCCATGTCTGAACGGGAGAAATACCACGTTGGCCGCGGAATGGTTGGCGAAGGTGTATCCGAGCTGGAATTGGGAGCATGTCTGCAAATGTTAAAGGACTGGGAAACTAGGTCAATGACACCCCATTGCCTCATATGTCCAGAAGGACTGCGAACCAAGACTGAGAGCTGGTCAGCCTCCCAGGTTACGGCTGGTAGCCGACGAAGCTTGTCAAGCAAGAACTCGAACTTAGACGAAGGAGCTGCGTCTTCGCACTGAGCCATCGTAAGGTGCATATTGTAGGGCTCTGACCGGCTCTGGCCGATGGCCGCGAGTATGGCGCCTCGCAGCGATGTTAGCCGGGAGATATTCCCCTCATTCTCGTCACGCAAGAAGAGGGTGCTGCCATTTTTGTGGGAGAAAAAGCCCGGTGAATCAAGACGGATGGGCAGGGGAGCGAGCTCGCCTGAGGCGGCACGGTCCTTCAGGCACGATACAACGGCATCACAAGCCTGATGCAGCACGCTACTCTCCGTGGATCTGACGAACGGATAGATGAGATTGACATGAGGGGGCCATTTCGTGTAGGCCTTGTCGTTGTCAAAGCGAAGACGATTGATTGCCGTCCAATGCTCCTCTGGGGGGATGATACAGAGAGCTGTGGCGTGGCTTGCTGCTTGGGACTCCATAATACTCGGAGAGCTCTGCTGAACAGAGACCAGTGTATGACCGAGGGATATGGTGATGATTGTGCCTTGAGGTGCCTGAATGTTCCGGACTGGGAATGCGATGCGGACAGGGTGTAAGAGAGACAATGAAAGAAGGGAAGAGGTCTATTGAGCGCGAAATTGATACTGGGTTGTGTATAAAGATGAAGTGATTAGGGGGTTGTGATCTTTAAGAGCCAACTCGCAAAGATGTTGATGTGTTGCTACAGAGAGTACCCTTGTAGATCCAGGGTCCATTCAGCCATGTTTAGTTTCAAACGGCCTACCCATGTATGTGTCCAACCAGAGCTATTGTTGCATTGCAGAAGTTCTAGAAGGAAAACTTACTGCAGCGGTGGACTGCGGGGAAGCCCACGCGCGGATGATGATGTACAATCGTGACATGGCCAGGCCGTATGCGTCAGAGCAAGGCCCGCATAGTCTCGCTGCCATCCTCTTAACCACCTAAACAAGCCGGCTTGCGTTTGTGACTCATGCAATTGGGGGGGCTTGTCCAAAAAAGATTGTGCTATGGAAGCGAGTCCGCCGGTGACTCAGTTGGAGTTGTAAAATGCGACAAGCACTGCCTCGAAATCCGCAGTGCGTTCCCGGTCCAGTGGTTGGGTCTTCGAGTCTCTTTGGACCCGTGCGCCCAGTTGAGACCAGCTGGCAACGTCACAGACACGTGCTTGAAATAGGTCCGGTGCCTTAGGTTGGCCGATCATTCCTGCACAGTATTCCTTACTACCTTACCTAGGTACCTAGGCACCTAGGTTTGTTTAATATGGGCTCTTCGATGACCTCTCTATCTATCCCTCCAGCTCGGCCTCATCTGGCATGTCTATCGCTTCAACTCCTCCCCAGTCAATTGAATCTTGACCCTTGCCCTCCATCAAAGCCTCCAGCTTATCCTCATTAGTCACGTATGCGCCGTTCTGTCTCTTTTGCGAGACTGCGTATCTGATCGGGTCCCGCCACTCCTACGAAGAGCAAACACGTTAGCGAGCCTAGATACCTAGGTGGGCAAGTACTGTACACAGCGGCAAGTAGCAGGTTTGCGGAAAGGCTTACCCGCCACCAGACTTCTTCACTTTGTACAGCGCATCTCCTGCCTTCATCACCGCTTTTCGCCGTCGCAAATGGCCAAACTGACTGCACTACTTCATACTTGTGCTTTCCCGAGAAAAGCTTCTTCATGCTCGTCATGAACTTGTTTGCCTTCGGCTGGTTTTGCACCACCACCTTGGCGTGCGTTACGGGAAACGACACATGGAGCACTCCTTTGTACTGCGTCGCGGCCAACAGGGCTCGCAATTGACCTTCGATCCACATCGTGTCCAAGTTTGCAACTACTCGATCAAGTGCTATGTTGCACTCTGTTAGTTACCCAGCTCGACAAAGTAGATACGGTTTGGATAGGGTCCTCACCGAAACTTTTGACCTGCGCTGGATCTTCAACAAAGCGGCGGCACCACTCCTCAAGCTCTCTTTCGCCAACTTCGGGAATGACGTCTGGCTTTACTCCGCCCCTGTACGCCATCTCGCCCTCACTGACACAGCGAATGTACTGCATGCGCTTGCTCGTGTCATCCGGCACCAGCAATCCCATCAGATTGAGCTTGATGTCGAAGTCGACCTTGCGTCCTCGCGTCCCTTTCATGTGTATGAGAGGCTTGGGCGGGATGCTTGCCTGGGTCCTGATGAGGGATAGAAGGGCATTGGCGCTCGCTGACAGATGGTCTGACCTGGAAGAGAGAACGATACAGTCTGTCGACAGGCTGAAGTTCGGCGGTGAGTAGAGCTTGTAGTCTAGTCTTGGTAAGCCTGGGTAGTACATGGGTCCTGGACTTTCTCGAGCTCGGATCGAAACATTCGTTTCTGAGAAGTTGGATGGGCCAGAATAGGGCGGTGGGGTCAACGAGCTGGCACTGTCTGGTGTCACGTCGTCGTAGCTGCGGCTGCGGGCTGCTAGCAAGCTTTTCTCTTGCACTAGAGATGTAGATGATGGTGTAGATTCTGGCGTAGGTTGTATCGGTGCTGGCGCCGATTGCGTTGAAGCCCTTGGGGCCGACGAAGCCGTAAATGTCGGAGGAGGAGGTGGAGGCGGCGTCGGCGTCGACGGTGTCACCGTTGAGGGCGGCAACGGTAAGGGGGGCAGCATAGACTCGTCAACGGTCGTCATTCTGGCAGGCGCGTCTCCGAGTACTTGATAATGCGGTGGGTGAAATGCAACATGCAACCTGGTTAGTTTGAATTCAAGCCGAACCTCGAGAATCTCGGCAGGCGGGGGGGCGGCGGCGGCACGGCGAGGCCAGAATTGAGAAGAGCTCAGCTTTACTCGCACTGGAGGCAAGATAAGTCAGGGTGCTTTATTAAGTATCTTTGCGCGGCTGTCTAGGCCAGGGGAACGGCTTATCAAAAGCCAGTGTTTCCGAGACCAGTGTCCATGGCTCCGACGGTATGGATTCAGCTTACGTCCATGGCTTACACTGGGTGCCTTGAAGGCAGAAATCTCCATGCCTCTAGGCACCATCAATTTCAGCCCCGCGGCGCAGCGTTCCCTTGCTCGCTCCCCATCTGCATCTGGCCACTTACGGCAACTGGCGTCGGCCGCTCGAGGATCGCCATCCTGGACGCGTTTGCTGAGCCAAACCAATCCTGAGGCAACGAACTGCCCATGTCGTTAGTGTAGCAGTCTTGGGGCGCATATATTGTGCTTCATGTTCATGAACCGTGATAGCCGCGACCCACGACGCATCAGGAAAGGTCGAAACGCGATGCGTCTCCCGTATCGAGGAAACATCATCTACCACTGCCATTAACATTGCGTGGTTGGACTGCATGGTCTTTTGCCATTCGTCTACTTGCACTACCTATCCGTATGGTTAATTTAATGAGAGGAACGGAGCGCAATCCTGCGCTACACAATGCTTCCATCTCTCATGACCCAACGCCAAAATAATGTCCCAAAAACCATGATGTGCTATTGCAAAGCCCTCTCAAGCCTGTTGCCGCGATGCCATGCTTGAACCCTCAACGCCCACTCCGTCGAATCGCTAATACATCCATCATACAGTCGTTCGAGAATTGTCTTATGCTGCCCAGCCAGAGCAACTGGTGAATTGCAAATCAAACAAGCTGAAAGCCTTCATCCTCCGCGGCGGACATATGCTCCTGACGGAGGTTCTGACGCGCTTTGCGACCCTTCAGAACTTGACCGTTCTCACTGAGAATCTCATACTCCTTCTCGACCATTCGTTCCGTCTCACGGCCTGAGGTCTTGATGAAGACATCAAGCGTCAGGGGGCGGTTGGGGCTCTCCGCCTTATCGAAACTGTACTTCCAGTCTTCTGAAGCAGCAAGGTTCTTCCAGCCGCCCTGAGAAGGGGCAAGGTCCATGAGAGATTGGCTGAGGGGATCCTTGATTTGCTCCTTGGCCTGCAGCGCCGAGTTGAGACGGCCCTGGTGAGGCGCCCAGTGCGATCGCCCCTTCATCACATTGTTCTGCATCTTCTTGAAGTGGGAACTATCTGTGGTGTCAGCGACATCTCGATTCGGGATCTAGCAAAAGAACGTACATCTCGCTGTTCTTGCCTCTGGGACGAGTTTTGGCGCGCTGTTGCTCAGTGCCTCCAATAGCTTCGAGGGTGGCCCAGTCTAATCGGCAGCCTGCGAGCGGACGAGCTCCGTTGGACCACTTGGACTGGGAATCCTTGGTCCTCTTGTAGTCCTGGTGTGCGCTCCGGAGATCTCGCTCGTACTGAGCCTGGACATCGGTCATGGCAGCCATGATGCTTGTATGTGTTCGAATTTGTACCGGAAGGCTCTCTGACGTGGCGTCGCCGGTCGCGTTTCTATCACAAAGGGGCGGGCAGGTTCGAAGAGTTGAACCTAAGTCGACAAAGCTTATATTCTCTGTCGATAGCGATAATAGTCTGGGCGATTTGCTCGACACGTAGAATCGAGACACGGGTAGGTGTGGATAGTTGCTGGGAGAGAGATGACGGGAGATATAAGAGAGGTAGCCGAAGGAATCTCTGAGGTTATGCCCGTTTCGGTGCTCGGACTGACTTTGGAAGCAAGGCGGAGGCTAAGGCAATGAAGGCGTTGTGCTGGTGGTGCTGGGTAGCAGGTGAGGTAACCGAGGCTTGTGAGGTAATCACTGTGTTGGTATTGGGGCAGTAGATGCCGGTGAGTCACCGGGCTGAAGGTTGCCGGAGATTGCAGAACGCGAGGCCAAAAACGAAAGAGGCGCGGATGCGGGGGAGGTTACGAAAAAGGGAAACCGAGATCAAAATAGAGCGAGATGAAAAGAAGGACGAGTATATGAGTTTGCACAGAACTTGTTGGCGCAAGCAGTTTGATGAAGAGGTGGGTGTTAGGCGAGTGATGCGGTTAGAATCAAAGACATATACAAGAGTACAGGGTTGGGGCAGTATGAATGTTGATGAGGTAGTTGAGGAACAAAGGCAAGACGAGTCAGAAGACGAAGGCCGGGGTTGCGGGATTCCTTGGGTATATACCTTGAGACCAGATGGCTCAGGTATCCTTACGTTATCAAGGCAAGTTCTGGTCACAAGGGAAAGTGGCACGGGAGGCTAACAAACCGGGCTGAGGCCTGGGACGGGACGAGACGAAGGAAGTCGAGGACGGAAGTCGAGGACGAGGAACGAAGGAGAAGGAAGATGGTAGTGACGAACCGCGACGAGAGCGAGCTGCTTATCTCTCGGGTTGTCTCGGGGTGCTTGCTTAGGCATCTCACCGCACCCAGGCATGACCTGGGCTTTCGTGCTTTTCATCGTACCTAAAAGGATGGCAGCGGGCTTATCGTCTCGGCTCAGCGGGCATGCGGGCGATAAGAAGACCGATAGGTGAGGTAGGTGGTTGTGATGCAGCATGATAAAGCTTGGGGCGTGGCTAGAGACAGTGTCGGACATAGGTTGGAGGGGTGTATGCATGTGGCACACGCAGCACGGTGCTGGCGGCCCTCCTGCACACTGAAGATGCTGCAGAACATGCTGCAGCTGGTCCTGTTTTTGGCCGAAATGAGTCGAATCCTCCAATCAAATCAGCCAGGCAAGCCGGGGGCGGCTACCCTGAGGTACCTACACGACTTTACCTACCTATACCCAGCAGCGTGGGGGACGACGGGGGAGGGGGGAATAGGGCGTAAGTGGGCAAGTGCGACTGGTGACAACTGCATGCAGCTGCGTTTGGCCGCGGTCTGCGGTCTGGAATCACCGAATCAGTCAGTCAGTCATCAAGGATGAACCAGCAGAGTCACGTCGCCGCGCGCCAAAGTGATGTCATCCATGCACCGCCCAGTCAAAGTCAACACGAGCGTCAACAGCGCCAGCGCCGACTCCCGGCGCATTCAAGTGCCTTCCTGACGAGTACCAAGAGGACGCAGGGCGTCTGCCGTTTTCCCATCTTAGCCCCTGACCAAGACACGCGCGAGGGCTCGCCGATGACGATGGGTCGACCATCTACCACGACATCCGGCCTGCTGCTGCCTTCCCGTCAGCTGGCAACTCTTTGCCCACCTGACAGACTGTTCTGCTGGGCTGCCCTACCCCGCGCCCGTCAACACATACCTACGGTAAGGTAGGTAGTAGATGCCCCCCCATTCCCACCATCTACTACTGATTAGGCACATACTGGTCAGTCATACGGCCTTTCTCAGCCGCTCTTTTGCCTTCTCAACCCAAGGCTTTCCGACCTGCGCTGCGTTTCTGCCATCGGAGTCCCTTTAGGGTTTTGACAGACGTTATTGGTCTTACGTTTTCGTCATTTATGACGTCTGATACCAGAAGCATGCGCCTGGCTTGTTGGTCCTCGCGCCCTCAACCCGTGAAACACAAAGACACATAGTCGCTTACGTGATGCACTTTTTCTGCAGGCTACATATGTAGGATCACATGACCGTGATCGGCCACGAACGAGCCAGAAGCAGATCCAAGCACAGCCGTGTTCTTCTGTCTTGCCTTCGAATGACCTTAAGTGCGGTCCGGGCTTCATCGGTTCCTGGGCCGTCTGCACTTCCCATGGCAGGCGGCGGTGCTGCCGCTCCCGGGCCCCAGTTCCAAGTCCCAGGCCCACGATGCGACGCATTGATCACTCTTCGTCTTGGCAACCACACTCCCGAGTCCCGTCTCTCCTGGGGAGGAACCTACGCCAGGAAACCCTCCCCGATTGCATGCATTACAGTCCGTTGCACTAACAGCGTCCACCCCCCCTTTTTTCCCCGCTTATGCAAAAACATAAAAAAAAAGCCTATTTTACGCTATAATGCGTATTTTTCTGTATTGCACGCAAAACGCGCTAAATCTATTACTAATACCTTAATTACTATTAATTATTATAGTTAAAGTAGTATGTAAATATATAACTATATAATAGAGATATAAAGTACATATCTAAGGCTTTTATAATAGTTAATTTACTTATAAGAATATTATTAATATAACTAGTTATTTTATCTCTGTATTAATTAACTGATAAAAAGTATATTTTGCTTTTATAAAAGACTAAAATAATATTTACTAAGGAATAAAAGAAAAACCTATTATATAACTTTATATACCTATTTAGTATATAGTTTATATAGCTTTAAGTAGTATAGAAATATACTAAAAAGCTTAATATGGTTTTTTAGAGTAAATAGTAGTTAATAGAAGTAATAACTTTTTCAATAATTTAGCTTATTTAAAATTAAAAGTTTATTATTATATAGATTATATTTATTTACTAATTATTTATTATTAATTAGTATATATCTATAGATTATTATATTAGATATATTAAAAAAGATATTGAATAATAATAATAATATAATAATATTTAAAATATTAAATCTATAGCTATTAGTAATTATAACAATATTACTATTTAAAAACTAAAAAAACTATAAACTAATAAATATTAATAGCTATATTAATTAAACAATTTAATAATATAAATTATAATATAATATTACTAGTAAAATATAGAAATATAAAAAATATTATTAAAATTGATAAAAAATAGAAATATAGTATTATATAAAGCTTCTTAAACTACTATAATATTATAATAATCTATATCTTAAAGAGATATAAGATTTTCTATTTAAAGCTTTTAAGATTTAAATTGATTGTTTTATGATTAGTTAATAATTAAACTTATTTAGCTAAATAAATAAAAGGTTTATAATTATTACTATTTAGTAAAATAATAAACTATAATATAAATACTTAATAAATTAAATATTTAGTAGCTTATAAATTACTTATAAGTTATTATTTACTAATTATAATTTTTATAGCCTTTTTAAAAACTCTTTATTAATATTATATTATTTATTATAAATAGATATTAACTACTTAATAAAACTAATTATTTAATCTAAAGCTTCTTAAAATAAATCTAATACTACTAATAAAAATAAATAAATTACAAACATAATACTTAGTTAATAAATATTTAAAAAGTTTAATAATAGAGAAATTAGTAATAAATATTGTAAGATATTTATATATAGTTCATATAGTAATAGTAATAATATTAATAATAGTAACTATATATATAGGTTAAGATATTAAAAATAATAATTTAATGCTTTTATATTACTATATATTAATAATAATATTATTAGTAACGTGGTTGATAAGCGAGTCGATCAGACAAGCGAGTCGATCACCTTAGCAAAATTATAGTAGGCTGCACGCGAAAATCCGCTAAGAAATTGTTAAGATGTACTAACAATTTCTTACCAAATTTTCGCGTGCAGCCTACTAT